ACGCATAGGAGGAAATCATGCACCACCCACACCTGGGGTCAAGGTACCGGCACTGCACACCGGAAAGTTCTGAGAACAACCTTGTTTGATCAACCTTGAGAGCACAGAGGTTCTACAGCTGGGTGGGGAGGAAGAGAGCTGTAAGGGATAAGTACTTAAATTTCCCAACAATTCTCTGCTTGAACTCTGTTGCATGGTGTCTTTCTCTCTCGAGCAACTTTTCTTAATGACAACACCCTGGACCCATAGGTGGGCTTCTGGGCTGTGCAATGATTGACACAGCTCAGCTCACAGCTGGGACTGCTAAGGAGCTGGGCCACGGAGGACAAAATTGCTCAGTGACTCTCCAAGCTATTCTCCAGAGCCAGGAGAATGCTGTGCATTTCTGTAAGGAGCCACACTTCTCTCCAACCAAGTCAGCTTGGGGTTAAAGAACAGAAAGGCACCCTTGCAAACTGAGGCAGCAGCCTTCCTCTACAGTTCCACAGAGGCTGTATAGGAACCGGCCAGACCAACTTGGCTTCCGGCGAAAGATCCTTATCCAAGTGGCTGTTCATATGAGGGAGAGGCATTGCAGGACTCTGTGACAGTCCAGGGCCTACTTGGGGTTTGCTGTGGATCTCCTGGGCACTCAAGCAGCCCAGCTACTGACTTCAAAGTCTGTTAGCCAGGACTCAAGGTAGCTTGGGTCCCAGCAAGTGCCTGACTGTATAAGGGTCAGCTTACAGGGGCACAGGTCCCACGCTGGGAAGGAGGTTCTGTTCCCACCACACTTCTGTGCATGGGGCTGTGTATCAGCTCCGTAGAAAACTGGAATTTGACCACCCCCTGCCTCCTGAGCAGCTGTGGCCTCCTATCGTGAGCTGAGTGTGGAGTCACGTGGGCAGCTGTCTCTTAGGCCAGTCATCCCCATGCTTAGTGTCCCCAACTACCCTCTGAGCTGCCGTGCCCTGCATGGTCTCCAGAATGCGGGTGAGCTTCTGGTTTTAAAGGGATGAAGGGATTATGGAGAGGAGTTGAGGCTCTGCAACACGTGGCTGGGCTAGAGAGGCTATTGGCGAAGGTGCAGCCCAGATGAGGAGGAGACGCTGGCATTTCGGAGGTGCCAGGACCATGGGACAACCACCGAGGACAGTAGCATGTGTGTGGTGGAGACCGCCTGAGCCCAGGAGACCAGCATGTGTGCTGTGCAGAGCCAGGTAAGTGGAGCCAACCAGGCTCTTCGGAGTCCACAGGAGTGAATGGGTTCCAGACATCTCATGCTGAACTGTTTACTATGCTGAACTTTGGTTTGTTTTGTTCTGATTGTGACTGTGTCCTGGCTCTTCCCTCTTGGAGTAAGGAAGAATTTAACTTGGGTTTTTTTTTTCCTTTCTCTCTTTTATGAGCACCCACCCTCCAGTCCACAGTTAAGAGATGTTGGAGCTTTAGAGACTGGAGATTCTAAAGAAACTTTGGATAGTTTTTAATTAATTAATTTTATATCCTGACCACAGCCTCCCCTCCTTCCTCTCTTCCCACTCCCTTCCAGCCTCCTCCCTTCCAGCCTCCCTCAATCTAACCCTCTTCTGTATTCGCACAGAAAGGAACAGGCCTCCCCTGGGCATCAGCAAAGCATGTCATATCAAGCTCGCATGATATCAAGCAACCCCACCCCCTCTATTCAGGCTGGGCAAGGCAATCCAGCATGAGGAATAGGTTCTCAAGAGCCAGTCAAATCACAGGGACAGCTCCTGCTACCATTGCCAGCAATCCCACAGACAGACCAAGCTACTCAGCTGTCACATATATGCAGAGGGCCTAGGTTGGCCTAGTCCCATGCAGACTCCCTGGTTGTTGGTTCAGACTCTGAGTTCCCATGATCTAGGCTAGCCATTTCTGTGGGTTTTCCTGAGATGTGTACCCTTTGTCCCTGGCTCCTAAAATCCCTCACTTCCTTCCTAAGCATGACCTTGGATATTTTAAAGAGACTAAGGATGGTGGGACTTTTGAAAAACAGATTTATATTGTTTTATATTGTGATACTAATATTAGCATGCCATCTTGTGTACAAATGGGAAAGGAAAGGTTGCAGTTGAGTAATGGTGTGTTTGTGTGTCAAGTTGACAATGTGTTTGTGTGCCAAGATGGCAAGGGGTCAGTTGTGCTGGCTGGTTGTGTTTGTTTGCTTTTCCAATATGGATGCCAGCTGGAGTCATCTGAGAAGAGGGGATCTTAATTGAGACATGCCTCCATAAGACTGGACTGTAGTCAAATCTATAGGACATTTTCTTGGTGATTGATGGGGAAGGGCCCAGCTTAGTGGGGGTGGGGCAACCCCAGGCAGGCGGTCCTGACTGTTATAAAAAAGCAGGCTGAGCAAGCCATGAGGAGAAAACCAGTAAGCAGAAAGCCAGTAAGCATTCTGCCAAGGCCTCTGATTCAGTTCTTATGTTTAGGGTTCCTGCCTTGAGTTTCAACTCTTAGTGATGGACTGGGGCATAGAAGTGCAAGCTGAAATAAACCCTTTCTTCCCTGGGTTGCTTTTGGTCTAGATGTTTTTACCACACAATAGGAACCCTCAGAAACCCTGCTTCCCTGGTCAGTCTTGGTGATGGAGGAAGCGAGGGATGTGATTTTTATTTGCCACATTTCACACCATCAAACCAGAGGACTTAGGTGACAATAGTGATCCCTATGCAAGCAGTTTTCTGGAATTCTGCATGAAGGAAACCAGAGCTTTTCCATATTCCTTGGGTGACATGCTTCATTTGAGCCACCAGAGGGCACTGTGGACTCATGCTGAAAACCTCATTCTGGGCAGGCTGGGAGTTGTTGAAGCTGATTATCTCAGTCCTTAAAGTGCTTGGCTTCTAAGCATTGGGATCTGCTGGCCAGGTAGTCTCTCTTAACTGGTCAATAAGAAGTCTGCCCACCTCCCCCAAAAGTGGATAGAACTAGAGGAACTATACTGGAGGTTGTCCTCTGGCCTCCAAATGCATGTGCGCGCGCGCGTGCGCACACACACACACACACACACACACACACACACACACACACACACACACACACACTCAGAGGGCATGGCTGCTTTTCATGAGGGCCACCTTTCTAACTAGCCGGTTCTAATTTATAGTTTAAGAACCTAAAATTCCCAGATAGTCCAGAAGATCCCTGAGAAGGACCTCTGAGTCACAGAAGCCAGTATGTTCTAGAAATTTATGGTAATGTGTGGCTTTGCAGTGCTGGGCTTGCCCCAGGGAGGCACACACTGACCTATCACTGAGAAACACCAGAGATGAATAGTTGTGTCAGTTGACATCTACTGTTGGTGCCGTTGTCTTACAATGCACAGGAAAGCCTGGGTCTCCACAGGCCTGAAAGAATAAGGACAACTCCTGGCTTAGAGTGTTTATTCAGAATGAGCTAGGGACGGCTCATGTGCAAGGAGGTTAAGGCAAGGGGAGCTGGGAAGGGAAGAAAAGAAGAAGGAAGGTGGGATACTGTGTCACCCAAGTCTTCAGGCAGAAACTCTCCTGGCCTCCGGCATCGCTTTCGGGCACACTGGTGTCCCGTGGGGGTGGGGCGTCCGAAGCAGGGTTTCCACTAAGTGGCAGTTCCCATCTCAAATGCACAGTGTGCACCATTCACAACCTCCTGGCTTCACATGGACCTGAGTCTGACATGAGAGACTGCATCTTTGGCATCAGCGCTTCCACACCCAAACAAAGAGTGATCACACCCACAATGTTGGCAGTGATGGCTGGGAATCCCTGATGCTGATGGGAGAGGTGGTCTCCTGAGTGGGAAAGGCCTCTGGCCTGTGGGCCGCGTGGGTCTAGTTTGGAAGCTTATGTCAGTTCTCACCATCCTTCAGGAGGAGTAGGTGACCTGTGAACCTCTCCTCAGGGGAGGGGAGGGATTGCTGGCTGGTGGAAGGTTTCCCCTTCTTAGTGAAGCCTGAGGGTAGGGACAGCCTCCTTCTTGCCTTCCATGCCCAAAGAGGAGATCTTGTGGCACATGACAGGCACACATGGTCCCCAAGGTTCAAGTGGTTCAGAACAGGCCTTGGCTGTGCCAAGGACATTGACTCTGAGACTCAGACATCCTTGAGTGACCAGGTACCAGGGCTATCTGAGCCCAAAGAGAAATACCAAGGCCAAAAGTTGGTCCTGGTTGGGACACTGGCAGCCAATGCCAGGGACAGGAGATGACTGTGGAGCATTGAAGGCCGAGACAGTGGCTTCAGGCTCAGAAAATACCAGCGATGCTGAGACCCTGACAGGCAGGACTTCATGGAGATGCTGGGAATCAGAGGCCATTGGGCAGCACCAGGACTCTGTGAGGCTGCAGGGCAGGGTAGAGGGACTTCCTGAGGGAGGAAGTAATCAAGAAAAGTGTACCATGGCAGAAGCTGAGGCTCTCCAAGGCATGTCTCCATCACCTCCAGTCACCCCAGGCACTTGGTGCTACTGTCTTCACTAAGGCAGATGACATCCCCCTCTCTCAAGACTGGCCTCCGGCGTCTGTCCCCAAAACACATAGCCTCAGCCACGGATGTAGTGAGGTGCACATCAGGTCCATCTCAGCAGGGCTCCAACTACAGATTGCTTCGTTTCTGCAACATATTCCTTGAGTTCTCTCCATCACCAGCTTCGCTGCTCTGCTGACCCAGCCTTCTGGTGCTGTGGACATGGATGGGAGGTGATGAAAGTTGCACTATGGATGCAGGACCATCCAGCTGGAAGAAGTGAAACTTCCAGGTGGATGTGATATGTAAATGCCAGGCAGAAGACACCCAGCACCAGAGGAGAAGACCCAGTAGCCCCAGAGCTGATCCACATGAGAGTTCCCAGCAACGCAGGCCTGTTATGGTCCCTCCCTGCCCACCGTTGTCAAACTATATTCCCAGTATTTCCTGGGCCTCATGTGAGTACCCTGAGAAAGGTCACTCCCAGACTTCAGGCACTTGCTAGAAAGATAGGAGGAAGGCAGTGGGCTGGGACCCTTCACACCTGAGTGGTCCTTTGGCATGGTCTGTCAAGGCCGGTGATCATTGTTGGGTGGCCCCAGGTCCTCTCTCTCCCGAGGTGGGGGCTTCTTTCTTTTGGTCCTTACTGGCTTCTCTAAAAGACAGACAGGCCCAGGATGACTGTGGTTTCAGATGGTGCTTCCTGCCTCCATGATTTATAAGCAACCTTGGTGGGCAGGTGGGCTTTGTACCCATCTTACCCACATCACTTCTAAACAAGCGGAACATCATGGAGTGAAGTGTTTCCCACAGCCCACAGCCTCTAGAGCTGGGATGGAACTGGGCACACCAGGCTCTGTTTCTGCTTTACCCATAGCATGCAGGATACAGAAAACAGGAGAGGTAGAGGACAGAGAGCAGGCACTGGCCTGAGATTATGTGTGCAACACCTGTCAATCACTGCCAGAACCAGATGACACCAGCTTATGCTGTTCCTAACATATCTCTGGCAGGGGAAGAGGTGTCATTTCCCATTTTACAGATGGGAAAGAAGAGATGAGACTAAGATGAGGCCATTGAGTAGTGGAGCCAGGAACTGGGATGGTGGCATGCTCAGTTACAGAGAGTAGGGAAGCCCAGAGAAGCCATGCAGAACACCCAAGGCTACAGAAGAGTGGGGTCGCATCCACTCTTCTAGATTCAGAGCCCGTCCCGCTACAGCACTACAGTGCAGAAACTTACCTGGAAGTCCTCGCTTGTTGGAGAAGGACTTGCTATCAGTAAGGGGCACTCGGGCCAGTGTTGCCAGCTCTGAGATAAAGGTCTGCTCAGCTTCCTGATAGACAAATGGAAGAGGGTCAGTGTGCCTCCCTGCCCCTCACCTCTGAGCCCCCCCCACACACACACTGAGTTCAAGCTTTACACTGTGGGGGATGGCTGGTGACTACATCCCACATCCCAGTGTGGAAGAAGACTTTCCAAGTAGGTCAGGACCAGAACAGAGGCATGGAGAAGGGTGCTCCTCTAGACACCTGGGTCCTCTCTCCTGTCTCATAGCCCTGTCCGCAAACAAGGACACTTTGGGGCTCAGTCCCTGCCAAGTGCCAGCTCTGCCCCACTCCAGTGTACAGCTGCCAGGAGACCCAGAAGCCATGCTTTTCTAGCCTCAGCCTCCCTATCTGTAGTGAGGAGCATAGCAGCCACCCCCTCGGTTGTTCTGAGAGCATGTTGAGAGCTCTCAGGCCAGCTACCATCAGCAATGGACCCCTGGGAACAAAAGCTCATCATTTACAGGACCCCTGGTCTGATAGACACGGAAAAGGCCAAATCACCGTCACATGCCTTCATTCTGAAGTTTTGATTTTGTTCTTTTATATTTTATTTCTCTGTTTGTAATAGTAGTAGTAGGGGTGTGTGTGTGTGTGTGTGTGTGTGTGTGTGTGTGTGTGTGTGTGTGCATGCTACACTGCACACATGGTGGTCACAGGACAGCTTCTGGAAGTCAGCTCTTTCCCTCCACCATGTGTTCTGGGGATGGGGTGCAGGTCCAGGCGTGAGCAGCAAGCCCTTTGTACCTACTGAGCCATCCTGTCATGCTTTGATTTTGTTTTAAGTCATCTGCCACCCCCTGATATTTTTAAGGAAGATACTTTGGGGTACAATCACACCTCATAGTCCTCCAGGCTGGGACGTGTGTGTGTGTGTGTGTGTGTGTGTGTGTGCTTAAGTGTCCACTTTATACCTGAGAGCAGAGTTTCCCTGAATGCTCTACCTGTAGTGTGAGCCTTAGTTACCATCAGAGGTAGAGATGGCAGCGCCAACACCCTTTACTACTGCCCAGAACCCTTTACTACTTCCAAAGCCATGGGCAGGTGGGCTGCTCCGCTGTGCCCTGCTGTCCCCAAGGAGCTCATGCTTCCCTCAGGAAGGCACACCATGATGGTCGATGGAACTCAGGGAGCCAGAGTTGCCATGGACAGAGAGAGGTGCAGAGGTGGAGGTCTGGAGTGGGGCAAGGGCTTTTCCCCAGTGGCCTGGGCGGCTGGCTGTAAGCCCAGGTATGGCCGCTTCCTTGTACACTATGCCATTGCCTCTAGTAACGCATCTCCCAAACTACCTGCAGCTGGGTCTCAAGCTGGGCTTCGAGCTGGTCGAACTCTTGTGCCTTCTGCTTTTGAGAGTTCAGGCGGCCCTGCTGGTGCTGGGTGAACTGGGCCAGGAACTTCTTCTGCTGCGACAGCATCCTGGTGGTGTGAAGGGATGGGTCAACACCATTGGAATCCTAGGCCAGTAGGTCCCTACAGGACCCTTCTGAAAGAATGCGACACCCAGGACTTGTGGCCCTCCTTTGCACTTGTGCCCCGGAGTCTGGAGAGGAGCCAGGAAAACGTGTGACTTACCACAGCCACACTGTCCTGATAGTCCAGCTCTGACGCCGAGACTACATGCCCATAAAGCATGGGGAAGGTTAAGGAATCTGCGTAGCACTGGACTTAGATTCCTAGGAAAGCTTAGAGACATCAGCAGGACAGAAGCAAAGTCAGAAGATGGCTAGGTGGGGACTTGGAGATGTACACTGGCATCTTCTCATGAGCAGACACTCTTACCTAAGGAGAGAGGTCCCCATGAAAGGACCAGCGGCCACTAAGGAGGCTCATTTCCTGGGGACAGTGTCTGAGAAAACCTTAATAAACCTTAATGTGGCAGCCTATTCATTCTGAGAAGTAGGAAGAGGGGTTGGGCAGAGGCCAGGTCCCTCACTGAGAGCACTCACTGCCTTCTCTCTTGGGGGTAGACCCCTTCCCTCTCTCCCTCTTCAGCAGACCATGCCCTGGCCCTCTGCAAACAGTGACATCTATTCCTGGCCTGTACTCCAAGACTGCTATTTTCCTCCTTTCCATCTTTGGGGGCAATTTTCAGAAAGGCTGACTAGATCCAAAGGCAGAAGTCACTTTTAGCATCAATAGGCAGCTGTCTTGGGGTACATAAGGCATAAGAACATCACCTCGCCTCTGCTTCATGCTCTCTAGGCTGCTGGAATACCTTTCCTTGCTTCATTGCATTTGGCCTGTACATTTCTAGTCATCCTATAAGACAAAATCATCCATCCATGATCCATCTATCCATCCATCCTTCCACTTATCCATCTCCACCTACCCATGATCTATCTAATAAGCCATGGTCCATCAACCCATCTATGACCCATTTATCATCTATCTATCCATGATCCATTTTTCCTATTCATCTCCATTCTGTCCATCAACCCCTCCATATACATCCATCCACGATCCTAACCAGCCATGGTCTATCAACCCATCCATGATCCTTCATCCATTTATCCATTATTCATCTATCCATCTATCCATGTTCCAGCCACTCATGATCTATCTACCCACCCATTATCCATCTATTTATTCTTTTTTTTTTCTTACTAAAGTACTTCTGGCCAGACAGTTACTGATCTAACTTAACATAGTGATCACTTGTAAATGACATGCCATGTCATTTAAAGGGTCAATGATACTTGTTCATGTATACTTATCTCTATTCATCACATTTGCTTCACCCATTTATCCACTGATGGACCTCCGGGCTGATTTTTTACCATGTGCACTGTGGACAGTGTTCTAGTAAGTATAGGTGTGTGAGTACCTCTGCTAAATTTCAAGGTGGGGGGGTGAAGGTATGGAACCTCTACATTTAACAGCAAAGCCAACTATACCTTTGTAACCTGAAATCTAAGAACTGCTGGGCCATGGTCTAATGACTTCAGGAAGGATGGGGCAAGCCTGGACCTCGAAGCTTAGCAGTGGTTACCTGCTGATGGCTGCCAACCCTCAGGCAGGGGACTCTAAGTAGGGCATGGGATTTGGTTCAGTAGGGCTATGGTCCTTGTTGACTCAGATAGCCTACTAAGGCTGGGACCAACTCTGTTATGTGTGAGTGATCCCTCTCCAATGTGACTGCTGGGTTATGTTGCTCTCAGTGGTAGAAGCTCTGGCCATGCCCGGGCTTCTCTGCAGTTGAAGGTGCCATTTCCCAACACAGTAGCATGTGTTTTACAGCCTACTCCGAAGACTCACTTCAAGACAGGCAAGAAGTGTCCCAGGCACAGCTTGTGGCCAGGCACAGAGCAGGTGCCCCCAGGGCCACTTCAGCCCGGCCTCAGCAGCAACTTGGCCCACCTGGATTTAGATGACCTTTGCTGTCAGGAAACCTGGGAGCCACACTCCGCATGGCCCTGCAGGAACAGTCCGGCTGAGTGGCCACTGACTCTAGCCCTGCAGCACTGACAGCAGCCAGATAAGCTAACCCGACTCTGACCCACCGGTCAGCAAGACAGCAGGCGAATGAAGGCTGCTGAGCCTGTGGAAGTGGAGATGGGCATTGCCACAAAATAAGCCTCTCGCACACTCTTCCCCTTCAATCCCCAGGTTAACAACATATAACTGGGGCTGGGGGGTTGGCTCGGTCGGTTAAGTGCTAGCATGAGAGCTTGAGTTTGAGCCTTAAACTCCACATTACGATAAATAAATAAATACAAGGCGGCCTGGTGGTGGTGGTGGTGCATGCCTTAAATCCCAGCACTTGGGAGGTGGAGGCAGGGAGATCTCTGCGGGTTCAAGGCCACCTGCTCTACAGAGGGAGTTTCTTGGAAAACAATGAATGAATAAACGAGTAAATATAAAAGTCGAGTGTGATGGGGCATGCTTGAAATCCCAGTGATGAGGAGGAGAAAGGCGCATCTCTAGGGTTCCCTGGCCAGTTAGCTTCCTTGGCAGGCTCCAGGCCAGTGGGATGCTGGTAAAATCTTGTTCCCGAGGAACAAGAGTTGAGGTTATCCCTGGATTGGCACACATACCTGCACTTACACATACACATACACACATAAACCTCTCTCTCTCTCTCTCTCTCTCTCTCTCTCTCTCTCTCTCTCTCTCTCTCTCTCTCCATCAGTTTCACACAAATTCTCACCTCAAGGCTGGCTCCTAGGGAGCCCAAGATATGAACGAGAGGATTCAGAGCTGTCTGTGAGGCAGAAGACATCTGCATCAACAGGCAAACCATGCAGGATCCCAAGCCCAGCATGTAGAGTGCAGTGCACCCGTGCAGGGACCCCACAGATAACCCTGAGCCCCCCACCTCTGCTGCACGGCCTGGGTTGCTCCATGGGTGTCTGCTGCCTGGCTCCTCGGTGATGCTGTCTGGCTCCCTGATGGTGGTGGGCCATTGAACTCTTGTTTTTTCCACAGCTTGTAAGCGTTGACTCTCTCATCTGGAACCACAGACACAAAGCAATCAAGGTTTGCTTTTGGAAGGTGGACTCTTCTAGGCCTGGGGTGAAGCTGGGGGTCCGGGCAAGGGGTTAGCATGACACACCTGCTCTCATAGCCTGTCCTGAGCACCAGAGCTGGGAAAGCCGATACACAAACACCCATGGCTCCCCTCTAGTCCCCTGTCAGGAGCAAGGAAAAATGGCAAGCAAGCTTCTACAGGAAGAGGGGGCCACAGAGTCAGAGGCACACAGCGGGAGAAAGGCTGGGTGAGCTGAGCTGGGGCTATGTGGGTCTCGGACGCTAGTGTGAGCACTTTTAGGAACGGGCATCTGGCCTTGGTCTCACACTCACTGCCAGCAATTCTTTCTTATTTGCAGAGTTACCTACTCAGAAAAACTGTAACATTATTTATTATTATTATTTAAAGTAAAATGCTGGGCTGCCCCTGGCTGAGAGTGTTGTCTGTTGCATAATTACTATAGTGCCGCTTTTACTTGGGAATCCATGTTTGACCACAGATGACAGGCAACCCTCTTGGAGGTGCCCCTCTGTTAAATAGCCTAACACTCAGGGAGTAGTTTTAGGGGACACAGGTTTCTGCACTTTGCTGGTGGTGTGGTGCCCAGCAGCTGCTGACCTGGCTGGGCCTGAGCTGCCACCATGCACAGAGGGGAATTTATCAGCAAAGCACGAACAGGTTTCCTGCTCCCTGGTCCTTAGGGAAGCAGTCCTTTCCAAAGAGAGGGCTTGCCACAGTGTATAAGAGAAGCCCATGTCCCATTCCCACAGCAAAGCTGAGAGCAGAACGGGCTGCCAGAGCTCAGAGGATAGGAAGAGGGCGAGTCCAGTCCTACCCTGCAGACGGCAAGCCCAGGCCTGGTGTGGGGAGATGACAAGCCCTGGTACTAAGTGCCCTGCAGGGATGTGCAAGCGTCTCCTTCTGAGCAAGCTTCAATCTCTCTGATAAACTGTGATGGGGAACCTACAGCCACTGGTAGATTCCTGAGTCATGCCAGAGAGGGTACTCCAGGACCCTCCTCCCGTTCCTCCACCTGGGGCTCAATCCCAGGCCATCCAGGGGGAATGCAGTAAAGTGTGCGAGCTGACCCTTGTACAAGGAGGCAGGAAATTAGGAAAACCCTGTCGGGGCTTCAGGTGTTATTTAGTGTTGTTGTGGGAAGGGCGGCTGGCAGCCACTGCACCACAGGTGTGGTGGGAGGTGATTAGCTATAGGAGCCCCGAGATGAAAATTCTCGGGGTCTCAGGAGCTCTGCCAGGCATCTGTTACTCATGGTTACCATATCTCTTTGGCTAGCAGGAAGCTCAAAGAGGGATCAACTTCCGTTTCTCAGCAGGCCCTGTAAGCATCCATCTCAGATACTTCCCAGAAACCATTTAGACTTACTGTCTTGTATACACATGATCTTTCAGCACTCTTTACAAAGGCTTTTGAGTCAAAAGGGGAAACATACACATTCACACATGCTCGTGCACATGCACGCGTGCGCACGCGCGTGTATACACACACGCACTCACATACACGTGTGAAAGCGAATTTTAGATTCCTCCAGGTGGGCCACACAGACTCTACTCTTGCAAAGCCAGCACTGGCCTCTAGCTGGGGAGACACCTACCTTGCAGGGTCTTCAGACGCTGCAGTACTTGCTCCTCATGGACTTGCAGAAGCTTCCCGATACGCTGGTAATATGCCTGCACGAGGCGGCTGGCACTGGTGCTGGTCACATACACGCTCTCTACCACCGTCTCCACTAGCGTCCTCTGTGGTAAGCAGGAGAGACGGGGACACCCGAGAAGTCACAGGTAGAGCACCTGCCTGCATCATAGTCCCCACCCTCTCCCAAACACGGAGTGGCCAGGACACAGGCAGGTTGAGCATGGCCAGTTTAAGCCGGTCATGATAATCTTCCTTTCCTTTGACAAGGATGGCCAAGATGATGGCTTTGATCTAGTCCTGGTCAATAAGATGTGACGTCAGCGAAGCCTGCTGGGGTTTGGGTTATTTCCTTCCTGAACATTAGCACAAAGTCTTAATGGGTGAGACACTCTATCACTTCCATCATCCTGCCAGGCTGTACATTGTGTTTGCTGGGCCACAGACACCATGGTCCTCTGCCTCAGTCAGACCTCTCTCACCTCATGGATCCAGTGAGTAATCAAGGATGTATAGGGTGGGCAACTGAGATGAGCTGAGACATGGCTCCAGGTTAATTCCTGCCACTCACTACCCACCATGCTTTTTGTGTGTCTTTTGAACAATAAGAAATCAGGTCTTCCCATCTGTACAACGGGAAAGGGGATCCAGCCTGGGCCGTGTGAAATCTGAGGGAGAAGGCCAGATGTACCATACTCACATGGCTGCTCTCACTATTTTGACCACTGACATTTAGCCTTGGCAACAGAAACAGCAAACTACTGCCAACATAACCAAGTTGAGCTCTGTGGATCAGGAGGCCATCGGGGTCTGTCCACAAAGCCTCATGGAAAGCCACACCTCTCAGCTGGGATCTGGCTTTGCTGTGCAGTGGGCAGTGTCCAGAGAAGCCAGCCAGGTGTGCCTTGGGCTGCCACAGAACCAGGACACAGCTCGGGGCCTCTGTGGTGGGCTGGTTGATTCTTGGCTGGAAGCTCAAAGGGAGGCAGGAAAAACACCATTCTTCCTGCCCCTTGGTGTCAAGGGACAGGGCCTGGCTCTCACCTTGAAGTCTTCCTTGTCCCTGCTCCGGCCCTTGCTGGCCATATTCCTTGCGTGAACCAGCAATGCCTGTCCAATGGCTCGCTCTGAGTGCAACTGTAGCAGCTGCCCTGCTTCCCGAGCCTCTGCAAGCAGCTGCTGCTGGAGTCGCAGGCCCGTCTGCTGTGCCTCATCTTCCAGTCTGGCCACCTCCTCCAGGACCCGTGCCTCCTATAGGGACAGACATGCTACCCCTGTCCAGAATGGCTGGGCCTTGTGCTGGCCTGAGGGTTGGGGAAACTTAAGTGTGGGCAGATTCTAGACTTGAAACACTAGCCCTGAGGATGAGCCTAGGTGTCTGCCCATAGTTCCCGCGCTCATCCAAAGACATTTAATGAGCACCAGCCGGGTGCTCGGTGTGAGCCACAGACCCTCACATGAGGAGGGCCTTGTTCATTCTTCTCAAACACAGTGAGGCCTGAGTACTAGGACTGACAAGGTCTCAGAGGCTCAGAGAAATTGAGGGCTTTCTAAAAGATAAACAGCAGAGCCAGGACGAGATCAGATCCAACCATGGGGACATTATAGAAGCTGTGTCAGGGCACATGGGGCCAGGGACAGAGAGATGGGATCAGGTGAGGGGATCAGGAACTTGGGGCTGTCTCTGCTTAGGGCAGAGAGATGGGGGAGCTGGGAACTGGAGCTAGAGAAGTAACCGGCTTGTTCCCTTTAAGGAGGAGCTAGAGACTGAGGCCGTGTCTCCGGCAGGATGGAAGCCATCGCAGCTCCTGTAGCTTAGGGCTTAGGAGATCCATGAAGGAGATTCATGAAGGGATTCAGCTCTGCTGATTGTCAACTACTCCAACTTGTTCAAATCTCCACAGAGCAAGGACTTCTTCCCACCGCCCATGTGCCGCCTGCCCCGTCCTCCCTGAGACTTCACTCAGATCCCTGGTGGAATCTCCTCCCTGTCACCTTCCCTGGAATCCCTTACATATGTGTGCTTCCTCAGAGTCACTTATGTTCCTGCCTTTATGAGCTGGGCCATGTCCCCTCAATTTAATTTCCAATCTCAAGATTTCAGCATTGAACAGCATGGACATGGGGCACCAGAGATTAATGTAGAAGGCTTGGGAGCTTGGGTTCCCCTCCAGGGTACCTGAAGTCATCCTCAAATGAGGTGAGGATCTGAATACACACAGACAGATGACCATTGTGAGCATACAAGAGTAAATGTGTTTGTAAGCCAAGGGACAAAGTCTTGGGGGAGGCCTGCCCTGCCCTACCTTGACCTCAGCCCTCGGGTTCCCATCCTGGGAGGCAATGAGGCCCTGGGAGTCAGTCCCAAACTGTGCCTCCTGTCACACTCCTCTGTAAACTCCTGGAGTGTTGGGATCCTAATGTGACAAGCAGGACTAATGGAACACTTCTGGGTAGTGTTTTGTGGGGACCACACTGTGTTCTCACCAGGGCTCTGAGCAGCTGCCACTGATGCTCCTCCAGGCACGGGGATGCTCCCTGCTCCAGAGCCAGCTGCTCGCGCAGCTCCTGCAGGAGCCTCTTCTTCCCAGACAGCCTCATATGAGCCAGGACAGTGAGGGTGATACCTCGGAGGGCCAGCCTGCGCAGAGCAGAGTACAGCAGCAGCTCATGGCCCTGCAGGATGCCTCGCGTGGACCTGTGGGAGACAGCAAGGCTGGTCAGAGCTCCAGGACGCCCTGGGCCAGTGAAACACTGAGGGGTCACACCTATAGGAAGAATGGGACGTAATCATCCCACCACCCGCCTGGTGACATCCAACCACATCCTTCACATGCCCTGTTCTTTTTCATACATGAATCCTGAACACATTTAAAGCTTGAGTCCCCACGCCAGTGGGTCAAACACAACCCAAAGCCAGGCAAAGGGGCTGATGCTTTGTTTATAATGTACAGCAGACACACCTGTCCACAAAAACCACATGCCTGCGGCCATGACACATGCTGCCAGAGCCACCCACTTCCTGTACCAAACACTGTCAAAGCCACATACCTGCTCCTGTTCCATCTACCACAACAGCCACACACCTGCAGCCATGCCAACCCACGCTTCTGTGCCCACATCTACCACAGCCACACCCCTGCCTCTGTATCCACCTCTACTATGGCCGAACACCTAATACCTACATAACTCATTTTCTTGGGAAAGGATGGGTAACTAAAAAAAGAATATCTGTCTCTTTTCCCCCAGAAAACAAGGAAAAAAATATTTTCTCCAAACAGAAAAATGGTGCAGCATGGACAATAGAAGTGTGCACAAGGATATACAGTTGATTGATAAACAGTGACTGTAAAAGTACACAAGGGATCTCTGTGATGACAGACGTTTCCAACATCTGGACTGTGTGCAGTCACAGAAATAAAACTGCAAACTTAACCCTACATCTGGAATTGTACTCAAACCCAATGCATATAAATTCACTTCACAAGAGCTATTCCAAAAAGTCCCTACCAAACAGAATGCTGTGAAACAGGTTTCATTGGCACCGCTTTCCAGAGAAGGAAACTGAAATGGTACATTTTTACTATCAAGGGAAGGCAGGGGCCAGCCGGCGCGCCCACGTTGTAGGTTAACACACTGAGGTTAGCCCAGAGTCTCACACAGACAGGGCCCATCCTTCAGGGCTCACACTCACTCTTCAGAGAGGCCAGTGAAGCGGCTCAGGACCTCGTGGATGATGCTCCCCTGGTGATCCTGCAGCTGCCTCTGCAGCACCGTGGACAGCACACACTCCTCCAGCCACACCTGTGCTCAGAGGGCCAGAAACGCAGGAAGCTGCTACACCCCGTTTATTTGTTTTACCAAGTCCCTTTTCTTCCCCATCCTCTTAACATCTTTGCTTGTGCCCACAGTCCTCCTAGGTAATTTCATGTGATCAGAAGGAAGGCTTTCATCTCGGCCAGCAAGACCGTGCTGCAACAAGACCTCCTCCGTCATTAAGAGTCCTTTCTCGGTCTCCTGAATTTTAACAAGCTGTCTCCACCAGCCTGGAGCCTTCAGAGCCTGTACTTAGGGTGCCACCAGATGGAGCACAGGTCTTAACAGAGGCCCTGCAGCTCAGACTTCCATCCCCCTGGCCTGTGATTCGTTGCTTGCTCCAGCTTCCAAAGGCTGCTGTGTGCTCAGGCTCCCCAGCCCACCATTCCAACCTCTGCTCACGCTGTCTACCAGTCTCCTTTAACTCCAGCCCTCCTGCTTCTCCCAGCCCCTCCCTGTTTCTGCAGCCACAGTGCTGCGCTGTCTCCTGTCCTCTGCTTCACTGCCTTCCACCTCATACCTTCCTGACCCTGTGACTGTTGGGGAAGCTTGGCAGTCATGACTTTGTTTCCTTGGGGCACTGGGTATCACCCTGGGGCCTTGAGCATGCTCAGCAAGCACTCTAGCACTGGAAGCATCATCAGATGTTTGAAGCACATCCCTGTAGTGTCTCTAAGAGGTCTGAAACCCCTCACCCTAAGTCTCAAATGCCCAGCACAGCAGGACCCAGGTGACACACCCGCCTGTCCTGTTCCAAGAGGTCACATAGGAGTTCCCATTGCCGTCTGCGAAATCGGTCCACCTGCCCCAGCTGCCTCGCTGCCTGCTCCTGAACCTGTCGCTGCAGAGCCTCACATTCTGCCACAGGGAGACGGCTCACTTCTGGGAGCGTCTTCAGGAACAGAGTGTCCACAAACTTTTGGAAGGTTTCCATGGTGCCACAGTACAGTTCCTGAAATGAAAAGCACACAGGGGTCATGGGTCAGGTTCCACATCCCACACTGCTGGGGTCTAAGGCTGCAGCCCTGAAACAGAGCACACGGGTCTCAGCAAGACAGGCAACAGGAAGAGAACACACACACACATAGCAGGTATCACAAGCAAACCATATGCACTCCACAGTGGTTATAAGAAACGGACCTTAAGTAGTGGCGGCTGCTCTGCTCATGGTGTTATAAGCGACGCTTACACAAGATAAGCAAAGAGCTGCAATGATAAATAGTGTTGCTTAGTTTTAAAGGAACCAACGGGATGTTTTAGAATCCAAACGTTCTAAGAACTCAATGTACTGTTTTAAGGCACCATCATCTAGAAGCGGGTGAAGAGAGACCCAGTGCATTGGAAGGTAAATCAGAAGAAACCCGGGACAAAGCAAGGCGGCTACAGGATGGGTACCATGGAGAAGATGAAGGCACCGGAGAGACCAAGAGGCCCGGCAGGGGTCACTGTTGTCCCCAAGGATGGGTGGCAAGAGTTGGGGTAGAAGTGGTATTTGGAGAAATAACCAACATTTCCAAAAGGAATAAAAGAAGTTTACAGGTAAGGCCACTGAGGCAGCAGAACCGAAGACGCCGATTCGATCCTGGACAGCACGGGTCAGAATGGCTGTGCTTTCCGTCTTGGCACATTCTTTGTAACTCTGGAATCTGGAATGCCCAGTTCTGGTCCACTCAGGGACACTTCCTTTAGACTGACACTTGCCTTTGAGTTCACCTTCACCCTGCACCTCCGTGGGCCACTCACTCTCCTCTCTGTGCTAATGAGTAAGGGCTTGGTGATGGAGTCAATATGGATTGGGGTGTCCCCAGTACCATATGAAGGATGACTGATGTCCTACTACATAGACGGAGAAACAGGGCTAGAAGGACCAGGTAGGTGAGCCAGAGCCTGACGCTGAGCTGGGCACCTGAGCCACCTCTCCCAACAATGCTGCCTAGCGCTGAGGTGTGTGTTACATCTTTCCCTTCCAGCATCTTTCTTTACCCCTTGCTCATCCTCAGCCTGGGCTCAGCTCTTCTCACCAGCGTGCGCTGCGGGCCCTGCACCCGGGTGTCTTCGTGCACATCTTCCTCTCTCCTCAAAGCCAGCTGTGAGGAGCAAAGGGCAGCACCTCTGCCTTGCCAGTGCACAGATTAAAGCCTCCCTGTTTCCAACATGGATTTGAGGAACCCATGGCAGAGAGGCGGTCTGTGGATCCCTCAGGTAGCAAGGAAAATCCCACCTGGCTAGTGTCCCAGCCCAGAGGATAGGAGGGTCGGGCAGTTCTCTCACACATGCAGAGCAGAGCTTTGCTCTGCTGTCTGGCTAAGCCGCTGTGGTTTTCACTGTCAGCTTGACAGGCTTGGAGTTACCTGGGAGACACACCTACGAGTGAGTCTGTGTGGATGCTTAACCGAAGCGGGGAATCGTTCACCCTGAACATGAGCAGTCCCATCCCACGCACAGAGATCCCAGATGGACTAAAGGGAGGCAAGCTGAGCACCAGCATGCACGTTTCTCTGCACCTTGACTGCAGAAAGATGCAACGTGACCAGCCGCTGCAGCGTCTGATGCTGTGCCTCCCCCACCATAACAATGGACTGAGAGCCAGCACCAACCCTCTCTTAACCCATTTTTCTCAGGTATTCTGTCGCAGCAACACAATCACGTACTTGACAGAGTGCAGCCATGGCCTCAGTGACCCTGATGTCCTCCTTCTCCTCCTGGTCACTCCATGTCAGCCGCTGCCTCTCCAGGACCTCATGTAAAGCCTGTAGTTAAAACAGGAACTGAGTCCAGAAAATTGCACTCTTTGGTTTTTCTGCAAATACTCCCCGCCCCCCCCCCACCCCAGAGGACCGACTGACATCTCTATGGGAGTGATGTTCACCCCACTATAATTGTGAGAAAACTGAGTCATAGAGCAGCCACATGGCTCCAGTGGCTTGAAGACTATGCCTGAGGCCATGACTTCAAATCCAACTCCCAGAAAGCCAGTCTGGGCTTCTGTTATAGTGACGTGAGGAGTGTCCACCAGGCCACCCTTGTTAGCTCTCCTATGCCCTGTCACCAGACAACACTTCCTTTGATGGTGACCTACCACACCCAGTGGATCCTACCTGGGGACCTAGGGTAAAGCAGGCAGGTGACTAGAGACATGCTTATCAAGAATCAACCAGGTTCTGACATCCAGAAGTTGGACCTGACCTCTAGGGAGTCAGCAGAATATGCTGGACATGGAGCAGATCAGCAGGTCATCAGAGGTTTCTACATAGCCAGAGGGTAGAGCAGGACACAAGGGCAGAGAGTGGCCTTTTATGGTAAGGGGGAGGTACAGGGGCCACCCTATCCAGAGAAATGTCTAGATAGTCCATGAAAACGAAGAGAGTCAGGGTCAGCCATGCTTGAGCAGCAGCTGCCACACTGGATGCTAAAGAGCCTTCTCTCTGCCTATAGGATGCTGTGGAGCAGGCGTGAGATGTGAATGGAGGGAAGGGGCTAGAAATGGGGTACTGAAGGTGGGGGGTGGCTTGGTGTTCCCTCATTCACCCATTCATCCATTCGTGTGCTTACTCATTCCTTCATTCACCTGGTCCCGTTATCTCTGTCCCCTGGCCACCAGCCATGTTGCCTGGTCTAAACGGGACCTTGGGACACAGTTGCCTGTCATTTCCCCATGTTTGGGGCTCAGGTTGAGCAGAGAGTTATCCGAGGGGTGACATATAAAGAGCTGAGTTCTACCTTCCTCTAACTGTAGTCAATCTTCTCACTCAGAGTAAGTCCCACCCCTTTAGGGCACATTCCTGAGCCCCGAGCATGGCCCTAGCTAGAGCTCATGTGGAGTGGAAAGTGTAACAGGCCTCCGGGTCTGTGAGTCTGCGTGTGCTGTGGGGGCGGGTCCTCGCCCTCACTTGCCTTACTGTGCTGTCCGCCACTGCACTGTCCCCGTGGTCCTGAGCCTGTGCTGTGGGCCCAGCCTACCCCACTGGTTGCCACCTGCTCCTCATCACTTCTTGCCCTCCCACAGGTCCCCTGTCCTCTTCCTATTGAGACCCAGGGTGTTTTCTAGTAGGGCCACCTCCCTGGTCCTGACCATTTGCCCTGCCAAAGTCGAGGGCTGCTCTCCTCCCATGGCGTGGGCCTTACACACTGTGTGCCATAAGTCGTTATTCTGGGATGTTTGCTATAGATTCCCTGCTTTCTCCCAGCAGCCCAGCTTGGGATGCGCGGCACTGACACAGGAAGAGCAAATCAGGAACACAGAGGCTGAAGAACCTGGCTATGGTCACGTTCCTGGCACGGGGAGGCCTGAATTGAAGTCTGGTCTGAGGGAACAGGCTCAACTGGCAAGGGCAAAGTACTGGGGCTAGAACAGGGGGAGAGTCACCTTGAGGAACTCCCCCGGGTCTGAGGTCAGCTGGGAATCAGTCAGGAAACTTTTCCGCTCTTCTTCTTGGATTCGTGTGAGCTCTGATGTCACCTCCGCCTGACGAGCCAGAGAGGCCTGGACCAGGTCTTTGCCCCGCTGCATGAATTCTGGGATTGGAAAGAACCACAGAACAGGAGGTGACTCTCTAGCAGGCCCATGGTGAATTGCTTCTGTGACCTACCAGGCAGTCCCTTCTGTGCAGGTCACAGACCTGCTTTCCTGTGCATGCCTCACTGATGGTGACCCCAAGGATCTTAGTTTACCTCCAGCTGAACCTGTTTAGCTTTCTTCCACCCATGGTGAATGACTCACCCTCACCAGATAGCCCTTTAGCTGGGCCTGGCTGGGGCTGCATGTGGTTAGCACAGATCACCCCTGGGCATTTCTATGTCCATCCTGGTTGACACCCTCTCCCTTCCTCTGCTCCTTTGAATTCCAGGTGGTCCTGCCTTGAGATTAGGGTCTGGCCAGCCTGAGTCACTGAGAACAGACAATGGCCCTGATCTCACACAGACTCCGGTCGCTCTGCTCTACAAGGAGGAAGGCTGGGCAGCAGCAGCCATCCCCAGGACCGGAGGGGAAGGCAGCCGCATACTAGGTCTCTAACTCAGGTTCACTAGCTCACCCCTGCCAAAGCACTCTGCCTCCTCCCAGAAGGCCTTGTGCTGCTGGGTCAGAAGTTCCTCCTTCTGTCTCCCAGACAGTTGTCCCTGGACAGTCAGCAGCTCCAGGCCATGGGAGATGGCAGCTAGCCGACACTTGGTCTCCTCCTGGATCTGGGTCCTCAGGAACTCTACCATTCTTGCCATGTGGGCTCGACCCATTGTTCTCTCAAGGGCATCCTATAAGGAGACATGTGACAATGACTGGTCATCAGGGCTCTGCCTTTGTGGAGAAGGGTAGTGGCTCCAGTTCCACACTCCATTCCAAACATAGTGAGCTCCCTCCCTCCCCATATGCATCTTAGGCAGGGATGGAAGCCTCTCGGTGATTTCAGAGTTTGGGATAAACCACAGGACACTTAGCACCAGTATGCCTGCTTCATTACGGGGTTACTTCAGAGCCCAGCCCTGTCCTGGCCCCAAACCCTTCAACCACTGCCCTTTACCCAAACCCAGATTCTGGGACTGTCTCCCACTCCTCTGCTCCTGGGTGTCAGCATAAGCCTGACCACTGGATGGGAATCCGCCAGGGCCCAAGCATTGGTCTTTGAAGCTCCCCAGAAAGTATCTATGTGCAACCATCATTGAGAATCCTGATCTGATCTGCACCTCCACCATGCGAAGGTGGGTGATGGATGGGTGGGTGTTAAAACAGGCAGATGGCTAGAGAGATGGCTCAGCAGTTAAGAACATGTACAGTTCTCCCAGAAGACTTGAGTTTGATTCCCACCACCCACATCAGGGAGCTAACAACGGCCTGTAACTCTGGCTTGAGGGGGACCCAACACATATGGTCTCTGTAGCCATCTACACTTACATGTACACACACATACACACACACACACACACACACACACACACCAGCATGCACATATACATGTAATTAACAAGGGGCTAGAGAGATGGCTCAGTGGTTAGGAGTACTTGTTGCTCTTGCAAAGGACCATCTGGCTTTGGTTTCCAGTACCCACTTGGTGGTTCACAATCATCCATAACTCCATCTGGCACTCTCTTCTGATCTCCTTAGGTACCGGGTATGTACCTGGTATATATACACACACTCAGGGACAACAGTTGTACACATAGATTTTTTTTAAAGGGTACATGATGGATGGTTGCGTGATACATGGATGACTGATAGTAGGTAGATGGAGCAGATGAGGATAGATGATGGATGGATGGAAGATGGATAGGTGGGGGATGGACAGACAGAGGATGGATGGATGGTAGGTAGATTCACTGCCCTTTTCTGGGGCGCTAATGCCCCTCTACAATATGAAAGTGTTTGATCTCCTGATCCCTAAGGCGTCTGAGTGTCTCCCCCCCTTTCTCAGGCCCTGTGTTACCAGGGCCTGCAGGTCCTGAGAATCACGCAGCATTCCTTCGGCGTCAATCATTCGCCCTGTCAAAGTCATCATGAGTTGCCGTGCCTTGGAGCTGGAACATTTAAACTGGTCCATGAGAATGGGCTGGATGCTTTCCATCTGCTTCCAGAAAGCTCCCATCTGTGAAATGAGCACGAGAAGCAGGCAATGGGGGAATCTTATTCAAGAAAGAGTTCTGGCCAGTGTCTGGGAGTCTTAGCTCATCCCTTACTACCACCAGATTCACAACCCTTCTGCAATTGAAGTGGGTTTATCTTGGCAGTGATTACGCTGGCGGTAGGCCCTCCACTCAGCCCCAGCTACTGTGGCATATTACAGAGGTGTTTTCAGCAAACACAGGGCACCACTGCCAATAAGAAGTTAGGAGCACAGCTCAAGGATTCCAGATAGGTCATGACTACTCCTTCGGAACATGAGAAGTTAGACCATGAGATCCTGTGAGTTACAGGATCTCTCCAAGGGATTAAATATAGACTAAAAATAAAAACTCAGGAGGCCACTAACTATTAGTCATCGTTCCAGAAGTACAAAACAGCCAAATGGCAGAGAAGATGCTGACTGTGAAATCATTCTGCTTTTGAAATCCAGCTTCCCACACCACATCTTATCAGGACCAGAGTCAGTGCATGGCTTGGGATGTTGGGGGCTTCAAAGTGTGATAGCACGGCCTATCTAAACTTCAGCATCACATCAAGGCTGCCAGGGAGTCTGGTGGCTGTCCTTCCTGGCATGCAGGCTGTGTGTCATCTGCATGCCTTTCTTGCTTACTTCTGAGTAGAACATGCCCTGAGGCAGAGTGAAGGAACTAGTCAGAACCCAGATGTCACAGAACACCACTGCTATTGGCTGTATTTAATACATATCCCTTTAGGTCCACACTGATCCTGAATGTGGTATCACCATCCTGTGGGCTGATGTTCCAGAGTCAATAAAAAGGAGAAAGAGGGGAGCTCCAACATTAACTGTTAATACAATGTATCTAGAAGCTTCACTCTCTTGCAATCACACTTTTCCCACTATGGACAATTGGTATCCTTCTGGATTGTAAGCGCCTTAAGGTACTTGGCAGGTATTTGGTCACCAAGACGAGAAAAGTAACTGTGCCCCTTGAATGAATGTCCCCCATAGCCTCAGGAATTTAAACGTTGGGTTCCCAGTTGGCACTGTTTGGGGGAGGCTTAGGAAAGGTATGAACTTGTACTGGAGGAGGGCTTTGAGAGTTTAAAGACTTGTGCCATTTTTAGTTCTCTATCTCTGCTCCATCTTGGGGTTCAGGATGTGATCCCTCAGTTTCCTGCGCCTGCAGCCATGCCTTCGCTTTACCATCAAGGACTCTGACCCTATGAGGCTGGAAGCCCAAATAAACACTTCCTTCTTTAGCCTTCTAGACTCCCAGGTTTCATTGGCTTGTGTCTGCTCACATATGGGTCAACATCCCTTCTCACTGGCCTCTCTATGGCCCTCTAAGGAGCCTTTTCAGATCCTGAAGGGAAAGGATCATGCCCCTCGATCATTCTCAGCCTCCCCTAGCAACTTCCCATAGCAGCACGGGAGCCACGTGGTCCTCCTTGCTCCCTGTAGCTCTCCCCAATTCTCTTGGGCAAGGCCATGCTCAAGCAAACTTCAATCCCCACTGCCCAACACAGGCGGTGTCAAGGACACATCTGCTTCCCACAGATGCATGGCCAGGAGGCCATGGAGTCAAAAAGAGAAATGAGTGTTCTGCGGGAGTCCATTTCTGTGGCATGAGAGGCATGTTTCCTGACGCTGAGGGTTGGAGACACTCAGAAACCACTCTACAGTGGAGTGGTAGCGACACTGAGGATTTATAAGAAGCATTGCTTTCAGTGATAAAAACAGCCAGCTGAAAATGTCAATGGATAAAATCTTCCTTCTGTAAATCTCCACTCTAACTAGACCTTCTCTGCCACTGAACATCAAAAACTGGGTCTCTGCCTAGGGATGGGACAATGACAGTGTCACCTCTTTAGTCTCTCCAATGTCACTGTTGCAGAAACCAAGATTCCCCATGGGAAGAGAGGGCGACACCCACATTGTCTATGAGTTGCTCCGAGAGCTCTCTCTCCTTCCTCTCCACATCTGCCAGGGAGACGTAGCCAGAGTCACCGGTGCCCAGCATTTCTGTGTTCGCCAATCTGGCCTGAAGTCCCTTTTCTAACTCCTCCAAATCCTAGGGTGAGGGAGGAGAATGAATAAACAAAGAAAAAGGCATAAAACTCAAATTCTAGAATAAAGTTTCTTACATTTTTGACAAATATGTTATAAAAATGTATCTTAACAATAATGAGAAGTTCTGGGCACAACCTTATGGTTTAATGCTGGACCAGAGAGATGGCTCTGTGAGGGTAAGCTAGACATCTGAGTTTCTTCACCCACAGGCACACCGTGCATTCATACACATAGAGTTAAAATGCACTTAAGGTGTAAGAGTAAAAATACTTTTACTTTATTAAACATTGGACATCAAGGATGCAGGTTGATTTTCTTCTATATCCTCTGTCTTCCTGAAACTATAGTTAGTACTTAGCAAACAATCAAATCCTGTCTTTCAGCCATTAAAAACTGTTAGAGAATGTTGTGTGTTCTAGGGGCTGGGTGGGAATATTCCCTCTTCACACGGAGAAGGATTAGACACTACACCACAAGGAGGAATTGGCATTTGGTGGGTTCAAGAGTAGGACTTGCAGCTTAGCTTGTCGAGCTTCTTTCTCTCTGGGACACCATCTTCAGGGGAAGCCATTGGTCCAGTGTGGTCTCAGCACCGTGAACAGGTAGCACAGGCCTGTGGGGAGTCTCATGTGGTTCAGCTCTTCTTGTGATGAGATGTGCCAGTTCTTAGATTCAGGGTTAGGAAGCAACATCCTCCAGGCTGGTGGCATTTCTAGATCTCCAGCTCACTCCACATGTAGGAAGGATTGTGGGGTACTTTGTGTGGTTCCTCCAAACCCCAATGTGGAGAGGAAGAATGGTTCTTGCTTCTCTGGAGCTGTATTCCCAGGTAACCAAGCTGTGGGGCCAGCTTCTTCAGGAGATGGTTATAATGCTGCTGAGACTACTCATCTACAGGCATCTCCTACAGAGACTACCAACCTCCCCTCCTCTGCAGTACTCAATAAATATGCTGAGCTTCCAGGCTGCTGGAGGTAGTAGGTGTCCTCCATTTGAGTAAGCATACTCTCATCTGGTCCCAGCTTTCCTGTATGTGTGTCTGTCCTTTCCTCATCCCATCTGCTGGCCTTAGCCAGGGTTCTGGGACCCAAGCTGCAGGTCACTGCAAGTGTCCTTTTTACATATGCACATACATTTTCACATGAGATCAAACTGTGTTCAAATGTCTATCATAAAAAAACATTTTATGCATGGAAGGACACCATTTTGTGCATGCCATGATATGCTTTATTTTAAACAATGTATTGGATTAACGTGAGATACGGGTTAAAGACTTACATGCTCTTGTTTTGAAAGGATCTTCTGGTATAATTCATCATCAGGCTTCTTTTTAGGAAAAAGGTCCAGGAGGCATGCCCTAAGAATCTGAATGAACATCTGTTGGCAGAAGGGAAGTGGTAAGAGAAACATCTGCTCTGAGAAGCGCCCCCTTGCTCTGACAGTTATTGCTGAAGGAAAGGTTCCATACATAAAAAGACTATATATCATGGCAATGGCCTGTCCTGGACCAGGCTTTAGGAAGCGTCTAAAGAATGTTTCCCATCTTCCTTTCTTCCTTCCTTCTCCCCAATTTTCTACCTTCCTGTCTTTCTTCTTTCTCCACTGACCCTCCTGTCCTTACACGATTTCCTCTGTGCCTACACTGTGTAGAGCCCTTCATGACCCCTATTCCCACATGGAGACTTGCTTCCTTGAAAGAGAGTTAGAGATACCTCTAAGGAATTGGGATGTGTGGAGCCCCCCAAGACTCCTGCCTCCACAGAAGGAGATGCTCCATAAACCAAGGAGGGCCCTTCCAGAATTGGGGATTCCCAGGGAATCCTAGAGGGTAGTATCTCCATGGTGTCTAGCCACAACACTACAGGAGTTTATTAGCCAGGTATCATCACGGACCCCAATGTGGTGAACATTCACACAGAGGCTGGTGTCAACATGGTCTCTCTGGGAAGAGCCACTGGTCCTCTGAGCATCATCACAGGCTTGGTTTTCTAGGAAGCAGTCATACAGTTTTCTACTCCCTCGTTGTTGTGTGCAGTGTCTGGCCTCCACACAGCCTCAGCTTGTGTTCTGCTGCTGTTAACGGTAGCTACTGACTTAGTGTCTTTCCCTCACACAGTGTTCTCTATACCCTGTGTCTCAGCAGATGCGTCCTGAGCATGAGCTCATCTCTACATGGCTCCTGCCCCAGAGACGTGAAAGGCCATGTCCTATCAGCGGCAATGGACGCTGCACCACACCCAGTGCCCAGACCTCACCTCCATCACTCCCCTGTTTTTCCACCTGGGTCTGTGCCCTTCACACATCTGAGGCTCTGTGCACACAGGGAGTCCCATAACCCCATCTGGTCCCCAGGTCAGGAAGAGAAAGCAAATGACTCCACCTACCAGGTGCCTCTCCTGCCTCAGCGCTGTGTCCAAATGAAGCAGGTCTTTCAGGTGAAGGCTGCAAACACATAGGTCAACGTCCGCACTGAACCACCAGAGAGAAGCAGACGGGTCGAAGGGTAAGAAGTCAGGATGAGGAAAGGACACTGATCTCAGCTTGGTCTTCGTGGTGTCTCTTTCCCCTAATTCATACGCTCCTCACATACACTCAGGGTTAGAGAAATCTACACTGTTGCTGGAAGCCTCAGCTGAGGGAATAGGGAGTTTAAGGGCCCAGCTCCCAGGGACCCTGGAGACAAATGCATCCAGAGAGAGAAAGCCGAAGAGGCAGGCTCAGCACAGACGATGGGTAAGGAGGTGATTCTGAGAGCAGAGGGCCAGAGCTATCGAGCGCAGACACAGGTAAACTTGAGGACCTTTTTCTTTCTCACAGACAAATGCATTTGAATGAAAATGCCCATCCACACAATTCTGAAGTCTACAAGTGCAAATCCAAGAATGTGGTTCATGCTAGTCTTCCTCAACCCAGGGACATCTCCCTTGGCAACAGGCTCCAAGTCCCTCCTTCATGGGCCAGGGCTGCCCCCTGTTGTGGTGGTTTGTATGAGAATCGCTCTCATAGGCTCACAAGAGAATTTGGACCCCAGCTGGTGGAACTGTTTGTGAAGGATTAGAAGGCGTGGCCTTGTTGGGGGAGGTGTGACGCCAGGTGCACACTTTGAGTTTTCAAAAGCCCACATCACTCTGAGTTACTTCTCTCTCTGCCTCCTACCTGCAGATAAAGGATGCAGACCTCTTGTTCCAGTTGCCATATCTGCCCGGCATGATCCCAACCATAGTGGTCATGGACTTTAACCCTCTGGAACTGTAAGCTCCAATGAACTCTCTCTTCTCTAAGATGCCCTGATCATGTATCACTGAATAATAATAGAAAAGCAACAGCAGCATGCAGAGAATCCTGGAACTTCAGGGCACAGAGACCTGAGGACAGCTGCCAGAGGACCACACAGTGGTCAGAGGACCACACAGTGAGGCTGGTGACAAAGCACCAGAACTTCAGAGATAAGGTGGCTTATCACCCAAACATGGCTTATCACTCACTGTGCTATGAACTTGGGCAAGTTACTCATCCTCTCTGTGTCTTTTTACAAAGTATGGGAAATATTGCCTGATATTTATGGGTCACCAAACCTGATCCAGTACCCTTTGCCATGCCACAGAGCTACAGCAATGAGCAACAGGGATCAGGCCCTCAAGTTCCTTGGACAATTTTTGCAGGAGCTTTGCCCAAACTCCCAGGCTGTTGGCTGCACTATAATTCTCCCTTGCCACCCTTCTCCAGGGCTCAGGCTTGACTCTGTAACCCCAATATTGAGCCACGCCTTGTGGCCAACGGTAAAAGTACCTGGCCCCCAGCTCTGACACTATGCTTCTGTGTGTCCATGGCTGAGTCATTAGACTTTTTCTGGACCTGTTTCCTCATTTGCAACACCCACTGCAGCTTCAGTGTCCCGCGATTGCTCCTTACCTCTCACAGGCCAGAACCTCGGGGAAGCTGCCCACCCTGAGGAAGGCACAGTGAAGGAGCCTGTCGTCACTGTAGGCTGAGTGCATGCTGGAGCAGGAGCTGCTGTCCTCCTTGCCAGCCTGGCTCAGGCTGCCCAAGCTGCTGGCCGCTGAGGCCTCTGCTGGCTGGTGGGGCAGGATGGCTGTAGCCTGGGTCAGGTTTTCATGCAGCGATGGGTGTGAGGATCCATCAGCCAGAGGCTGGGAACAGAAGGAGACCACTGGAGTTGAGTATGCACAGACCAAGCTTCTGCCCCCAGGGCCAAGGTCAAAGCCACACCTGAGGGACTGAATCATGACTCATCTGTTCCCACACTTGTTTCCATGAGGCCAGCCCTCTGTAGCAGACTCCTACTCTAGAGCCACTAGAATCTGTCCCTCCATACTCAGTGCTCCCATCCCTCTAGCCCATGATGACTGCTGGATGCCCTTCCTCCTTTGCGTCTTCTATGGCTGGCTCAGCTCCAGGAGCCCCTTTGACTATGTGTGCTAAGCACCTGCCCCGATGAAGGCCATTCTTGTCACAAGCCGTGATGGCTCCCGCTGTCCTCTCATAGCCCTGTGCCACCTAACTAAGCCCACTGTGACACTGTGACAATTGGAAGTGCTCAGCTCTCCATCGAGCCCTGTCACCTGCTGCCGAGCTTACAGAGACTGAGCTGGCCCCTGCACCAGACCTCCTCATGTCCTGCTTCTGGGCCTTTCTACATTGAACTGTCCTGTTGGGATCTGCCTTTGCTGAGGCTTGTCTTCCTCGAGGTCTGCTGGGTTCCTGAGGTCCCTGGCCATTTCTCTGTGGCTGGCTGCCTGACCATGGGGGCATGGGGGCCGGGGAACCTATAGCAACTCAGCAGCACCTTGGGCTGCTCAGCTGACCGCAGCCATATTGGCATACATGTGCCTTCTATCTACCTGACAGACAACAAGGAGCTGAGTAAGCTTTTCACAATGTGCTGGGGAACAGGCCAGTCAGCCATGATTGCAACTGGCCTAGCAGAGGTTTAGAATCCTCCTAATCCTGTGTGTGTGTGTGTGTCCATGCACACATGCGTGAGAGAGAGAGAAACAAAGAGAGAGAGAGAGAGAGAGAGAGAGAGAGAGAGAGGGAGGGAGAGGGAGAGACTCTCTTTACTTCTCTTCCCAGTGTGACCACGTTGACTATATCTCCTTTCTCTGTTTTTTACCACTGTTGTCTCTTTAACTGGCTTCTTGAGAATGGGTAAGCTCAGTTGTTGGCCTACTAGGGCCCAGGCTCTGACCCTAACAACTCCAGCAGCACAACCAGATGCTGCTCATTATAAGGCTTCCGCAGGGAGAGTCTGGGAACACCCTCTGGTGCAGGAAGTTGCTGACTGAGCAAACCATGGTTCTGAGCCCTGCCACACTGTCTTGCCTGAAACCCAAACAGTTGGTGAGGCAGAAACCCAAACCCCCCTCATCCCCCATTTCACAGCACAGCAAGAAAGAGCCATGCAGGAAAGGCTGAGTCAGGAGTCAGAATGGCACCCGAGACTCAGAGCATATCTTCCTGGGTGTCAGTTTGCTGGTCCTTTCCCAATCACTCTTGGCCAGGACCCTGTCCACGGGACACCTCATGGGTTCAGCTCTTCTCACCGTTATGGCTGCTTTCTACATAGAGACTCCAGTCAATGGTCCCTGCTCCACATGGCCTTGAACAGTCCATTCACCTTCTGGGAATGCCACAAAGTAGAAATGCCAACTATGTGACAATCCCTCAGCCCTGTATAAGTGTCTATGAAGTAATAAGTGTAGCATCTGGCACTAGCTCTGAGCCATATGGATAGAGATAGAAGTTGGGGCCTGAGGCTCCCAGAGGGAGGATAGCATCCGGCTGTCTGGTAGCTGTCATACTTGCAGATCAAGCAGCTGTAATTCCTGACCTTTTTGTGGTCCCCGTGTGCCCACACAGAATGGGTCAGCTTTCATGTTATGATCTATCACACACCAAAGTTTCAGATAGGGTAGAAACCCACATCTGATCCCTGCTCTCCCAGGGAACACAGCACCTTTAGAGTAAACGTCATTGCTAAGATGGAACTTGGAATGCTCACCCGGAACTTCTGGTTGATGGGATAGACAACCCTGGCTTTCAGCGCAAAGGCCGTGATGTTGCCGCTCAAGGATGGCTCACACTCCTGCAAAGAGAAGAGAGTGAGTTTTTGCCACTTTAAGGACAGATGGTCACGAGTCTCCAAAATGTCACATTCCACCTGCAACAGTGGCCACAGGGAAGAAGCAAGACAGGCTGGTTTGGATCCTTGCAAGAAGGATGGATGGGTAGGTGGGTGGACTGGTAAATGGTGGATGCAAGAATTAAGAGAAGAACTGAGGAATGGATGGGTATATGGATGGCTGAATATAATGAAGGATCTACCAGTGGGCAGGCAGAAAATAGGTGAATGAACGGATGGGTGGGTTGACGGAGAACGGATGAATGAAGGTGTGTATGTACATAATGTATGAATTACTGATGAAGAGAGACATGAATATATGTATGTATATATGTGTCATAGTTATTTTTCTTTTACCTCAATGAATGCCATGACCAAAGCAACTTGGAGAGGAAAGGGTCAATTTCACCTCAAATATTACAGCCCATCATTGAGAGAAGTCAGGAAAAGAACTGATGCAGAGGCCACAAAGGATCACTACGTACTGCCTTGCTTTACAAGGCTTGCTCATTCTGCTGCTTTCTCATACACCCCAGGGCCCTGCCAGGATTATTACCACCTGCAATGGGCTTGCCCTCCCACATCAATTACCAATAAAGAAAATGCCCCACAGGCTTGCTCACTGGCCAGTCTGGTAGGGGCATTTTCTCAATGGAGGTTCTAGCTTGTGTCAGGCTAATATAAAACTAGCCAGCATAGTATTTATAGGTAGGTAGGTAAGTGGATGGAGCACAGACTTATGTATAAATATGTGGAGTATGGATGGATGACTAGATGGAATAATTTAATGAATGGATGAATGAGAAGATTTGTAGATGGGTGGATTCATGAAGAGATGAATGAATGAATGAATGGGTGAGTGGGTAAATGGATGTGTGGATGGATGGGCAGATGGACAGACTGATAGATGGGTGGCTGTATATATGTATGTATGTATGTATGCATGCATATATGTGTGGTGGGTGGGTAGATGAACAAATAGATGGATACATAGAAAATGCTTGGACAGACAGACACTGTCATTTAATTCTGATTCTTCAGTTTTGACATAATCAGGCTTTTAATAACTTGAGACAGATTAACAAGCGAGAAGGGCTATGGCCCACTTTCAATGGGAAAAACAACCCCACAAAGTATCCCAGCTTTGAGGAATTAGACCTCACATTTCACAGTGCAGCAGGGTCTCTGTAGCTGACAATTCCTATATTTCAACGCAACTGGATGTGTCTGAACTTTCCCAACTCACAAAGGTGATGACGTGACAGTACCCACACCACATGTTACATGTATATCACACACCATTCCACTGAAGAAGAACATTATATGTGCTCATTAAAATGTTTAAGTGTGGCACTGTAGGGCAAAACACACAGGCAATATTCATACGGGGTTTTGGAATAGAACCTTAAACAACAAGGAATGGCTGGATCAGCCTCAGTCTGTCCATATTACCAACAGATGGAGGGTATAATATTCAAGGATAGCAGGCATGAAGCTTCCAGCTGACTTCCTGGGACTGAGAAGACACTAGAGACTGGACAGCATTAGTGCTGGTGTTCACCAGCCATTCCGAGCCTGGTGGGCATCGGCTCCCTGAGAAGCCACCTCTGATGCAGTGGGAGGGGCCTAAACATTGCCCACTCTGTTCCCTAGCATGCTCCTCACTTCTTCTGAGTGTTTTGCTACGTTGTGCAGGCTGGCCTTGAACTTATGATCCACCTCAGCCTCCAAGCAGTTGGGATAATAGAGCACGCCAGGTCTGGTGGTCCTCTGCAGTTTCAAGCTTCTTGTTACACGAAGGAGGGAAAGGAGGTGGGAGGAAAGGAGAGGAAAGGGGCAAAATGAGAGGAAGGCATGGTTTCTCTACCCAGCAGAAGGCAAACACACAGTACTGAAGCATGAAAGACAATGAAAGGGACACATACGCCTTTCAGGAGCAGGCGAAATTGGGGTGCCTGGGGAGGCAGGCATGATTGCAAAGCCTGGAGTGGGACTGAATAGCCCTGGCTGTGTGAAGCTCTACTTACAAGGATGCCAGTGTGGCCGCCTGTATCCTGCAAGGGTTGACGGAGGCCTGCCCTGCTTTGGCTGAGAGATAGAGGACACGGGAGCCCTTGGTGTGTGGAGGCAAGGGCAGGCAGCTCCTGCCACCTGGGCAGGATCCTGAGACCTCAGCTTTTCATAGCTCTCCTCACTTGGGTCTAGATGCTCCCAATCTGATGGTTCCCCTCAGGAGATACAGTGATCCAGGAAATGGGTTGCTGTGCGAAGTTACAAGGTAGAACTTCAGCCATAAACAAGGCAGTCGTTCAGAAGATTGGTGAAGATCATTGTAGGGAGAGGAAAGAAAGCTGTCTCCCCTCATTCCTAAGGTGTGCTTTTTGGTCCTGCATGGTCTCCTCCATGGGCCACATCCCTCCTCTTCATTAGCAAAGTCAAAAGCAGAAGATGTAGGCTATGGGGCAGCAGGCCTCTGAAACCTGGAAATTTCTGTGTGTTTTAACCAACAGGAGCTATTCATTAAACAGAGATCATCTAAGTAGCAGCAGGACGAGGCTGAGGTTCTCTGTGCACAGAAAGACTCACCAGGCAGAAACATGGCAGCACAGGCAGATATTTAACTCAGCTCTGGACAATCATTAGCCTGGTAATGGGCACCTGCCAGGCACTGAGGGAGGTAGCAGGCTAAACCTCACTAGGCTGAAGAGAAATGAGGTAATCTCCCACCACTGCAGCACTGATGGAGTGCCTTCTGAGGCAGGGGTGCTGGCACCATCCTGGGGACCCTGTGGGGGACCTCGGTGACACTCCCATAGTGAGGCACTGAGGCTCAGACAGGTTATGTTTCCTGCCCAATCCCACACAGCAAATGTACATCGGATCGGAGCTGGGATTGGTCTACACTGGGCCCCAAGGCTAGTGCCGTTTGCATGGGATCCAAAGCCACCTTACATGTGAGTGAGGGTTTTGTTTGTTTTTTAAAACAGTTTTATTGCTCTGAAAGATATTAATTGTATAATATGTATTCTACCGTCTTCAGTGTTTCCTCAATGTCTGAAGTATCACATAGGCAATTTCAGAATGGCTCCTTGCAGCAGAGAAGCCCTGTGCTCTATGATTTCCCACCTGCCTCTTCCATGGCAATCACTCAGCTACTTCCTGTCCACATAAACTTCCCATGCATGGGATCCTACTTGGCTGTGCATGACTGGGTTCCATCACTTTGGGTAACAATGGCCAGGCTTACAGTGCATATCAATACCTCGCTCCTTTTCACAACAAATAGCATTCAGCACAGACAGATCCCTCTTCTCCGTTTATGCTTAGTTTGAGTCTTGGTTTTTCAATATGTAACACAGGTCAGGCTCAAATTCATAATCCTCCTGCCTCAGCCTCAGAGATTATAGGCAGAGCCCATGGTGCCTGGCTGACAGACAACGTTCTGTCCATGCATTTCTTGGGTTGATGGTCATTTATGTTGTTTCCGATCTGGCTGTTGTGGACCGAGCTGGACATCTGTGTACAAGCATTTGTGTGGACATAATTTTCCTGTCTGTGAGTGGAATTTTAATGGTATGTAGGGAGGCACAGAGACACAAACACATGCAGAGATACAGAGAAGCAGAGACATGAGGGCAAGGCTTAGAGATACAGCCTTGTGGAGGAGAGTGCAGCTCCTGGGTCCACAAGCCCTTCAACATCCTGGAATCCCAGCAGGCTTCTCTGTTCACCTCCACAGCCTCCCTGAAACCCCGAGGCTCAGGCTCTGCAGGCTAGGCCCTCCCCCAGGAAAGTAGTGTGGTCACTGGAATCTTTGGGAGCTAGGGGCAGCTTGGGACAACCAGCTGCTACTCTACTTTGTGAACCGAACACGTATGTATGTATGTATGTATGTATGTATGTATGTATGTATGTATATATGTATGTACGTACGTATGCACACGCACGCACACGCGCACACACACACACACACACACACACACAAACACACAAACACACTGGGTTGTGAGCCTAGCCTTTAATGGCTGAGCCATTTCTCCAGCCCAAAACATAGGGTTTTTTGAGACAGGTTTTCTCTGTATTGTTTTGGAGCCTGTCCTGGAACTAGCTCTGTAGACTAGGCTGGCTTTGAACTCACAGAGATCTGCCTGCCTCTGCCTCCCGAGTGCTGGGATTAAAGGCGTGTGCCACCGTTGCCAGACTGCTACTCTGCTTTGTTCCTAGCCTTTGGAGAGGTTTGTGTCCAACCCAAGCACTCCGCCCGGCCAGTGGGGGATCCCAAACAGGGAGGAGCCTGAGGGGCAAGGACAGGTAGAGTCGGGGAGGGCAGCATCACTTGCTCTGCTGGGAGCCAGACAGACCTAGGAACACATCTGAACTTGGCCACTCCCCAGTTTTAGGACTCAGAAAGGACCTGTCTTTGATCCTCAGTTTCCTCATCAGAGTATGAGAACAAAATGGAAAGAGAGAATTAGGAGGACACAAATCCACTAGACCAACGACTCTGACTCTGTCTCGACTTAAAGTATGAAGTATTTCCTGGGGCACAAGGGAATGCCAAGTGATGACCCTGTGTCTCTACTCACCCTAGCCATGCTCTGTGGGCCAACTGAAGCTGGACAGAGAAGACCCTGGAGAATTAATGCTCTAGGATTGGTGCCATGTTCCAAGCTTTCCCTTGGCTGCCTATTTACTTAGAGCAATAAAGTTTAGTGAGAGAATAGAACCGGGACTCGATTGATAGCAGCTGGACCCTGTTAACACTCAGTTCACCAGCCAAACGCTCAGAAAGTGCTGAGTGGCTATCAGTGCTGTGCTCATATTGACTGCCCCACTGGCTGGGACAAAGGAACCGGGTGTGGCTATGCAAATGTTGGTAGCAGGGTGTTGTGGGAACTGAGATACACTAAACTCCAGTCACCCCATGGTCATGAAAACCCTACCAGGGTAGCTTCTTGAATAAGTGTTACCATAGATGATCATTAGAGGGATTTTAATTAAGAGGGAGGGTCCCATACCTCTGTCAAAAACGCATCCACTGCCTTTTACTATTCATACATGACAATCCTGGGGAAATAAGTCAGACAGTGTCTTGGAGCTTGACACCTTGGCTTCCTGGAAGACAGTCCCACACCTAGCATGTGTCCACGAAGCACACAGACCCAGACTAACCTCAGGAGCATCCTCATCCCGGGAGGTTGTCATTTCTCTCTGGCGCCTCCTGACCCGGGAGCCAGTATCTGGCAGGCTCTGTGCAGTGGGCTCTGAACTCCTGAGCAGACGATGAGTGTCATCTTTCTGAAATCCCAAAGGGATGGAGAGAAGCCAGATGCTGAAGTCAGTTAGCCTTGTCCCTCTTCCTGAACTTTAGCCACCAAATCCCCACCCCAAAGTCACCTCGGCTCACCATGTGCCCTTCCTTCACCCATCAGGCATCCTTTACATCCCCTAAGTTGCATGTCTCAGTTGTCCCCAAGTGGAGTCTTGTCCCAGGAGTGGGCACACTGGGAGAAAAGCTTGCATTGCTTGCACTGTTTCTCAGTTTCTGTTCTACGTTCATTTCTGTAGCTGTGATGAGATTCTTGACAGAAGCAACTGCCCCTACATGCATTCATTTCTCTCTGCTCTTAATTGTCAAATGGCTAGCTGCCTCAGGTTCCGGCCTTGACTCCTGCACAGTGTGGGACTGGCCTGGAGTTGTAAGCTAAAATGAGCCTCTTTCTCCTTAAGTTGCTTGCTGTTAGGTTTATCTCATCACAGCAACAGGCATGAAACCAGAAACTGCAGTCCCCAAGGGGCCATCCCTTTGCAGGAGATGTGCAAGTAGTATTTTCCCTCAGTTCTCAGTGATTTTTTAAAAAAAATCTGGGTGATTTTTTTAAAATAATGATCTTGGTTACCTTCAACAGAGGGGTGATTTCTACTATGGACACAACAGTCCGTAGACGTGCAATTTGCAACTCCATCAATTGGCAGATGTCAACATTGATATTCACGTGGTTCATAGCTCTTCATGGACGTGTGAGCAGTGGAAGGCACCCACATGATTATCTGGGTGGATGTGGGCACAGAGAAGCCCACTTTACCCTTCCTACTCTCCTTGTCAAGTCACTTCCCTGTTGTAGCTGTGTGCCCAACTTCATCCAGTTTTGCTTCCTGTATGGGGGGGGGAGGTTGTGGTCCTGAAGTCCTGCCTAGAATTCTGAGGTACTGTAGGGCCATAGTGTACCCAACAGAGGCGAACATGGTTGAGAGAGGACCTGTCTCCGGTTGGAATTCTGAGTCTCTTTGCGGTGAGTCCACAGACAGGATTGACAATATGTAGCCAGTGAGGCTTTTAAACAAACACAGGCCACTCTTGAAGGTGGACTGATAGGAACAAAGGCTCAAGGGGATCCAGGCAGTGTCCTCCAGGCAAAGGGTTAGTGCTCACCGGTTCAGGGCAGGCATGAGGACACAGGTGAATTCCCGGAACCATGTCAAAAAGACAGGGATGCGGATGTACACTTTCATCCCCAGTGCAGGGAGGGAGGACACAGGTGGCCAGCCAGCCTAGCCTACTTGCTAAGTCCTAGGCCAGTAAGAGACCCTAGCACCAAAACACAAGGTGAATAGTGGCTTAGGAATGACACCAAGGTTGACCCCTGGCCTTGACATAAGCACACACATGTGCAAAGACACCTGCATAATACATGTACCTGAGCACACAGTAACATTTACACAAACCACACAGGGACTAGCATGATGGTTCAGTGAGTAAAGGCAGTTGCCACCAAGGTTAATAACCTAAGGACAGTCTTCTGAGCCCACATGGTAGAAGAGGAGAACGGATTTGGGCAAACTGTCCTCTGATCTCTACAGGCATGCTGTGGCATGTGTACATGCTCAAGAATATTACCCTCCTCCACACACAGAAAATAATTGTATTTATGCACTGGTGATCCGTTTATGCACTAAGTTAGACAGGGCTATGATTCAGCATCCACTGGGTACCTAGCGTTGTTCCAGATCCCGGAGAGCAGCCTCTTAGACAAAGTTTATTTGAAAAGAAACTTAAATGGTCTTGGGAGAAAGCATCTGCAAAGGGCTTGTTGCAGACACAGGTATGGCAATGTCAAGATGTCCAGAAGTTCATGTGTCTGGAGCAGGGATAGGTCTCTGGGAAGAAAGGACAGACAATATAGCCCGAAGTTTCAGATGCTTTTTCCCCCCTGATTATTGCTGACTATTTGAGGAGGGACTACCCAGTTAGACTCACTAAAGTCCTTGGGAGAAAACCCACCCACCCCACAGAGGCAGAAGCAGCTTTCTACTTCCATACTTAGATGTAGCCAGGAGGCCAAAGGTCAAAAGAGATCTGAGGACAAACTCTAACAAGAAGGCCAAACCCCAAAACAAAAGGAATGTCTTTGAGAGGGGGGAGTTGGGGTGGTGGGGGGTGGGTGGGTGAGGAAACAAAACCCAGGCAACAGAAGATTACAATGTCTTCAGGAAGTGGAGAGGCATTCTACTCACAAACAGGCAGTTTAGGATAAGAACAGAGGACTTGGGGACAAGAAAAGAACTCTCCAAAATGAAAATATAAAACACTGATTCACAAGACTAAAGCTGAGCAAAGCCCCCCAGCTTCATATGTGTTAACACACATGTATATGTGTGTAACACCCCCCCCCATATCCATCTAACAGTTCAGGACTGCTCACAATCATAGCTGACTAGCACAGAGGGTTATAGGAAAAGAGACTTGACAATGGAGAGAAAGATGATAAGCAGGGGCAGAAATCAATCCAGACATTGATTTCCTTGAAAGAAGTGAGGGACTGAGAAAAATAATCCTTAACCAAAAATGTTTCTAGATGGAGAGAGCCAAATGCCTGGCACAACAGAGGAGATCTGGAAGAAGTCAAAGCTACTAGAGCCCAGAGTGCCCAATGGGTCTCAGTATTGCTAATAAGATGCCTATTCCTCTGTGCCAGGGGTCTCCCCAAAAATCCCACATCATTGAAATAGTTGTCAGGCAGTGTGCCTTAGCCATTCCTGGACATTAGATCATACACTTGCTGCATTGCCAGGCTGCTTAATCCCTTTCCCTGCTTTTCACCTCACAAAAATTCAAAGCTGTTTGGAGAGTTCAGAGCCTGAGAGGGCCCAGTTCAGTGCCTGGAACGGACAGCTCTCTAGAAATGCTAGCCTGATTCTACTCGACCACAGCACCCATCATGTGGGGTTATGACCAAATGAGAACTGGAATTGTGTCTTTCCTGCTTACCCATGTGGCATTCAAGGCTCAGTGTGACCCCTGGCAGAATGTCCTCAGTATATTCCCAGAGGAGGTCCCACAGCTCCACCGCAAGGTAGAGGGATTGGGCATCCGGGTGCGAACACTACCCACCCCTCCCCCATACCGAGCTGGGAGCATCTGCTGGGATTATGCCCAAACTTCTAACTGCACCCGAGGGCACTGAGGCTCAGGACTTGGGAGAGACAGTCTTTCTGAGGACTCCAGGCAAGTGCCTTTAGGTCACTCATTCCATGCCCTTTCTCAGCAAGCTCTGACCCTGGTTTTTCTGGAGCAGTAGGCTGAGCGCAATCGCACTCAGAAGATGCAAAACTGGGATTCAGACCCTACTAGAGGAGGAGGGCGCTCGATCCTCTCCTTGGTACCCACCTGGAGCCGCGCACGCAGGCGGCTGGCGCGGCAGCCTAGCCACAGGCCGAGGCCCAGACCTAGTGCGGCGCCCAGTAGCACCGCGGGGACCAGCAGCGTGGGCGCCGCCTGCAGCGCTTCCCGGCCCAGCTGCAGTCGTGCATCGCTTGTGCAGGCCATGGGGGCTCGGGCGGGTGACCCACCGCATCCCGCCGACCGCCAGCTTTGTGCCTCCGCGCCCTTCCCTGCAGCGCCCAAGCCGGGGGAGGAGCCTGGACCCGCGGCCCCAAACTTTCAGCCATTCCGGGCCATCCCTACCGCACATTGAGCATGCGCAGCTGAGGAGCGCCTTCCAGCTAGAGGACCCAAATGCAGGAGGAAGGGAGCATCCCTCCTCTGATTCCTCGGAGCAGCAACTACTCTGTGGTCACAGAGCACCTAGGCTGCCCCAAACCCTGGCCGGGCAACCACATTAAGCCCAGCAGCAGTTCCTGGGTTGCTGTTGGCCTGTGCCGACCAACTCCCACGCTGTTCCTTGGGACAAGCAGCTACTGCCTCCACACCTGATTGCTTGACTATTCCTTTTAATTCCTTATTTCCCGGAGAAAGATTCTTCTCTAGGAGGATGTGTGGAGTCAGTGTCACATTCGGGTCTCTCTAGAACCCAGATGTCTCTTCATTTTGTCATTCACGGCTCCAGGTGGGCAGGATGGGAGCCAATACTTGGGCCTCTTCAAGGACAGAAATGGACAGGGGAGGTGACTTATCCAAGGTCTGACAGCTCAGAACAAGTTGTTAGTGCCTGTCTGCTCACACCTATAGCTTTAGGTCACACACCTGCTAAGAAACCTTCCTGTTTCCTTGGGGTATCCCTGGGAACGTCCTCCAGGCAATAACCTCATGCTGCAACTCTATGTTTATATGGATGCTCAGGCCTGAGCTTTAAAAACGTAGGAGGCCATGCAGCAGCTATGATCCATGGACCACTCAAACTATATAGTAGGCAGAGGCAAACTGGCTTAAAAAAAAAAAAATAGATGCATTAAAAGCGAATGCTGCTTGTGTTTTGCCCTCTAAAACACTGCTCCCAGCATGCCTGGCAGTTCTCAAGGGTGCAGTACTCGGTGTGAGAGGCATGGCTAGGACACTCTCAAACCTGCAAATTCGTGGCCTTGTCCAGGTCGGGTCAAGAAAGGGGCGTGCGTGTCACTGGATTTGTGGAGAAGCTGGTGCAGGGCTTCCTGGCAGCTGCCCAGCAGTGGGGAAGGCAGGTCACCAGAAAGCCAGAAGACCCACTACTCTCCCAGCTCCTCCCTCTCAGGATACAGCAAAGCTCTATGTCTAGGGGCTTTCACCCCTAGCTTTCTCATTGGCCAAGTGATAGCTTCAGTGTTGAAGGGGAGGCTGGGTAGGTCCAGGGAGATTCCCCCAAGATTCGGAAAATGAGTGCTCCCTGAGACTTAGTTGGATCCCACTGGAGGCGAGGGCCACCCTTTCTTCTTTGCTCCCATCTCTGTTCCTCTGCCCCCTGCGCTGTCTGTCTTGTGGCCTTGGCTTTCTAATGCCTCTCAGGTTTCTAAAGCCGCTGCAGTGTTCGGAAGAGACGGGGAATTCAATGAGCCATCTCTGGGAATTAATGCAGAGACTGAGCTGAGATCTAGAGAGCCAGTGGGCATTGGTGGGGACCCTTGTCACCCTCAGGGAGGGAGAGTTGCGGGTGAACTGGGGGTGGGACGCTAAGGCGCTGCACGGCTCCCTCCCACGCGACTTCAAACTCCAGATGCCAGTGTTCCAGAAAACTTTCCAGGCGGCTCACACTGAGCATGCTCCGTGGCGGGGCGGGCCCGGGGTCCGGAAGCTCGGGGCTCCGCGGGGCCTGTGTGGGGTCTGCGGCCACCAGATGGGGGCGACCGGTCCCACGGGCGCTCGGGGACGAGCCACGTGGGTGCTGGCTGGGGGCGTCCTGGCTTCGGCCCTGGTGCTGGGCGCGGTTCCCCGTGCTTTCTCACCCACTTTCCCGGCACTGGGCCCAGGGTCTCCGTACAGGCCGAGCCCCGCTGGACCCCATCCAAGCTCGCAGGTAAGAAGGCAGGCGCCTGCGTCTGTCTACATCCATTGGGAGAGTCCTGCCCTGTGGGGCACAAGATCAGGTGGAAGGAGAGGCTGGACCCCTGACTGGTGCTGCCTCTAGGTGCATTCTGCATGTACCATGGAACTGAAACTTCCAGACCGGTGGAGCCTCAGGCTCTTAGATAGGGGTTCAAATCCAGATCTGCATCCCAGCAGTTAGGTATCTGAGGGCAAATCACATCAAATGTCTCCCTTTCTCAGGCTACTAGGATCCAGATCATCAGAAGTCACCCCGCATCAGATTAGTTCGTGTATATAGGGGTGCCAGTGTGCTAAGAAAGCTGGCAAGATGGGCTGGGTTTTTACCTGCTTTAGCTTCTGGATAGAGAAGACCACTGGCCCTGTTCGTGGTTTCCAGAATTGGAAAAGCACAGAGTCCTCACTGCCCCATAAGCCCCTCTCCCCAAGCTGGTCCCAAACTGTCCTGCTTTCTGCTCAGAACCACCCCCCCCCCACCCAAATCCGGCCCTTTGCCTCAGCCTATCACCTCTGACTCTTGGCCACTTTTCCCTTGGGTCTCTACCTATTGCCCTATCTTCTGCTGGTCAGCTTTACTTGTCAACCTGACACAACCCAAAATGATCTGGGAAGGCTGTTTTAATGAGGGACTGGTTAGATTAAGCTGGTCTCTGGACATGACCTGTGTTAGAGGTGGAGGGTTATCTTGATAAGGGAAGACCTAGCCCACTGTAGGAAGTGCCATTCCCTGGGGAGGGGGACTTGACCTCAGTAAGATTAGAGAAAGCAAGCTGCATGCTCAGCCTGCATGCATTTATTGCCCTCTGCTCTTGACTGTGGCTGTGATGTGACCAGTTGCTTCAAGCTCTTGGTTTCGAGGCGAGAATAACTTCAACTCAGAATCGCAAGCAGGAACAGACCCCCTTTCCCTGTAAGCTGCTTTTTGTCAGGGTATCTATCATATTCCCTGAAGATCCCTGAGGGATCATCTGCATCTGCGCTCACCATCTCCCTGCCTCCCCAACCACAGCCCAGAGAGCAAATCTAGCTTCGGTCCCCAGGAGGGTCCTGGCCAGTGGTGTGGCCCATTGGCACCGACTCTAGCATCACCTGCCCCACTCTCCCTTCTAGACCCAAGGATTCTCACAAGGCCACTCTTGCTGCAGAGGCTACGGCTTTAAGGGCTATTCTGTTCCCTTTCTGTCACTTGCAGTCTTCGGTTGTCTCTGTATAGGCTGTGGATTGGGCTTTAGGCCCAGTGACTGACATTTTCATTAAGTCCTTTCCCTTACTCCTCCTGGGGGATGTGAGATTCAAGTGGCTTATTTGCAGAGGACAAAATCAAGGCCCGTGAAAGCTGCCGAGACCCTGGCCTGTGCCTTCACTGTGGCCCCCACATCCAGAGCCCAGGTCTTTGCACATCTTGCCCGGGAAGCAGAATGTTCTGGTAGACACTTGACTCTGTCAGGATCAGGTGTGGAGTCGGGAGGAGGGTGACTATTTCAGAGCCAGGGCACTTCACTGTCACAGGTCACTCTGTCCTTGTTGGAGCCTGGAAGGAGCACCTGTCCAGGAGGCCTTGGTGCTCCAAGTGATTGGGTTGCCTGGGGACTGTCTGGAGAGTCAGCACTTTTTCACCATTCTGGGCCATTGCAGACAGTCCTTCTGTGAGCTGAGCCCTGGCTGTTCCTGCCTTGGCCTCTTATCTCTGTGAGGCCTGGGTCTGCACACAGCCCTCAGGGCTGTAAGGTCACTCACTCCCTGACACCCTACTCAGGGTGAGTCTCAGATGCTCCCTCTGTGGTTGTCACAGCCATCACTGGTGCCCCTCTCTGCTTCCTCCTCTCAATATGCACATCTAAGAGCTGTGTTCTGTACAGGGGTTGCAGAGATACATTCCCGATTGCCTGACGATTAAGCACTTTGGAGGGGATGGGGGGGCCTGTGAGGGCTGCTAGAGGAGGAGAGACACTCAGATGGAGAGGCCATGGAGTGAAGACGTTTGGGAGGATAAGTAGAAAGGGCCTTATGGGAAGAGTCCTGGTGGGTGGGGACCTAGGTGGGGAGGGCTCTCTTTGACTTGTCTTTGGCTCAATAGCACCTACACATCCTAGGTCACACCTTTACTTCCTGGTGTGTGTTTCTTGGCTGTCTCCTGGGTGGAAGTTATCTACTGGGCAGGTGCCGTCTTTCATCCCTTCACTGGATGCTCACTAAGGTTAGGTTGCCAATGGTTCTTAAGAGTGGGCTCCAGGAACCCTGGGTTACTGGGTCTTTCCAGGGTCCACAGAGTCAGGGCTATTTTTATGGTGTTCCCGAAGCAGCTTTTCCGTTCCGTTCTGAGAAGTGACATGACATGGGACATTGGGGAAGAATTCACATAGAGGCAGATCTGAGGATTCATGTGCATCTATTAATTCAGACACAGGTGACTTGGCAAAAGTTTAAAACTTTTAATTTGAAAAAGCTAGTGATTTTCATAAAATCTCGTAGTTATGTGGCTATAGGATTCTTATTCCTATTTTAAACATGGATACTTGACTATTCTGCTCTCTTTTAAATACAGTCTTTCTGTAGTGCAGGATAAGTACAGTAAATACTGACAAACAGAATCCATTCAAACCCAGTTCTTCAGTCCTTTCTAACTGTGTGTAAAGAATCACGAAGCCAACACGTTTGGGAGTCACTGTTCCCTTGCAATCCCTGTCTGGTTCCCTAGGGTTTGGGGATGAAACAAGCCAGTTCCTTTTTTAAAGTTAAGTGTGTTTTAGAAGGAGGCCTACTTCTCATATTCATGGTATTACTTGAATATGAAACGATGATTCGGATTGGCTGGAATGATAAACTGGATGTACTGGGTGTGTCTGGGGGGGAGGAGAGAGAAGAGAAAGGGAGAAGAAATGGTAGGAGAAAGAATGAGGCAGAGAGGGGAGAGGGAGGGAGAGATCCAGTAGCAGCCAGACATCATCTGTTAGTCTTTTCTGTGTCTTTGTTGTTACCCTGTATCTTTGTTGTCTTACACGATATCTATGTTCTTATTACACTGTATCTTTGTTGTTTGGTACACTGTATCTTTCATTCTTGTTACACTATCTTTTTTTAATTGTATCTTGATTGTTATCGCATTGTATCTTTGTATTGTTATACTTTATGTTGTGTTACACTTTATCGTTGTTGATACACTATGGCTTTGTTATTGCTACACTGTATCTTTGTTGTTGCACTGAATCTTAGAGTTACTATTGATGTGGTAAAAACACCTTGGCCAAAAGCAACTTTGGGAAGAAAGGGTTTATTTGGCTTATGCTTCCACATCATAATTGTAAGGATTCAGGCATTATGCTGGCCTGCCCCTGTCACCTGGCAGAATGCACTCAGGCAGCCCATGAGTTCTAGTCTGCAGGCAGGTGTAAAGGACCCTTTAAAAGCCAGACCTCTGCCCATGTAAGCTCTCTTTTGTTCTCTCTCTCTCTCCAGCTTTCAGTTGGCCACCAGCTACCCCCCTCTTCTCTCCCCCTCTCTCCTCTTCTGTTCCCAGTGCCTCTGTCTCTTCCCTTCCCCCTCACTCCCCTCTCTAAATAAACTCCTCATTCAAGCTCTGTCTGCCTGGCGTGTTATTCCCTCCGCCTCGCCGCCTCGGTCACCCTCACCTGCTATGGAACCTGCTATGCTCTCCCACGTGCTCCCTGACCTTGGGACCCCACTCACTTGGGACCCTCACTCGGGACCACCCCTCCCCCTTCTCTAGCGTTTATTCTTATAACTGTAACTAAAGAACAACAATAATCCCTCACAGAAAGAAGTCAGGGCAGGAATTCAAGCAGGGCAGGGACCTGGAGGCAGGTGCTGCTGCAGAGTCTATAGAGGGATGCTGCTTACTGGCTTGCTCATCATGGCTTGCTCTGCTTGCTTTTGTTGTCCCCAGGTTATAGTGAATTCAAGTTCAGCCTGGGCTACATAAGCCCCTGTCTCAATTTTTTTTTTTCCTATTCTGTCCTGTCATTCTTTACTCCTCTCCCCACCTGTGCTGGTTAGTTTTAACTATCAACTTGCCAACTCTTTGAGTCACCTGAGGAGGGAGTGAGTCTCAGTTGAGGAATTAACTACATCAGGGTGGCCCTAAGGGCATCTGAGGGGGATTGTCTTAGTTAACATGGGAAGACCCATGAATACGAATATAAGCAGCACTGTTCTGTGGGCTGGCCACTAAGCTGTGTAAGAGTGAAGAGAGTAAGCTGAGTGGCGGCAGCTGCAGCAGCAGCAGCAGCAGCTGCAGCAGGAGGGAGGCCACACTACAGCTGCACTTTGGCTCCGGATTATTTCTAAAGGTCTATGTATTGAAGGCCCGCTCCCAGATCTGTGGCACCATTGGCAGGGGAGGTGAACTGTTCAAAGCTTCCAGACCTCAGCCTATATCCTCAGAAGGGATCTGTTTGCTGTCTTCTTTCTTTCAGTTCCATACCATAATAAGCTAAGCTGTTCCACGTCACCACACACCGCTATCATGCTATGTCACCCAATGCAACAGGTCCTGAAACATCTAGAACTCTGAGCCAAAATGAACCTCTCCCCTTTATAAGACACTTAGCTCATATTTTGTACCAGTAATGGGAATATAGTAACACATCAATGACCAACATGCTTACACATTGGTGGCCATGCCTAACTATTCCATGATTATCCTTTTGAGACTGACAACAATCTACCTTTGTCTTTGTGCAGCACAGCTCAGAATTATCCGTTCATCTTTCTGACCAGCAGTAACTCTGGTCAACTGGGTCGGGGGCCACAAGCATACTCACTTTTCTATGCTCCTAACTGTGATGTACTGTGGCTACTGCTTGGGGCCCTGTTTTTACTTTCCTGAAGTGATGTATTGTAACCTAGAGTTCATTGTAAGCCAGATTTGTCAGGGTGTTTATTGCAGCAACAGAAAAGAAACTAGGAAATCCCGTCTATATAGTGTAGGTTCCAAGTAGTGTATTGTATATGCAGGGTACAAAATATGTATAAGTAATATAATATAAACAATGCTGTTGATAAAATGTGATGGAAATGGCTTTATGATGTTTATGTTACTGTAGTTAACAGAACAAAAGAAAGTCCTAAATCAAGGCAGTTTTCAAATACATTACTGGGAACATCTGACTGGCAGGTTATAGCAAAGAGGGGGACTCTTGTGCTATCTGATGACCTTCTTAGGTTTTGGGTTTCGAAAGCTTGAGGTCTGCTAAGTTAGAACATTCCAGAGGGTTTTACCTGAGAATGCTAGGTCAGATAGAGGTGGGAGATTAAATGGCTGCTAAAGGGAGTAATGGTGGCTCCAGAGCATTTGGTTCTGAACCTGCACTATTCCAACTCTCCACAACCATGGACCTGCAGATAGATCAGTCAGAGGCTAGTTTTTTTTTCCCTGCTGGGAACTTCAGTGCCACGACACTGGAGAGTGAATGCATGGGCGGGGGGGGGGGGGGGAGGCTGTCCCAATGAAGTCCTAGACAGAAAGGAACAAGTAATGTGAACTGGAGGAAAGACCATCCATATTCAGAAGTGGCAAAGAATTGTGTTGCTTTTGATGGTGCTACTCAAGTAATCCCGGAGAAGACTCCATCCCAGTATTCCCTCCACTTCATCTCTGAGCTCATTGCAGCCCAGTTGGTACCCATTACTCAGTCCAAAGGCAACCTGAAGCTTTCATGGATTCATTGTAGCATCTTACACTGGCTCCTTCTTGATAAGTCACCTAGACCCAGGCATTCTGTTACAGTAGCAATCTGGCAACTACCAGAACCAGACCCTGCCTTGGGTGCACCTAGGTCTGGTATATTCCCTTCTTCTCTAGTGCATAGCAAGCAACCAATGAGCAGTGTGTGTGTGTGTGTGTGTGTGTGTGTGTGTGTGTGTGTGTGTGTGTGGCACAGATCAGGATCACTACCAGGCACAAAGGACCTATAAAGTTTGAGGCGAGGTCCTGATTACCCTGGTCTAGGAGCCCTGGGTTCATGGAAGAGAGGGTCAATGTGAAGTCTGCTTGGATCATCACTTGGTGTATGTGGTACCCAGCCTGGCACACTGAAGGGATCCATCCAGCATTGCTGTACATCATCATTATTACCACCAACATCACCAGCACCACCACTTGGTGGGAAGACTGGAACTTTCTAGGGCCCAGTGGAGTACATGGGTTCAACTGGACTCAGCCAGGACCAGATTTCTCCCCTAATTTCTCCTTAGCAAGCTTCCAGTAAGTTTTGAGATGGTCAGTTTTTAGAGAGGGACTTGAGGCTTGGAGAGGCTGGGCGACCTGTCTAAGGATACACAGTGAATGGATGTCTGGTTTTATCTCCCAGGCTGATAACTGGCTGGATCTGCCCAGACTGGGAATGAGCTGTGATTCATGTGCCACCTCTTTCCTCAGAGGCTTGGATTCATGACCCTTCGGCGCTTTTTAAATGAAATATTCAAGTTCCTGAAAACCGGGATCAGCAGAAATGTTCCCCCTGGCATCCTTTAGAGAGTTTCCATCTGACATTTACATCAGACACTTGGTTTTTCTCATGTTCTAATGAGTTTTGTGTTTTATTGTAGTACAGAGATACTTCGAGAGAAGCCCAAGGTCCCTCAGAGAATGGAGTGATATTTCAGAAATGCTCACTGGTAAGTTTCCAGGGGAGAAAATAACTGGAGTTTTCCCAAATCTCTGAAGTCATCATGTATTTAGGAACTATCAAAGAGTGTGCCTGTGTGTTCACTCTGAGACCCGGGCAATGAAGAGAACAAGAAACCTGAGCTCATGTGGATGTGCTAGGTTTGCTGGGGTTATTTCATTATGTCATTGTTAGGAAAAACCTAGTAGTCCTTTAGAGAAGGGTTAGAAGTGTGGTATGTTTATCCCACATCTACAGTGACATGGTACTTGATGTTTTTTAAAAAATGTGTATGGGCCAGCAAGATGGTAAGGATACTCAATGCCCAGTCTGACAACCTAAGTTTGACATCTGGGACCCTCAAGGTGGAAGGAGAGAACCAACTCCTGCGAGTTGCCCTCTGATGTCCATATGCACACTGAGAAATGAGTGCGCTCCTCCCCTTAATTTAAAAAAATGTGAAAAAAGTTTTTAATTTGTCGAATGCTCTATAGCTATTTGACCTTCTCAACGGCCTGGGGTGGTGGCCATTATCACCCGTGTGATGGGCTCCCAGCATCACCTTTAGCTCCAGTGGCTGCTGGAAGGGCTCACAGGACCCAGAAGGATGGTGCTCACATTTACAGGTGATTACTGTGGAAGGTGGAGAGAGGGGGAAGCAAGGTGAACGTGGCGGAGGCGGGGAGGGAGCAAGTCAGAGGAGCAGGAGCGAGCTCCCGGGTGTGTGGACATCTCACCCAGCAGAGTGCGTAGAGAGAGCCAGCTCTCTGGCATCTGGGCAGGGACATCCTGCACTGACATCTGGTCCAGCTGTGGCATCAGTGTTACCCTCAGGGCTCTCATCTAGGTGTGGAGCACTTGAGACTGTCAGCTTTATAAGGAGAGACTTTTTTTTTCCTCTTCACAACTCTATTTCGGTCTGCAGCTGGTTAGTTCTATTGCTCTGGCCTGTTAGTGTGTCACAGCTGGGGCTGTGCCAGGAAAGGCCTGGTCAACTCATGGTGGCCAGAAAGTGAACAAAGGAAGAAGAGAAAGACACGCTGGTCCTGAAATCCCCCCTTCCAGGCCTTGTCGCCTAGTGATGTAAAACTGCAAAACTTCCCATCAGGCTGTATAGCTTAAAGTTTACAGTGCTCCCCACTCCTCCTCCTCCTTGGTGTGCGTGCGTGCGTGCGTGCGTGCGTGCGTGCGTGTGTGTGTGTGTGTGTGTGTGTGTGTGTGTGTGTGTAGGTGTTTGCACATAGAGGCTGAGCGGATATCAGAGGCCATCATTAATCATTCCCCACACTCGTCTGTTGATAGAGCCTCATCACTTGAACCAGACTCATCAGGGCAGCTAGCTGGCTAACTAGTTTGCTCCAGGCATCTGGTCTCTTCTTGGTATCTTACATGGGTTCTAAGGATTTACATTTGCACATCTAGCGTTTGACCCACTGAGGAGCCATCTTCCCGGTCCAGGTGATACTACTGTCAAACAATGCTATGAACTGGGCCAGATTCAAACATGGCATGTCACTTATGGTGAGGCAGAATTGGGGTGGAGAAGACCAGCCAGGAAGAGGGGATCTGCTGGAAGGCAAATGTCCCTCAGAGATCTGACTGTCCCTAAGCCACGGCTTCACAAGTGAGGGTCAGCCCCTCCCCTCAACTCTCATATGAGGAGCCTCTGGAGCCTCAGGCTTGTGGGTGACCATGGGAAGCCTGGCCGACAGGCTTTGCCCTCACTCCCTTTCCTCCTGTCCTAGGTGTCTGGGCAGAGCGAATCCCAGGCCATGCACGTGCAGCTGTCAGTGAACAACACCAGGACTCCCTTGTCAGCCAACCTTTCGGACCTGCTTGTGCTAGACGAGATCACTAGCCTCACTGTGAAGGAGTCCCCTGGAAATAAGACTCGGGACGGAATCCAGACTTTCAGAAAGAGCTTTCTGCAAGGTAACCACAGACGTTGCAGGCCACTGTGGGACATGTGTTAGAATGCCTTCCCGTGTTCACTTAGGGAGGGCCACAGCGGAGCTTGCTTACCGTGGCAAGCCGGGAGCCCCCAGGAACCTCCAGTGTCTGCCATTAAAACCCTGGGTTTTCTGCTTGCTTTAGACAGAGGTGGGGTTGGTTAAGAAGTGCCACATGTTTTTAAAATACAGTCCCAGTTTTATTTTCGTCAGCTTCAGTTGGATACAATGGTAGATCTGTGAATTATAGCGAACCAATGACATATGTAGTTTAATGAATTAATGACATATGTAGTTTATAGTGAATCAACGACACGTAGGTAGCATATAGTGACCCCCTGACCCTGTTGACCAGAGTTACTGCTGGTCAGGAAGATGGACGGATATTTTTGAGTTGTGCTTCACAAAGACAAAGGTGGATTGTTGTCAGTCTCAGAAGGACCATTATGAAATGTTTAGGCATGGCCACCAATGTGTAAGCATGTTGTTCATGTGTTACTAAGCATGTTGGTGCCTCAGAGCACAGCTACAGCGGGATGAGTGAGGTCATGTGACATGGTCCTTGGTCTGATCAGGGCCTGGTTTTGCCGGTTCCCTTTCAACGCCCTTCCCAGCTGTTCCCAGCCGTGGGCCCGGCTCCCTTTTCTTTCTAGTATCTTTCATGGCTCTCACTCCTGTTGGATCATGCCTGTCTCAACCCCGTTCCTTGGCTGGTGCTGAGAGGCCCCTCTGTCATACTCAGAACATACACATCCCTGAGGAGTGGTCTCAGTCTTGCCTTTTCAGGAATTCTAACCTGATTCCCAACTCTGAGCCCTCCTCCTCCCTCCAAGTGCCCATGGGGCCATCTCCTGAATATCTCTGCTCATGCCATGCTTCACTCTAGGTACTCACTAAATTCTGCCCCCCCCCCACAAGGTACACTCTCCTTGCCTGTACCAAGCATGCCACTGGGTGAGGTCAAGGCCATAGTGATGTGAGAGGGTACCAACACCGCCCAGCACAGGCCTGTGGGAAGTGCCCTGGGTTGGAGCTATTTTACCCTGCTTACATCAGGCCTTCGCTCCATCCAAGAGGCGGAGTTTTCTGAGGACATAATCCAAGTAACCTGTTCCTGACCCTACCACACCGGCCCACAACGGTGGCTCTCAAGTTAAGAGACAGGCTACCCCTCACCCAATGAATGATTCTAAAAATCAAATGGCCAATCATATGCTGCTTTCCTGCCTCTCTGACCCATGACCCTATCATCATCATCATCGTTTGCCACCTCCCATTGAAAACAAATGTGTAAGATGGAGGCCTGAGACCTGAGTGGTTTTTATTTACCACCTGGCTAATCCTATCTATCCCCACAGTGCAGTGTCTGGGCTCTCTGTAGATGAGAATGGCTTCTTTATGTTAAACCTCAGCATCCTCTTGTGGGTGTGTGCAAGGATGATCAGGGTGTGGGGACTGTGGTCTTGGGAGGTGGCTGTGAACGCCTTCCCCTTCTCACCCCTTTTGTCCTTGTAAGACAGCAAAGGGGGTACGCTGATTTTTCTAGACAAACTGGTTCCCAGGCTGCATCTTCCCTGCTTTCTACACAGCGTTCTTACTGGCTCTAGGTGTAGTGTCTCAGCTCTGTCTCATCCACCTGCTGGACTGGACTCCTGCAGGAGCTGAGGGTCCTGTTTTCTGTGGGTGGAGTTCCTGTGAGGACCCAGACTAGTGTGCTACAGAGGGATGAAGGGGCCAAGAGACCAGCCCTGTTTCCAGCAGGGTGTGCCTGCTTCTGGCAAGGAGACTTAGAGCAAATTCTAATGTATTCTCCCCACTGGACCACTCCCAGAATCCCCTGGAGTGAATGAAACACACTCCCAGAATCCCCTGGGGTGAATGAAACCCAGATGTTTTTTTGCTGTGGGCCTGTATTGGTGCACAGCTGTGGTAGGTAGAAGGTTGCAGGGGCCAGGGATGTGGCTAGGCCAGGGACAGGGGCTACTTAGGGGCGTGGCTTAGTGTGAGGAGGCCTGCCCCCTTCTTGACCTATGCTTGTTCTCTCCGAGCAGTGGGAGAGTGTTACTCTGTCAGCTACATGGCCTCGCTGGACCCCACAGCTCTTGGGATAGGAGAGAGCCTGGACCTTCCAGCCTTGCTCGTCTTTCAGAGCTCCTCACAGGTAACCAACCCTGTCACTTTCACTTGGGACCTGTCACTGCCCTGGATGGGTGCTTGGGAATAATGACCCCAAGGGCACAGGTGCCATCCTTCCTCCTGCCCTCCCTCCCTCCTCCCTCCCTCCCTCCTTCCCCCTTCTACCCTCCCTCCTCCCTCCTTCCCCCTCCCTTCTTCTCTCCCTTCCCCTATTTTCTTTCTTTTTTCTCCCTCCCTTCCTCCCTCCCTGCCTCCCCCTCCTTCCCCCTCCCTTCTTCTCTCCCTTCCCCTATTTTCTTTCTTTTTTCTCCCTCCCTCCCTCCCTCCCTCCCTTCTTTCTTCTTTGCTTCCTCCCTTCCCTGGGAGATGTCACCTACTGACAAGGACAGCTTCCCTCTTGAAAGCCTCCTCTCCCTCCCTTCTCTGCCATGTTCCATGTTAGTCTTATTCCCCAGTCACCTTTAAGTTCAACAAGGCTCCCATTTCACAGATGAGACAGCTGCGTCACATGGAATGAATGAACACCTTGCCTAAGTTTAGCCAGGCAAGTTCATCACAGAGAGCTGTGTCCCTTCCTAGCCCTCAGGACATGGGGTTTGGGTTTCCAACAGTCTCCATCCCCACTGTTTCCTGAAGAGGGTTTAGGAGTTGGACAAACCCTGCGCTACCCAGCAGCCAGGGGCTAGTTCCCAGGTGTGTGTGTTAGACATAGAGCCAGATGCTCCCTGTGGGTCAGACTCCATTGACTGAAGCATTTCTTTTCTCTCTCTTCCAGAACAGAACCCGGCTAAAAGCCCACTTTACCGTCGCAGTGGAAGAAAAGATAACGGTAAGATGATGTTCAGACACATCCCATACTCATGATCCCCTAGGCCCGTGCTATACCACCACTGGGTGGCCTGAGCTCAGAGCCAAGGGGAGGTGCTGGCCACTGGCCTTGACATACCTGATGCGCATGGTCTTAGGCCCTGGTTCTCTTGGTGACCTTCTGTGATGGTTGATTTTGAGCGCCAACCTGATGGAACTTTGAATCGCCATGGAAACTGGCATATAGAAGGAAGAATTCATTTGGTCTTACTGTTTCAGAGGCATGAGAGTCCATCATTGCAGGAAGGCCTGGCTGCAGAAACAGGAAGCTGAATAGAGACAGGCTCAAAGCTCAACCGCACTATGTGCTTCCTCCAGGAAGGTCATACCCCCTAAAGGTTCCATAACGTTGATCAAACGCACCATTTGACTGGGGACCAAATGCTCAAAAACAAGAACCTGTGAGGAAAATTCTTATTCACACTGCCACAGAAATAAGCCTCGGGGCATGTCTGTGAGGAAGTTTCTAGACTGAGTTAACTGAGGTGAAAAAAACAAATCCATTTTAAATGTGGGCACCGTCCCATGGCTGGGGTGTGGAGCAGACTCTAAAGGAGGAAGTTGCTGAACATCAGTAGTCACCTCTCTCTGCTCCCAGACTGTGGGTAGAGTGTGAGCATCCACTTCACACTCCTGAGGCCATGCCTTTCCCACCACAATAGACTGAACCCCGAACAGGCACCCTCTACCCTGTGAGCTGAAATAAACCATTCCTAAGTGTCTTGTCAGGTGTTTGGTCATGGAAGCAAGGAAAGTGAGCGCTGCCTTCTCTCCCTGAGCAGGATGTGGCAGCCATTGTCTGGCAGGCTGAAATACCACTCTCCACAAATGCTGCTGGTCTTCTGCAGTGGGGCTTTCTTTGGACTTCCAGCTCCTGAATAATGACAACGGAGACCTTTTTTTTTTTTTTTTTTTTTTTTTTTTTTTTAATTATGAAAGCTTGGCCTTAGCTTAGGCTTGTTCCCAACTAGCTCTTTAAACTTAAATTAACCCGTTTATATTAATATACATTTTGCCACATGGCTCGTTACTTCTGCTCAGTACTGGGTGTTCCACTTCCTCTGTATCTGGCTGCCGAATCCCTGTTTCTTTCTGATTCTTTCCCCGAGTTCCTGTCTCTCCCCAGAAGTCCCGCCTATCCTCCCCTGCCTAGCTATTGGCCACCCAGCTGTTTATTAAATCAATCAGGAGGCGCCTCAGGTAGGTGAGGTAAGCGGAGACGTTGTCACACAGTGTGATCAAATATCCTGCAACAGTCATCCCTTTCTTTCCTGTCCTCAAGGTTGCCACCTGGCCCAGCTGCTGGGGGTGGGTTTTATTCTCAGATTACACCTGGACACTGGCTCTGAAGGCAGTGTCGCTGCGTCTACTGTTCACCGGGACTCTGTTTCCCTTTTTGTTTGGCAGTGAGGTTCTTCCTAGCACACACACTCACTTTCCTGTGTCTAACAAGTGTGACTCACTCTGTGAGGGGGGCAGGGAGTCAGTCTGTAGTGTGTACTGGCTCACATAGTGAGGCGGGCCAAGACGTTTCTGCATACCAGCCCTGTGGCGTGGTCCAGGTTGGAAGTCCTTGGGCCTGGGATACTGATGGTGTGACTCATCTGAGGATGGAAGTCTGAGAACCTAGGCCTACAGTCTTAGGCAGAGGAGTCTTGGATTCTGTGACTCATGAACCAGACAAGAGGAATGTGTCCCTGCACTAGGAAGACAGACACATTCATCTTGCCCCTGGATTGGTTCCATTTTGATCCAGCCAAAGATGTGGCATCAGCACATACTCACATGGAATGAATCTGGTGTTGTTCAAGTGCACCCATAGGTATGGTGGGTCTGGGCTACCTGTCTACGTTCACGTTCTGAGTAAGTTTTTTTCCTTGGTCTGTTCGGCTCACCTGCTGATCTTTAATAGGCAAACCCAAAGTCAGGATTTCCCCTGGTGTCCCTTAACTCCATCAAGCTGACTCTTGCATGTGACCAAACCCTGCCACAATGCTCCACACTCCCTCCGAATCTCAGGGGCCAGATCTCCCGAGCAACTCACAACTTCCCAGTCATGTCGTCTTTGACACAGATGGGTGTGAGAGATTCCATTATTAGATCACCTTCATTTCACAGATGGGAAAACCAAGGTCCAGTAGTTTGCCCAATATTCAATGGCTAGAATGGCATGGCCTCTGAGGATCCCTGCCCCCCCCCCCCAGAGCTGGTGACCTCAGAGGCTAGCAGTGGTTCTCATGGCTGACTGAACTAGTGAAGGATTGCTTGAATGTCAACTTGTTAGGACCTAGCATCACTTAAAAGACACCCTCCTGGGCATGTCCAAGAGGTCATGTCCCGAGAGGTGTAACTAACTGAGGGCTGAATACCTACCCTGAATATAGCTGGGGCCTTAGACTGAATAAAAAGGAGGAGGCAAGCCGAATAGCAGTGCTCTCCACTTCCTGACTGGGCGTGATGTGAGCTGCTGCCTCGCGCTCCTGCTGTGTCTTCCCTGCTGTGATTGACTATAACCTGGAGGAAACCTGCCCTCCCTTAAGTTGCTTTCATCCGGTGTTTTGTCATAGCAAGGAGGAAGTCTGGAGAGAGCCCCCTGTGACCTTCAGGTCCTCTCCCAGGGGACTCCCCTGCAGTGCGTCAGAGGAGCATCTGTGAATGTCCTTTAGGGAATGGATGTCACACAGGTATCCTCTGCTTGGCTCACACCAATTTCTGACTCCAAGAGGAGGTAGATGTTCAGTGGCTGTTTCTACAAGATAAGTGAATGGTGGGCTCCCTTCCAGATGTCGGTCCCCAGATGCTGGCCAAGGCCTAGCTCACAGGCTGGCCTTTAGAGAACAGTAGGGAACAAAGCCAGGCATGTTAACTCTTGCTTGCAGGTCTAGCAGGCAGTTGTTTGGCCTTTGATCCCACCCCGCAGCTATGTGAGTGAGACTCAGCATATTGTAGGTGCCAAGGCCCTCAACAAGAGAGATGGGAAGAAAGCCGGGCCCGGCTTTTAGCAAGCCTGCAGTCAGGGAGACGGTCCAAGTCGTGCATCACCATTGTCTTTGTTGGTCCAAAGGAAGTAGCCTGATCTGGTTCATTCTGCGTTCCTTTTCCTCCCTCACCCGGTAGGTGACAATCAGTCAGTAAATATCCCTTGATTGAGCTCATTGTCACCAGTGATGATTGCCAGTCAGCTGAGGAGGTGGCAGGTAGCTTTGTGATTGAGACGGCCCCATTCTCTTAATAGATGTGCCCTGCCTCCCACAAGGATGGCAAGGGGCCTTCTCCAGGGCTCAGGCTGCCTCTCACCTACACACTGTGTCTGGGAGAGCAGGAAGAGGGGCTGTGCAGGATGCAGGCCATCCCTCACCACATACCCTCTGCATAAGGATCCCTAATAGGGGAGACAAGAGGCATGTGAATACAAGAGGCTCCACGGTGTTGCGGGTGTAGCAGGCTCTAAGATCACATGCCCCACTTTGAATCCTGACCATGTGTGAACTTTAGCATGTCCTAGCCTGTCTGGACCTCACGTTTCCTAGACATCAAACGAGAACCATGATGTCACGGGTGTCTATCCAGGCAAACGAGTGAGTCTGCACAGGGCTGTGTGGTTCTTAAAGTCTCTGTGCACATCAGCACCTGTAGCTGGTGTCATCTTTACGTAGGAGGAACGCAACACCAACCTGCCAGTGTTCTGTGATCAGTGCGGATGACCATCATTATGGTATTAGGCTCAGATATCCTGAGGAGCCACTATGGCACTAGGAACATATGTGAGGCCCAGTACAGTATTCTTGGGGGCTGGAGTCTGCTGTGCATAGCTTCGGGGTTAAGCTGATGCTGACTGTAGGATGGACATAACCCCAGGTGTCGTGAGGGGAGATCCATGCCAGTGAGGCTGGACCCTTGGCAGTGGGTATGTTCGGCAGGTCTAACCTGGGCACTTGAAGAAGTCACAGGGTTATATTGGTGTGAGAGTGGTGGCTGGAGGAATTGTTGCCAGACGGAACCGTGACATGCATCCACGTGCTGTGTGGCTGGCATGCCCGAGCATGTGCAAACTACCCCAGTGCCTCTTTAATTTTCCGCCTCAAGCTAACAAGCCAGTTAAGGAAAACAAGGCCTTAAGGAGTTTCCTCTCATTTTACCGCCCATGTCCCAGTCATTGTCTGCCCTTCTGGTGAAGAGCGTCTCAGAGTGTCCCATAGTGCCAGACACGGACTGGAGGTCTCAGATTCCTCCAGATCCACCTGCTGCCTGTGGATTGGGCACTTCTGGCTGGCAAGCACCAGGATGGCAGGTTGTGATGCTCTCTAGGGAGGGTCCCAGGGCCCATGAAGATAGACAGAGAATTCTACCCATGGTCTCAGTAGTCATAATCATCCACTGCCAGCAGTCCTACCAGAGAGATAGAGAGCTTATGTGTATGTGTCCATGCAGTAAAGTGGTTTATTAAATGGGGAGAAGAGGGTGTCCCGTGTGAATTAGGGCTAATGACAGGATCTCTTGAAAGAACGGCAGAGGTAAATGTTCTAATCGGACCAAATCTAAATAGGAAAAGCAATGTATAGAAAGTTAATGTGAGTAATAATCTGGAGAATTAAACGGTCAGACGTTTTACTTTTAAACCCCATAGCAGGAAGGATAACTGAGAAGCTTGAAGAGGTATACATAGCCCACTGTGGAAAGAGCATGTGTTAACCAACAGGAGGAATGCCATACCAGACGCCTAGCTATGAGGTCAGAATTCTCCAACGCATGGCTTTACAGAGAAGCCTTTGAGGCCCGCTGGATGTAACATTACTAGCGAAGCCATGAGCCTCTGAGTTGAGGTGGTGGTGTGCAGGTGATGATGTCATCACTGTTTGCTTTTTCTGCCACACCGCTCTCCAGCCCGCTGACCATTATCCTGACCTCAGCTCCCGAGTGTCCCTCCTGCCTCTAGTACTCTTCAACAACTTAACACAGGACTTTAATGGTCTTCCTTAGAACACAGCCCTTCCTGCATTCCTTCCGTAGGGGCTTCTATTGATGTTTCCTCAGAAAAGTTAACCCCCTTGGCTCCCCCAGGGGCCACTGGGACCCTCTGTTTTCCACGTGGTACCACAGCCTTTTTGTCTTTTTGTCAAGTATCCCTCAGACCAGCATCTCTGCCTGTGGTTACCCTGTACTCCCCAGGCCGGCTGTTTGCCCCCTGCTGGAGGGTCCATGCTACTGCAGCATCAGGCTTACTCCTGGATGGCACTTGACATTTGTTGACGTGAGAGACTGCCTGGGAGAGGCCTTAAGACAATCTGGCCCCATGTGTGTTCATTTTATTGGGAAAGAAGTGGGTGCAGAGGTGCTGGGAACTGATCACATGAACACAATGCTGTACACCACCATGGCTGTGAGGAGTCTTCTGTGATGTGTTCCCTGAGCCAAGCTCTGCCCTGTTGGTGAATTAGCAAGTGTATTAGTCAGGGTTCTCTGGACCAATAAAATGAATTTGTTTGAAGGGGCTTCTTAGATGGGTTCACACAAGATGGTCTAGCTCAGTGGTTCTTAACTTTCCTAATGCTACAACCCTCTAATATAGTTCCTCATGTTGTGGGGACCCCTAGCCATAAAACTATATTCATTACTACTTCATGACAGTAATTTTGCTACTGATATGAATTGTAATGTAAATGTCTGATTGCAGGCTATATGATATGCGACCCCTGTGAAAGGGTGATTTGACCCCCACAGGGTCTTGGTCCACAGGTTGAGAACTGCTTGTCCAGATAGCCCAGCAGCAGTCATCTTCACACAGGAGAGGCTGGGAAACCAGTAGCTTCTCTGCCCACCAAACTGGGTCCCCCAGTCATTCCGGAGTAGCTGCAAAGGCCTAGCGGATTCCTGGAGAGCCTCTGGTCCTCAGCCCACCCTGGAAGGCAGAAAAAGCTGGGCTCCGGGTCAGTGGCGTGTGAAGGTAGCAGCAGCATCAGGGCCAGCAGCAGCAGCAGCAGCAGGGTGGGTGAGCTTTCAGAGTAATAAACTCACCATCAAGAAGGGGGAGAGTGAAGCTTCCTGCACCGCATCTCCTTCTATCTGGGCCGCCACTGGAAGGGACCAACCATACTTATCCTGGGCCTTCCCATCCAAATGACCTGATCAAGAAAATCCCTCAAGGCTGTGCCCAGCACCTATCTCCTAGATGATTCCAGATCTAGTCAAGTTGACAACTAAGATGAGCCGTCATTTCGAGGCTTCATCAGGACGTGTGATGTAGGATTGATGCTTGCTTCAGTCAATCCGAACATTCACTCTTCAGCTGGAGGTCAAGAGTCTTTTTACTGTCGCCACCACTCCTCCAGGCCACCATCCTCCTTGCTCCTTGGATATGGAGCGTCAAGAGAAAGATTTCAACAAAACCTGCTGAAACCTCTTCTGGGAAAGTTGTGTGTGTGTGTGTGTGAGTGTGTGTGTCCCCTTTTCCCGTGTTGGGGGGAGTGGGTGAGCATGGAAAGTCAGTGTGTGTGTGTTCTTTCCTGTGTTCGGGAGGGTGAGCGAGTATGGAAAGTCATCATGTGTGTGTGTGTGTGTGTGTGTGTGTGTGTGTGTGTGTGTATGTGTGTGTGTGTGTGTGTGTATGTGTGTGCCTGTGTGCATGTGTATGTTCTTTACTGTGTTTGGGAGGGTGAGTGAGTATGGAAAGTCATCATGTGTATCCCCCTTTTCCTGAGTTTGGGAGAGTAGGTGGGCAGGATTACTATGTGGCTACTGGGCATGCTGAGATTCCCTCTGCACCAGCCTCTTCACACACAGAAAAGCTGAACAATGACAGCAGTCCCACCACCCGGGAAAACTACTGCTAGCGTGTTAGCTCCCTGCCTTCCAAGCCTTATACATATATTTATCACATAATTGAAACCGAACTTTCTAAACAAGCCTTCATTGTGTCTTTGTAACCCAGTATTGAATTCCTATCTTTTCAAGTCTTCTTTGAAAGGCCTTTTTGTGCGGTATCACTCCTCACAAATGCTGTGAAGAATCTATCAAAGGCGAGGTTGCAGTGAATGTGTGATTAAAGGGATGGGCACGATGAGCGATGATTCTTTGCAAGAGGCAGGGAGGGAAGTCAGTGTGTCCTGGGGGTGGAGGCCACCGCAGCCTCCTCCTTTGCTTTCTGCCTGGATCACAGCATAGGTTCCCTTGTGTACCAGCATCTCTGCTGACAGAGGTTAGCGGTGGAATCTGGCTCTGCCGTCTGTGGGGACGTTTATGGATGAGGACTTGAGGCTGGACCTGATACTGTAACAGCCCCAGTTTTGGTTCCTGCCTCCCTAGTGGAGGGGTGTCACTGGTCTAGTCACCAAGCAGGTCAGCCAAGGCCACTGTCAGCTTTTGTTTCCTCACACTCATTCTGTCATTCAGTCCTACATCCACTTTCTGTTGCCCAAGTTTTCCTCTATCCCTAGCCCTTCTCTGCTTGCAGTAGTAATGGAAGCTCGGGTGTCTTGAGATGCTCTGCAGGTAAGAGCACTGCCCGCCCTTCCAGAGGACCCGGGTTCAATTTCCAGTACCTACACGGTAGGTAGCTCACAACTGTCTGTAATTCCAATTCCAGGGCACTTGACACCCTCACTCAGACATACATGCAATGCACCTGAAATAAAATTAAACCAGGTTACTAAAACGAAATCTAAAACAGATGACCTGACACATGGTGATATGCTTCAGCTTTTGTAATGTGGATGGTGTGTGTGTGTGTGTGTGTGTGCATGTGAATGTGTATGTATGTATGTGCCTATGTGTGTGTGTGAATGTGTGTATACGTACATGTGTGTGCATATTCGCGTATGTGTGTACACGTAATAACAAAATAGGAAGTTTATTGCATTGACATTGTGTGAATTAAGTATTGTGCGCCCATTACTGCTACATAGTTCCCAAACATTCACATCACTCCCAGGGGAAATTCAGTACCTATAAGCCATCGCTCTCGTCCATTCCCTCCCAGCCTGGCAGCCACTCCCCTGCCTTCAGTCTCTGAGGTTTGTAGACTCTGGGTATTTCTCAGCACCTGTCTTTTGTGTTTGTCTTATGCTACCTTGGGTCACCTACCTGACTGGGAATCACAGCGATTAGCATGAGGAAACCTCAAAGTCCCTTCTCTCCATGCAGGTCCTGCCTAACCATGGTCTCCATGCACTAGGCTTCTTCACGGCCTTCCTCATCGCTCTCGTGCTGACCCTCGTGGCCCTGTTCTTCCTGGCGAAGGGTCGGTGTCTGCAGGGAAGTGTGCTGGCCAGATGCTGGGTAAGTCTCCTTCCTGGGGATGCTTTAGTAGGCAGTGGTGTAAGGTGGGCATTCAATCCTGATGCGCCTCAACTCTGGACCATGTCAGACCCACTGGAGATCTAAAGATAGATACTCAGGTCTGCCTTTTCTGTGACAGAACCCTATCCTTAACCCTGGGGCTGGGGATGCATCTCAGTGGTAGAGCAGTTGCCTAGCCTGTGCCCAGGACAATCCACAGCATTGTCAGTAAATAAGGGAATTCATTCATTCATTCATTCATTCATTCATTAAGCAAAAGTTCCTCGGATGATTCCTTAAAATTTTTATTCTTAATTAACACACAGCTGTGTGGATTTACCAGGTAGAATGTGATAGGTTGACACAGTGTGTCGTGATCACTTGAGCACGGCACACCAGGCACCTCAGGCGTTCGTCATTTCCTTTTGTGAGGAAATGTTCAGACTGTCTTCCAGCTAGTGTAAAATACATGGCACCTTCTTGGTGATCAGGCTGCTGCCCTGTACAATGGAACTGTCCAGCGTTTCCCTTCTGCCTACTCTAGCCAGCTTCCCCCCCCCCCCCCGTCTCCTTCCCTGTACCCTCCCCAACCCTGCTAACCATCACTATGCCCAACCTCTAAGGGATCGCCTTTTTCAGATTCTGCTTGTGATGGAAATCAGTGCTTGGCTCATTCCAGATGTAACATCCTCCAGGTCCACACATGTTTTGGCAGTGTGGTGCTTTGAATGAGAATGGTCCTGTTAGGCTCATATATTTGAATATTAGGTCTCTCTCTCTCCCTTCCTCCCTCCCTCCCTCCCTCGCTCGCTCCCTCCATCCCTCCCTCCCTCCCTTTCTCTCTCTCTCTCTCTCTCTCTCTCTCTCTCTCTCTCTCTCTCTCTCTCTCTCTCTCTCTCCCCCCTGTGGATCAGGTTGTAAAGTTCTCAGCTACTTCTCCAGCACCATGCTTATCCTTTTGTATAATGATGATTGTGGACTACCCTTCTCAAATTGTAAGCAAGCTCCCAATTTTATACTTTATTTTTAAGAGCTGCTTTGGTCATGGTGTCTCTTCACAGCAATAGAACAATAACTAAGGCAGACAGGATGGTACCTTTTTAATGGCTAAATAACATTCTCTCATGTGTTTATGTGTGATGGACACTTACGTTGATTTCATATTTGGCTGACGGGTGATTTAAATGTTGTCAGGTGTAAGAATCTTAACATTTTAGCGCTCCACGTGTAGGGCGGGTGTATTCTTGCTACTCCCAATTCATGCTCTAGTCTATACCACCTGCTGAGGCACTTTGGGAGGTTCACTGTTCTGGGGGTGGATCCAGACCCCTTGATCTGGCTTGTGAGTCCCCCATGACCCAACTTTTGCCTGATTTCCTCCCACTCCTCACCTCACCCTCCGGATGTGCCCAGTGACTGGCTTTCCTTGGGCAGCTGAGCTCTTCTTGCTCACACTATTGGGCTTTTCCAGTCCCTTCCTCCATCTTCCCCTCGTGTGTCTCCATCCTCTTTTTAAAATATAAACCAAGCATCCACTTGTCCAGGAATCTTTGTGGGTACTTTCTGGTAGTCTGGGGTCTTGCTGGATTCTCCACTTGCTTTGAGACAAACACCATCTGGACCTTTTAGATCTTTTAGCTCCCGGTCTCCATTTCCACTGGCGTACACCCTGAAGCCAGACTCAAAGTCACTCCATTCAGTAAATAATGCTTCCAGGGCATGGCAGGAGGAGAGGGTCATCAACAATGTCAGGTGTGTCCTTAAGTGCCACCAGAGACACCTGTAGCCAACATGGCTGAGATACTGGAGATGGCAAAACCAGCCTCTGAGCCTGCCCTCCGCCTCACATGCCTGTGTGCTCCTCAGGAAGCAGCCACGACGTCGCGCCCAGGTTTCCCTCTGATGGAGGGTGATGATGAAGGATTTTAAAAGCTATTTCTCAGGCATTTTAAATATATATTTTATTAATTCTTTGGGGATTTCACATAATGTATTTCGATCATATCCATCCCCCAGTCCTCCTCCTAACTTTTCACGAGTCCATCCCCGACTTAAAAAAAAAAAAAATCCACCTTGTCAGGTTTGTGCTTCCAGTACACTCCTAGGTGTGGGAGCATTCACTGGGGCAGAGTCAGCCTATCAGAAAGAAACTGCCTCCCCCAACACCATCAACTGTCAGTAATGCCTTAGTTAGGGGTTAGGGCTCATGAGCCCCTCCCTCCTCTATGGTGAAATGGTCACCAGCTTGATCTTGTGAGGGTCTTGTATAGGTAGCATAGTTGCTGTAAATATATGAATGCATGGATCCTGTCATTTCCAGAAAAAACTGTTTCGCTGTGGTCCTCCTTGACCTCTGCTGGTGTGTGTGTGTGTGTGTGTGTGTGTGTGTGTGTGTGTGTGTGTGTATGCAGTTCATACACTCACTTGTTCATGTGTTCTTCCTAGGTGCCTCCCACCTTGCTTTTTGACACAGGGTCTCTCATTAACCTAGAACTCACCAGTTAGTCTGGCTGGCTAGCTGGCTGTGAGACCCTGTGAGACCCAGGGGTTTGCCTTTCTCTGCCTCTGTGCCCAGCTTTCTAAAACTGTGGGTTTTAGGGCTCCAACTCAGGTACCTCACATTTTTTGTGGCAAGCACTTTTCTGAGTTGTCCCCCAGTCTCAGTAGCAGAGTACTTAGGGCACTTGTGTGAGCTGTTGAAATTGGCATCATTTTCATGTGGTAGAATGGGGGCTGGTCTGAGGCGGGAGGAGGTCCGCCCCTCTGACTGCGCAGCCCTGCCTACCCTTCTAGCATGCAATGTTCCCAGCAGTCCAACTCAGCTGTCTCTCTGCTTCTATAGGTTCAGCACCCTGAGAACAAGCTGGAGCTCTCGCCCTTCACCTCTGCTAATGGTGTGAGCCAGGATCTTTCCTTCAATGACCAAGTGATTGACATCCTGACCTCTGAGGACCCTGGGACCATGCTTCAAGCCTTAGAAGAGTAAGGATTCTCAGTCTTTTCTGCTCTCAGGAGGAGATGGGGTGGGGGCAGCAGGCACGGAGTATCCTTGTGTTCACTTGGTCATCTGTTCACCACTTGGTGGTCAGAACCAAAGTGCTGCTAGGCACTGAATACTATTGCGCCGGCTGGATGCAGAAGAAGGAGGAGCTCCTGGAGCCCTGGAAATGGAGGTGGTATCATCACTCCTGTTTGATGCTGAGATGGAAGAGTCTAAGTGGAGTAAGGGGAAGTACTTCAGGCAGAAGGAAGGGAGGGAGACATAAGGAAGGAGCAGGGGGCATTTGTGAAGTTATGCTGAGTGTGCTGGGTGTTTGTTTACTGAGTACAGACAGCCGGGAAGAAACATCTGTGTGAAAAAGAGACCAGCACCGTGCCCGCTGTGGTTTGCCAGGTGGAACTCTGTTTTGTTGATAAAGACTTAATGGTGTTGTGTGCACAACAGAACATCCTGCCAAACCCCGGATAAAAACGATGCAGACTAACCCAGGTCTTCAGAAACACCTCAGGAGTGGGGTGGCATAGGGTGGGCAGGGGGAGTGGTGTTTTCCACTCACATGAGGACTTGGAGGTTAGGAAGCCTTTCCAGGGACACAGCTGGTCAGCAGTCAATAGGGTTCCAGCTGTTTTAACCCCAGAACCAGGGAGGTGGGGACAGACAGATCTCTAAAGCTCAGTGGCCAGCCAGCCTAGCCTAAGCAGTGTGAGCTTCAGGCTAAGGAGAAAGCCCGTCTCTTAAAGCAACGTAGATGGCTCCTGTGAAATGACACTCGATGTCCTCGGTGTGCACACACACACTCTCTGTTCTACTCTCTCTCCCTCGCTCCCTCTCTCTCCCTCGCTCCCTCTCTCTCCGTCCCCCCCTCAGAAATAGCACTGAGCAGGGGAGGGCCTAGAAGCAGAGCCAACCAAGCACTGCCAGGCCTGTGTCCCTGGGTTTAAGAACGTGCATCCCATGGCACATAGAGTGAGTCTAAGGTAGAGAGCAGTTCAGTTATAACTCCTCCTAGGTCAAAAGCTGTACTGAGTGTGACTCATGGTCCTTTGTGATCTACTTCTTGTCCTTGGCAATGGGGACTCTGCCCTACTTGAAGGACGTTGCTCTCTTGTTCAGTAGCTCTGTGAGCAGCCAGGCCAGGAGCCTTGGGTACACAGGATCAACCTCACACAGTGGTGGGGCTCAGGTCTCTGTCTATTTCTGGCTTCCAGGGTAGTGTGCATGGTTTGGGTAATTAGGCTTTGCACAGCTGTTCACAAGCCCGTCTTCATTTTTGCTCAATTCTCTAATTGGAATGCCAAGGATGGCAATTAAAATTTGTCACCCTGTCTTAGGAAGGCAGCGATTGGGTGGGCAGATGCGAAGCAAGCGCCTGGCAGGAACTCAAGAATACCACCTCGTATATTGTGATATGAACACTGGCAATTATCAAAGCATTTCCTAGCCAGAAATCAGACCCTGCCCCCAATATGAGAATGAAGAGTTGAGTAGGGTGATTTGATTTGAGTAGTTGTTTAATTTGCACATACACATGACTCTGCTTGCTCCTGACTCGGTGAAGTAGTCCTCTTAAGCAGGAGCGAGGCCCCTTCTGCATCTGCTTTTGATTCCAGATGTGAAGGCTGTAAGGAGCCCAGCGCTCCTCCATCCCTGTCACAGGAAACTCTCCAGGGTGTTGCAACTTGCTAATTCTGCTGTAGGGGTGTTGACATTCTGAGTGACTCTCCGGCTCTGGAAGTGTCTTTTCGTTTCTCTTTGGCTGCTGATCTTATTTCATCTGAAGGGTGCTTCACATCGATTAGCAAGCATGGCTTGTGAGAGCTCACCCTAAGAGTGGAACCCATCTGTCCTCTTGGCACCTCACCTTCCTGCCCAGCTCAGTTGTGAAAATTACTTTAGCATTATGGGTGTTCTGCCGGCATGTATGTCTGAGCAGCATGCATGTGTCTGGTGCCCACAGAGGCCGGAAGAAGATGTTGAATCCCATGCGATGGAGTTACATGGCTGTGAGTGAGCTGCTATGTGGGTGCTGGGAATTGGATCCAAGTCCTCTAGAAGAGCAGGCTTAACCTCTCTTCATCCCCACTCCCAGTGCACTCTTAAAATTTATTGACACAACTGTGTTTCAGACTTAGTGGTTGGATACTGGTTTGGGTATCTACCTAGTCTTCCTGCCTGCCTGCCTGCCTGCCTAGAGCTGTCAGTTACCTTTCAGCTTTCTATGTTGACCTCTCAAGGTTTAGGAGCTCCCACATGGAAACGGCAGGGGCTCAGTTTGTATGGAAGTCAGTCTCTCATGGTCTCTTTACTAAGAATAGTCCTTTTCTCTGGTAAGTCATTTGTCCTGCTTGTAATTCTCACTGGAGGGTTAGCTGGGCTTCTCACCCAGCAAGCGGGCAGCTTGATTGCTGCCACATTTCCAGTGCCAGGCAGCACTGTGCCCTTTTCTCCATGCTGACTTATTCCTGAAAGGCTTGCCTATGTGTTCAGCTTTGCATCACAGACCACGTTTCACTAAGAGGGTTGGAGAGGGGTTTGTGTCCTTTGGTTTTGATCAGTTTCCCCGGAAGTGGACTTGGTACCAACGCATGCTGGGACCTGCTATGAGGGAGGAGAAACTGGGTAGGATTGGCTCACCACAGAAGGTTCTAGAAGCATGGTGCACTTCCAGTAATTTAGTTCTACCCTAGCCAGAAACCTGCTCACGCTAAGCATCTGGCATCATACGAAATTTTCATGGGCACTCAGTTTTCAGCCCAGGGAGCTGCCATTCAGAGAGGCTCACTGGCTTGCCTGAGATCAAAGTGGGTGGTGGGGGACTTGCACACAGGCTAGAGCCCTTTCACATGCACTGTGTGACTGAAGAACAGTCTTTTATGAATACTGAGTGCAGATGGTCCAGAGACAAGAGAGCATACAGGAAGAAGTTCAGAGCTGTGCTACTTTCTCTGGTATTTCCCTTACTGCCAGCTCTGAGCCAGCTCTATGCTGTCTGCAAATTATTCTGTATATAGTAGGCGTGTAGGGAGCATTTGTTGTGTTGAAGTTGTAAATACACATATTGAGTATTTACATACTTCTTTCTTGCTAACCATATGGTATGTTTGTTTTTACAGATCCCATCTTTATTTTTAGTCTTTCCAAACATGCTGCAAAGTAGCTAAGTGCTCCTCCTCTGTAAAAGTCCACAGCGCGGGAAGATGGAGCTGTTCACGGGCTTCTTTGGGTCATTTATTCTCTGGGGTTGCTTCTTCATACTTGGAACACTTTAAAATTAATTAGTTGATGGGTGTTTTGGCAGATCCTGGCTGAGGTCCAATGCTGTGCCCAGCATAGCGGTGGTCACTGCCTGACTCCTGGGTTTTCTCTTTGTACTCTATACAGGGGCAGAACATGAATGCCTCGGTGTGGGGACTCAAGGCTCCTCATCCTGATTATCGTCCTCCTCCTCCCTATCCTCCTCCTCCTCTTAGAGACTGGGTCTCATGTAACCCAGGCTAGCCTCAGAATTTGCTAGGTGACCATAGAGGAACTTGAACTACTGATCCTCCAGCCTCCATAACCACAGTGCAGGGGTTATGGGCATGGCGCCATTACTCCTGGCCCGGGAGTTCTGAGAGAAGACTCACTGAGTGGTGTGGCAGCACACATAGGGGTGGGGTGGGTTATGCGGATCTGAGAGTCAGAAAGGGTAGGTAGGTCAAAGTAGCAGCTACATGAGCACAGGGGATTGGAGAGTCACGCAGACCTAGGCAAAAGGCTCTCCACAGCAGCAGCACCTCCGTCTTGTATCCTCAAACTGCTTTTCTTCACATTCTCTGGCTGCTAGAAGGGACTGACTGACTCCACATACAGGATGGGGCTGTGTTACGAGTAAGGTTTTTCTGCCAGCCCTGGTCCCAGAACCTCACCAGCCCCAAATAACACACAGAGACGCTGTATTTGATATAAATGCTGTTGGCCAGTTACTTGTTTCTTATCAGCTAGCTCTATCTTAATTAGTAACCCATTTCTATTAATCTAAGTACTTCCACGTGGTCTCATCTTACCGGAGAGAGGGGATGGCGTTCTACCCTGTAGTCCTCCATCTTGAATCTCCTCCTTACTACTTCCTCTCTCCTCCTTGTTTCCTAGTCCCGCCTATCTTGCTTTCCTATTGGCTAACAGTGCTTTATTCATTAACCAATAAGAGAAACGTATTTACAGAATGACATCTCCCATCAGGGCTGGGTATTGTACTCTGTCTTACCCACTTAGGCAGGAAGTTACTGAGTGCAGGGGCATTCTGCTTTGTTCCTAGGGTTTCCCTCCATGCCTCAGCATGGAAAGAGTGAACATTTCCATGTACAGAGGCCCAAATACTCAGTGAAAGAGGGTCCAGGAGAAAAGATGCTAAGGACCCACCCTGTGGCTTTTGCTGTATTTAGCTTCATAACAAGCCGCTGAGTCAAAGGAAATGTTGGTTTTCTGATACTTCCCTCACATGCTGTGGCTCCCACTTAGTGAAGATTCTCGGGATGTTTCGCCCATTCCTCACTGCCCAGTCCCCATGTTGACAGGGTACAAGTATGATGTTTGGCCCCTACATGGAATCTTGCAATATTATTTCAATGGAAATTGGCTTCTGTTGAGGACCACTTCTCTTTCTAATACCGAGCTGTGTTTTGTGGGTCAGTGGTTACATTAGCTGACTTGAAGATACCAGACATATTCTAAAAGAGGTGGAGACTGCTCAGATTCCTTCTGAATTACTGTTCCTCGTGTTGCTTTATGAGTACTTCCCCCCATTCAGAAAAATGTTCGCTGCTGCGTGTATCAATTGCATATTCTGACTTTATTCTGTTACCTTGCCTCATTGTGTGGTCAGAATGGTTAATTTTTGAAAGAACTAAATAAGAAAGAAGGCCTGGATATCGTTCTCATTTTTATCATCAGTAGCCTATCAAAGTATTAATTGTAATTGGCTCTTGGAAATTCTAAACAGTGGTGTTTCTGAGATGTTACGGCAGAAGTACCAGTTCAGGGAGCAGTACAGGAGTTACAGCGGCAGAACCTCATCCCGTTTGGCCCCAAGTGCCTGTCTTCTTGATGTCATGAAGGATTTCCCAGGGATAATGAAGACATATGTGCAGTTTATTGTTCTGTAAATGATTACAGGTAAATAAAAGGTGACGGGAGTGTGTCCCTTCCCAGTGGGCCTAATGCTATGCATGAGTGAGGAATTTGTCCTATTTATCTTTTTCTGAAGCCATTGGTCAATTGACAATGAGAGTTAATGTTATTAATAGCTTGGAGATTTAACTGATTTAAAGGTACTCTTTTTTTTGACAGTTTTTTCTTGTTGCCACTTCTGACAGTCTATTAAGCGCTCGCGGTGAAAAGGCTACAACCAAAGTGTCTCTGAGCTAGGTGCCTGTTAAGCGATCTGCTCTAACCCCCCAGCAGATAGTATCCCTAGGGAAGGAGGAGCCACAGAGGGGCGAGCAAAGTATTCAGGGCCAACAAGATGCTAGGAAATTGTGCTGTGAACAAAAAAAAAAAAAAAACATTTTTTTTTTTTTTTTTGCTTGATATAAATTTGAACAGCAATCCAAGGCCATCCCCATTATGCAGGTGGGAAAACCAAGTCCTTTACTGAGTTTCTCTGGTTAGTAAGTGGCTTGTTAGACAGCTATGTTAAAGAGTGGGCAATTTGCCTAGCCCAGGCCTCCATGTTTTCTGAGTTAAAGAATGAGTGGTGGATGCAAGACACCTGGCATTGTGTTTTTGAGCTTGCTGTTTGCTGGTAACAGAGCATTGCAAGCTTGGCAGCTCCTGGTAGAGATGCATTATCCTCAGATTCTGGGGTTCAGAGTCTGAGGGGTTCACTAGACAAAAGTCAAGTTTTGAAGCTTCCAGAGGCAGCCTCACTCGGTGCTCAGCCCTTCCTAGGTCTTCAGAGCTGTCAATCTTAGCTTGCAATCTTTCTGTCCTCCTATTGCCTCCTCTGACCCTGATTCCTCCTCCACCTCTCTCTCCCAAGTTGAAAGCCCTCCTTATTGATGTCTTGGTGCTAGAGTCAGCTGCTGAGCAATGGCTCCGTCTGCAGCCTCAGCTCCTTTGCCTTGTGAATTGCCGTCACGTGTTCAGGACTGAAGACATGGCAGGGAAGCCATCCTTCCTTCTGTCCCACCAGGCTTCATTAAAGGTGTGAAGTCTGTTTTGTCTGTCTCGAAGCAGAACACTGCTTTTCTTTCAGAACTTGTGAGGTTCTGTCTGGCTCATTTAGCATTTAGCCGTGTACACACCTCTTTAAGGCATCTTCTGTGATTCTTTCTGGATCCAACAGAGTTTTCCTTGCAGTTAAGTACTTGCTGAGACAATGAAGGAAGCAAATGTATGGGTTATCCTTTAAAAAGAGACCAATGGGCACTGGGGTGATGGTTCAGGGTTAAGAGCACTGGCCGTTCTTCTAAAGGAAGTGCCATGGACTCAAGGTAGTATTTTGCTACAGCTTTTCAGATGTATATATGTATGTATGTACGTACGTATGTACGTCCTGGACATATGCATGTATGTAAATAACCAGGTATCCATTTCTCTGTCTGTCTTTGTATCTGTTTATCTTTTTGACACTTATAGATTCATGTTGAAGGGTTTCCAGATAAGATGGCTTGTCTAAGATTTGCTTTCAGTGCTCAAACACACATGGCAAGGAATAGAACTAATGGGGTTGGTGAAAAGTGACAAAATTGAAGCCCACTGATATGGGCCACAGTGTGTTTTCTACTTTCAAATGCTTGGAATTTTCTGTGATGGTTCCCTTTTATATTGCTACACCCCCATGAAATGACAGACGATGTCTACCACTGCAGAGCATGGGTAGAGGAAGGGTCTCTACACATTTCTGGGTTGGACCTTTGGAAACCAGTTGGGTAGATGTTCTGAGAGGCTTAACCATCCTTCAACATTCTACAATTTAAAGGAAGAAAGGCTGATTTTGGTTCACGGGCAGAGGGAATGCTCCATCATGACAGAGAAGGTGTGGCAGCAGGAATAGCTCAAGGCTGGTAGCAGAAATGTGAGGCTGTTTGCTCACATCTGGGGGATCAGGAAGCAGAGACCAGACAGGAAGCAGGGTGGGGCTATAATCCTCAAGGCCCAGGTTCTGTCATGTAATGGAGTCCATTTGCTTCCGTTTCTAAGGTTGGAGATTGCGACTCTGAATCAGGCAGATGCGGATCTGGAGGCGTGTCGAAACCAAATTAGTAAGGACATCATTGCTCTCCTGATTAAGAACTTGACCAGTGGTGGTCACCTCTCTCCACAAACAGAGAGGAAGGTGACAGCTGCTCTCAAAGAGCAGTTTCTGCTGCTGGAAAAGGAAATACAAGAGGAGTATGAACGGAAGATGTTGGCACTGACAGCAGAGTGTGACCTAGAAGCAAGGAAGAAGACAGAAAGCCAATACCAGAGGGAGATGGTGGCCATGGAGGAAGCAGAAGAGGTGTTGAAGCGAGTTAGTGAAAGGGTAAGGTAGCCCTGAAGGCTGACAAATTCCTCTTTCCTCCTCAAGGTCTCATTAGTTGTCAGTGCTTCAACCAACCCATCCATCCACCCATGCATCCATCCACTTACCCATCCATCCATCCTCCTATCAATTGACATATACATCCACATATCTACCCATTTATTCACCTACCCACCCATCTATTCACCTATTCACCGATTGTTTCATTGATCCATTCATCAATCCATCCACCTATATCCACCTATCTAGCCACCTATCTACCCATCCATCCATCCATGCATGCATCTATTCATCTATCTATGCATCTACCCCTTCATCTACCCATCAATTCAATATATATATATATCCATACACCTATTCACCTAGCCATTCATGTATGCTTCCATCCTCCCATCCATGCAACTTTTCTTTTACTCGCCCATTTATTCATGCATTTATTCACACATCTTCTCTTCCAGCCACCCACTCATTCACCCACCCACCTATCTATTTATGCACCCACCCACACATGATTGTATCTATCTATTGATCTACCACCTACTTGTGTATCTATCTGTATACCCACTCACACATATTCCTATCATCTACATCCATCCATCAGTTTGCCCTTCCTGTTCACCTACACTTCCATCCATTCACACATCTATCCACAAGCCCTGTACCCTGCACCTGTCCATCCATAAGAGCTCACTAGGATTTATGGGTATCTTACTGCCTCTCTCCTTTAGGCTAGAAACTTCGGACACCACGTTGAATCCAACCTCTTGCATTCATTCAAGAAGCTCATGTTATAATGAAATAGTCTCATATTTGAAAAAAAAAAAAAAGGACATGAATCAGCCATGTTATAATACAGCTCTGTTCATGGTGCTGTAGTGGTCACGGGGAGAGTAGAAAGGCTTCTTTAGCAGAGGGTGTGGCCATTCATGGTTGGTTGTGATGTCAGAGTAAGTACATGTGTCCTTGGGAGACTACTGTTTGCTAAATCACAGCTCCGTCCTGCACATGTCTGGAGCCAAGCATGCCTGGACTTACAATTGTTGTGAGACTTTTCCTGTGGAGACCTAAACAAATGTCTACTCCCTCTTGACATGGCATCAATGACAGACCAGGAAAACGATGCCCCCTGAGTCTGGCTTAGTGAACCATCGAGCTTGTTGAAGTTATTATGGGGCATGGGAGACTCGAAGCAGTTGCATTACCTTTAAAGCCCACCACGGCATGACTAATGAATGGGGCTGGAGAGATGGCTCAGCAGTCAAAAACACTGTCTGTTCTTCCAGAGGATCTGGGTTCAATTCCCAGCCCCCATATGGCAGCTCATAACTAGCTCTCACACCTTCACACAGATACACATGCAGGCAAAACATGAGTGAACATGAACCAAAGATTAACTTAAAATGAATGCCTCACAGAGGCTGCGTCCCTTGAGTTCCCTGCTCTATTTGCAGGTAGCCATGGGTCCCCTCCACAGAACAATTATTGGGGAGGAGCCTTCAGAGTTCCCTTTACTTTCTGACTTTAGTTCATTTTGTTTACTTCTTGAGTCTACGAGCCTCTCTCCTCCCTCTAGGAGGGAGTGTTAATTTGGAAGACATTGTTACACAAATTATCCTGGGTCTGCATCTGGTGCCCTATATATATCCTAAGTCCTCTGAGCGCCCCTCAGAGTGGATGGGCTAAGCAACGAAAGAGAGATAGTTAAGATGCCAGTTGCCAAACTGAGAGATGCGGTCTCCCAGGCACAGCTGAGCAAGTCTGAATTGTCTTCCCTCAAGAGAGGAGGGTGTCCAGACCATGTGACCTATACCTGCACAGGTGTGACCACCCGTGTGCTCTGGAGGCAGCTTGGAGGAACTGCCTGACAGTTGCCTCCAGGCCCCACCTGCCAGGCAAACATAGTATGTCTCAGGGAGTGAATGAAAGCTCTCAGTTGGTGGCTCAGGGTCACTCAGTCTTCAGCAGTCAGCGCTGCAGTGGAGGACAAGCAGGGTTCACTTGTGAGCCACCTGTCCCCCTGATCCAGGGGTCTGCTGCTTCAGTCCTCTCTTGTTTGGGGTGGGGCTTTGTGGCCTGTGTAGATGCTATACTAGCTTCCTGTGGCTGCTAGAACAAGGTGCCACACACACACACACATACATACATACACACACACACACACACACACACACACGCGCACGCACGCACGCACACACGCGAGTGTGTGTGTGTGTGTGTGTGTGAGAGAGAGAGAGAGAGACAGAGAGAGAGAGAGAGGGAGAGAGAGAGAGAGGGAGAGAGAGAGAGATAATGAATGAATTCTTTTGTGGTTCTGAAAGCCAGTTCAGGTTATCAGCGGGACCCAGCTACCTCTGGGGTCTTTAGGGAGGGCCTTCCTGGTTTGACGAATTTGCTGGTGGTTCCTTGTGTGTTTGGAGTTGTAGCTAAGTTGATTTAACCCTGCTCCATCCTCTCGTGGCCTCTTCCTGGAACCCTGACGCTCTTCTCTGTCTCCTGTAAGGAAACTTGTCATTTGATTCAGGACCCTGGATGTACATATGAGATCCTTCACTTGGTTTGACTTGCAAAAACCCTTAGAAGTTCAAATTTATTTGTTTCCCAAGTTATGAGGTCAGGATCTAGACTTGTGCATGTATTTGGGGGTGGATGCCATTCTGCCCACTCTCGATTCTCTGGTGAGCTCCTCCCCCCCACCCCCCACCCCTGTCCTTCTCTAATGCTTGATCTACCACTGTGGTTCAGCCCTCCCTCACCTGCCCAAGCCAGGCTCTTAGGGAGAGTGCATTTAATAACTTGGAATGTAGTGATTCAACCCCAACATCACCTCATCAGAATTTGTTCTGAGTTTTGGGTATTGATTTTCCCTACAAAAATAGTACAAGCCAGCTTGGACAACAAAGTGAGTTCCCTATCAGTTTAGTCACATGGGAGACCCCAAATAAAATAAATCCAAAGCAACAGTTTGTAGACTGAGCCTTGGACACTAGTCCAGCCTGGACTGTTTTCATGTAGCCCATGAATTCAGTATAGTCTTTGCACCATAATTGAATTGCAGAAAACCCAACCATACCTCACATGGCCTGCAAAGTGTGAATTTTTCTTCTGGTTCTCCACAGAAAAGTTTTCCCATTCTATTAGAAAAGCCCTCTGCAAAACCCACAGTGGAACAGAGAGCCATTTGCTTATCATTGATTGCCTACTTTTATTAAATGCCTGCTGTGTGCCTCACCTAGAGACACAGTGATGGCTTTAAAGTCCCATGATCTCTCCAGACAGCACCATGAGCTGGGGACCAAGTCAGTCACTGGGGGGGGGGAGATACATTTTGTATTCAGATCACCACACCCCTTCTGTTGCTATGATGAAGTACTCTGACAGAAGAAAAGAAGAAAAGGATTCATTTTAGCTCACAGTTCCAGGTTACTCATGGTCCAGCACGACTGGGAAGTCGAGGCAGCAGACACTGAGAGCAACTTGTCATATCATACCCACGATCAAGAGCAGAGAGAAACGCACACAGCATGCTAGTGCTCAGTTTGCTCCCTCGGCTCTTGCGTAGTTTAATATCCAAGCCTAGGGAATGGTGCTGTCCACTCTTAGCATTGATTACATTAATTAAAGTAACCCAGACAGGCCCCGTCGATGTGCCCACAGGCCATCCTGCTCAAGGCGTTTCCTCACTGAGACTCTTCCCCAGGTGACTGTAGATGCTGCCAAGTTGAGGTTTGCGGATTATTGCCTTCTTTAAGGAAACCTCGCACATAAAACACATGAAGTATTTACTCTTGAAGACGGGGAAACCGATGCCCAGGAAAGCAGAGCTTCACAGCTCAGCTCTCTGAGGCTGCCTGAGTTCCTGACCTGACCTTCCTTCTCCTCCTCCTCACCCATTATAAATAGCACCCTGAACAGAGGTAGCAGAACACTGGAGGGCTACAGATGCCCACAAAATGTGTGTGTGGTGCAACACAGCAAGGCTGGTCCCTCTCTTTTACCTAGGCACTTTTTGCCATTTAAGGACCTGTGTCCTGCCTGGGTCCAGGGAGACTTCCTAACTCCTTCTTAAGCTTCTGAAAGAGAAAGATTCCTTCTGTGTGAGAACTTGACATTGCATGTCTGATAGACATATTTTTACAAAACAGTTTTACATTCTGCCAGTCTCGATGAATGGAGTACAAGGAGCGTAACCAAGGAAATCGTAGTTTCACATTTTGAACGGTGTAGAGCTCTGGGACAGCTCAAAGCCAGCCTTTGGTTGGCTGAAGCACCTTGCTGGTCACACCTCCTTTCTGTGAAAAGCCCCTTTCACTGGGAAGTTCAGTAGGGATTTGGTGCAGACTGCTAGGTGGGGGGGGGAATTTCTAATGATATCTTACTTACAGTGCACATTTACTGACAGCATCTAAAATAGAAACCCTTATATTAAAACTGTGGGTTTCTTCAAGCAGGGTGGCTTATGACCGTAATCCCAGCGTTTGGGAGATAGAGGCAGGAAGATCAGGAGTTCAGAGTTACCCTCAGCCATCTGGTAAGCTCAGAAACAGTCCAGGCTACTTAAGACCTTCCTTCTTTCTCTAAACAAAACAAGGGCTCAGCAGTTAAGAGCACTGACTTCTCTTCCAGAGGACTTGGGTTTGATCCCCAGCACCCACATGGCAGCTCACAACCAAGGGGTATGATACCCTTTTCTGGTCTCCGAGGTGCTAGACATGCATGAGATGGTACCAGGCCCACATGTTGCGCACATCCATACATGCAGGCAAAACAGTCACAACACAGAAAATAAAAAGTATTAAAACTCGTGAAACAACAAGAACTCTGGTGGGTTTAGTGTTTCTCTGAAGGAGTGGGCAGATCAGACCATGCTCTGCTCCATGCGCATGCTCACTGGTCTTGCAGGGGTAGTGTGCTGCCTTCTCTCTGTGTGGCTTCAGAACCCACACCTTAAAGTTTTGTTGATGGAGAACTTAGGCAAAGGGCCAGAATGTCTCTAAGCCTATGGCTCTGACCCTGCAAATGGGAAGATGTCCATTTTTGATGGCTGTGTAATGAGCCACTCACGTCCAGGCACTTACAACAGCAGAATCTCCCAGCTTCCATGACAAAAGACCTAGAGCTCAGCTGGGTCCTGTGCTCAGGATGTCTGAAGCTTGCAACCGAAGTCTCCTCTGTACTTTAGCATGTGTAGGGCTAACTCTCAGCTTCTGGAAGCTTCCTTTGACACTCCACAGTCACTTTTGGGTTTATGGCCAACAGAAGAGAGACTGTCTCTCTTTTTAGTGAGTACTCCTCTATAAAGGCTCACCTGTGACATAGCCATTTCCACCGATGATGGAGCCTTCCCTCAACCCCATCTTATCCATAGGCCATGAAAGAAGGACCTAATTCATCAAGACACTGGGGTGGGGTAAGGAGATCAGTGGGTAAAGAGCCTGCTATGCAAATGTGAGTGTCTGAGTTTGGATTCCTAGTACCCATGTAAAAGCAGGCATGGTGACACATAACTAACTCCGCCTCTGAGAGGGCGGAGACAGAGCCCAGGGGCTCACTGGTGAGCCAGCCTAGCCGAAATGAAGAGCTCCAGGTTCAGTGACAGACCTTGTCTCAATGAGTAAGTTGGACAATGGAAGAGGAAGGCACTAAATGTTAACCTCTGGCCTTCATGTAGGTATGAGCGCGCACATGCATACACACACACACACACACACACACACACACACACACAGAGAGAGAGAGAGAGAGAGAGAGAGAGAGAGAGAGAGAGAGAAGTGGACAGCCCATCATGTTCCAGGTTACACCCTCACACATGGAAGTGTCACCAGACATTTCCACTGGGGTTGTATGATCCCACCTACCCAAAAGTGATAGAGGAGCTCCAGGTGGAAGTCCTGCCCGTGGGGTGCAGCCACCCCAGATCTCAGCACAGGCAGCCAGATACCATTTCTCAGCAGCTCTTTCCCCCTTCCTGGAGAAGCTGAGCTCAGGACTGATTACTGGCATTTTTCTCATCATCGGTGATGGGAGTCATCTTGGGAGTCTAACTGTGCGATTCGGAGGTTTCCATTTCTTGAAGACACTTTTCAAGCAATCAGATTTGCAAATTGGCACATGCCCGCCCACTGTGAACTTTCTGTTTTATAGCTGCTCTGGCAGAAAATTCAGATAACAGGGAAGGATGCGTTGGAATAGCACCTTCCTAGGACTCACACTCAGCAGGCTCACACTGTCAGCTTGGGGCAGTGTGTGTGTGTGTGTGTGTGTTTGTTTGTGCATGCATGCATGCCTGTGTGCATGCTATGTGTGTATGCCTGGGTGCACTGTATTTATACGCAAGTGTTTTTGTGTGTCTGTGTGAGTATCATGTATACACACACACACACACACACACACTTGTCTATCTTAGGATGTACTGCTGTGTGAACACACATACGTGTACATAATGAAGATGTGTATATCTGTACATGCACATACGCCTATGTACATTGCACATGGTTCATATGTGGTTACATGTGCACATTGTGCCTATATATGACATGTGGATGCAATACAATGTGGGCGTGCATTGTTTGTCTGTTTTGAGTGTGCTTCCGTGTCCATTGCTTATGTGTGTTATCTGTGTGTATATTGCACACATGGGTGCACGTAGGTGCACATTCACATCTGTTTGTCTGTCTCTCACAGATTCTTCTTCTCTCCACAGTCTGCTGCAGAGTGCAGCAACCTTCTGCGGACCCTCCATGGCCTGGAGCAGGAGGAAATGCAGAGGTCCCTCGCCCTGCACCAAGCAGAGGACTTTGCCCAAGCACTCAGGCAGCTGGTTGTTTTCCAGAGAAATGAATTACACAGCATCGTCTATACCCAGATACAGAGTGCTGTGGCCAAAGGGGAACTGAGGCCTGAGGTGGCTAAAATGCTGCTGCAAGACTATTCTAAAACACAGGTAACGTCTGTGCTCAGGCTTGCCCCATAGAGGCATTTCTAAGCCCTGAGTGACTTTCCCTCCTAGAGCTGAGCCCTGTTTTCTTTCTGTTCTGGGCACCGATGAGCTCTCTATTCCTTCTTCCTTCTGATAAAGGAATGAGTTTCAGGTGTGCAGGGCAGAAGGCGGCCCATAGTGCAAGCGGTGTGCTCACACTTCCGTGGGCTGGATTCTGCCTCTATCTGTGTCAGCTGTTGGGCCTGGTGTAGTGAAGGTTTAATGAGCTGATCCCTGGCAAATCATTTAAAGCTTCATATAAAATGTTACACACACACACACACACACACACACACACACACACACAGGCACATACAGTAGTACAAACATCATTAAATGTTAGATAACGCACCTACATGTGCATGTATATCTAGGACAGAGAGGGTCTATACCCAGATGGTCCCGGAAACACGAGTGTAAAGGTTGTTTGTGTAGGCTGAATTGGTTCCTAGTTGGTAGTGACGGTAGTTTCCTGAGCGTGTCAGTATTGCAGGCAATTTCCCCACGTCGAAATGACGGAGAACAACAGAGGAGCAGCCAGGAGGCCACAGGACTCAGCCTTCATCTAATCTTTAGCAATGGCAACTGAGGGTGGCCATCCAACTCTAGCTTCAGATTTGGGGTTCTGGCAGATGCTGAGTGGGCAAGAGAGGAGAAGTCATCACCCCAAGACTGTAGGAAGGAAGACTCCCAGAGAGAACACACCACCTCTCCACGTGGAACTGGGGTTTCCCCCATGAGCACACTGTGATGGCAGCTGTTCATGTATAACATCCCTGACCTTGAGTTTACTTCATTCCCATGATGCACGGCACTGATGCCTAGTACCCAACACTGAGAAAGAGCATGTCACTGACATTGGTACTGTGTATACACTGCACTGCTCAGGTGTTAGAGCTGGCTGTGAACTTCCCGATGGCGCGTGGATCTGGCTTTACAGAAACCAATGGAGTGTTGCCGCAAAAATCCCAGCTTTGGGAGCTCTGGAGCCCCGAAGGCCCAGGGAAGGCCGGCTTTGCTTCACACTCCTGACCATGCAGCATCTCACCGAACAGTGCAGATCCTCAGATGCTCAGACACGGTCAGGCCTCAGCTTATGTGAGAGGGGCCTGTCCAGGCATCTTTTCTCTCAGTGGGTCACCAGAGTCTCCACAAAGAGAAGCAACCCTGGCTCATGGGATGGCCACTGGTGCAGCTGCTCTGAATGGACCACTATTGTCACTGGTTTGCTGGTGACATCTGGGTTTGGAGGACAGGCCCCCCTCACCTGAACCATAGAGTCCGGAACCCAGACCCAGGTTGCTGACCTCAGAAATCTGCCTAGGTGCTTCCAGTCTCATGGTATGAACTGGATTTCCTCATCTGTGCTCAACCATGTCCAGCAGTGTAATGTGTGATGTGAACTTGGTTTCCTTATCTGTAAATTGGAAATAATAATTCTCTCCTCCAGGTAAAATGGGGGGAGGCCCAGAGCACTCTTACTCAGAGGGCACAGACTTGAGACAGCAATTGTTACTGTGACTCCCCAATGCTGCCCTTTGCATCCGCCCTGTCTGTCCCATCTCCTCAGCCACCATGGGGCTGAGGAAGTGGTTGATTCACCCCAGAACATCGACATTGACTCAAAGTGCAAGGCTATGGGACATCCCAAGCTGGGCTGTGTGGTGACATTTTGTTTATGATCTAACAAATAATGCTTGCCTGAATATCAGAGTGCAAAGCTAGCCACACTAGTTAGCCATAGAGGCCAGGCAGTGGTGGCACACACCTTTAATCCCAGCACTTGGGGAGACAGACGCAAATGCATCTCTATTAGTTCAAGGCCACCTTGAGCTACACAAAGATGATCTCCTCACTTGGGATCCCATACCTTTAATTCCAGCACTTGAGAGAAATATAAAGCAGGAGGAGATAGGAGCTGAAGGGAGTCGGAGGTTTGATGGAGAGCAGTGCAGTCTGGGGGTTGGTGGATCGCCTCTTTGGTCTCCACATTGGTAGAGGTGAGAACTCTGTAGTGGCTGCCCGCTTTGCTTCCCTGATCTTAGGCAAGCTTTATTTGTTAGATCATCAACAAATTATCACCACAGGGCTGTGCTTGGTGGGTGCAGGCTGAATGATGGTAATACATGCCATCTTTGGTGGTGCAGGCACATTGCTGAGGGGGAGATGGCTTACATCTGGTCACCAGGGCAGGCCTCAGAGCCTTGTTATTTGCCCTCCCCCACTTCCTCATAGCCTTTGCTACGGCAGGGAAGGTCAAGGTGTTCACCTCGATGCCAGCCTGTAGACTGCCTTCCAAAAGGAAAGGTCGTGCTTTAAATGTTCACAGATGCTTCCCGACGTTCTAATGAGGCATATGTCTCATCCTGTAAAACAGGAGAGTGTAGAGGAGCTGACGGACTTCTTCCAGGCCACCAAGAGGTACCATCTCAGCAAGAGGTTTGGTCATAGGGAGTACCTGGTCCAGAGCCTGCAGGCCATGGAGACCCGCGTGCAAGGCCTGCTGAGCACTGCAGCCACTCAGCTGACAAGCCTCATCCACAAACACGAGAGGTTTGTGTGTAGCCGTGGGGGGAGAGGGGGCAGAGAAGCTGCCCCAGCCTTCCCATTCAACAGCAGAAGGAGGCTGACCCACTCCCAAGACCAGTCCCTCCTGTCCACTCAGCTCTGCCCGAGTGCTGTTGCCTGGTTCATCGAGGGGATTCTTTTGTTGTGAAATTCCCTCGCAGTAGACATTTCAAAAGCATACGTGGTAGTCAAGACAATTTTACGATGACCCCCTACCCCCACCCCATGTCCAAACCACTCAGCCTCTGCTAGCTTTATATTCCTGTTTTGGACCATTCAGAGGAGCAAAATCTGAGCCACATTTTCTGGATAAATCCATGAAGAAGGCTGTCATTGACTGTGTGGTGGGTCAGCCCACTACTGTTCAGGCTTAAGCACCTGAAACACTAGCATTGGCCCTCGCCAGTGAGAGAAATAGACACGGAGGTTTGGCTTGGGCCCACATGGTTTTTCTCAGCAGTTCTGGGGTGGTGTCAGGTGAACAGTGTCAGGCAGGGCTCTAGAAGTGCCACTCATTGCCTCTTGTCACAGTCCCTGCCCAGGTGTGCCGTGAGGCAGCTTCCTTGTAAACAGTGAGATGTGCTGTCTCAGTATAAAACACCAGGGACCTAGCTGTCTGTGTAGTTGGCCCTGCTTGTGACCAAACTAATTCTACGCTTCAGGTCATAGTATGGGGACTTTTCAGTTTCATAAAGATTCAGTAAGATGCAGACTGTGTAGGCTTTTCCCGTCTTAAGATGTTAACGGATTCATCTCTGCAGTCTGCTTGGCATTTCTAATTAATTTTCACTGAAGTGAAAGGAGGGAAGAAGGGCCCCTCATTTTTCTCCGAAGAAATGGCAGCTGCTTGGCTACCCCGAGCAGTGTCCAGGGAAGGCCATCTTACCTCTTATTTTGAGTTTTGATTTGAATAATGGGCACAGACTTAACATTCCTCCTCACCGCCTTCCCTCCCTCCTCCCACCCTCCCTCCCTCCCTCCCTCTCTCTTGCTCCCTCTCCCTCCCTCCTTCCCTCTCTCTCCCCTCTCTCTCTCTCTCTCTCTCTCTCTCTGTGTGTCTTTGCATGCTTACCTATGTACACATGTGGAGGCCAGGGGTTGACAGGGTGTTTTATTCTCTGGTTTTCTACTTTACTAATTAAGACAGGATTTCTTCACTGACTCTGGAGCTCAGAGATGGGCTATCCTGGGTGTCCAGTAGGCTCCTGGGATCTGCCTGTCTCTGCCCTGTCCACCGCCACCACCATTATTACCCCCTTTCCTGCCTGGGGTGACAGAAGCATGCTACTATGCCCACTTCGCACATCGATGCTGCGACCTGAGCTGAAGTCCTTGTGTTTACACAGCGACTGTTTTAGCCACTTAAGTGTTTCCCCAGCCACAGACTGACAACCCTAAAGCCCCTGTTTCCTTCCCATCCTATCCCGTTCAACCAGGAGTGTCTGGGCTGGGCTGAGCTGGAGGACACATACAGGGGATGCAAACAGACTGGGAGACATGATAGCAGGAGAAGAACATACTTGCCAAGGCTCTAGGACAAATAGAAACACCGGGACCGACATTGGGAGAGATAGTATTGGGACTGGCTCGCATAGTCACAGACACGGGGAAGTCCCGCTACCTGTCCAAATGGTTTTTGTGAGTCAGTTCCTGTTAGAAGGCCACAGGACCCAACTGCTGGCACGTGAATCCCCATCTGAGGGCAGAGATGGTGTGGCTGACACACAGTAAGCCGTGGCGCTTAAAGAATGGTGTCTGTCCTTCATACTCTAAGTTTGCTCTTCTTGGGACTTCACAAATTGGGTGACAGCAGGCTTCAATGCCAATTCATTTGGTGCATAGTCTGTCTGGAGCCTGGGAAGGCTGAAACTGAACCTGCTGAGGGGTCCTGCTGTGCCAGACCATGCATAAGGAAGGCACTGCATGGTGACCGTGCTTAAGAGAGGGCGCAAGGGGACGAGACTCCCTTTCACAGTTAGCCCACACCTGCAGTGACAGCACTGATCATCTCTTTAGATTAAAATTTAACTTAGCATATGAAGTCATGCGTTCCATGTGGAATTTTCATAAATGCATACCACTACATTTTGTTCACACACACACACACACACACACACACACACACACACACACAACACACACACCTGTCCCTTCTCTTGCTCTCTTGCCGGCCTCCTCCTCTCTCACAAATCATTCCCCTTTTCCTTCTTAGCTCAAGCGTTTTGAAGGGAACATTCAAACTGTAGCATGAGTCCCTTGTTCGCATGCTGGTGTCATCGGAATGTCACCCAGGCGTCCTTAGACGTCTCCACAGCCCTTCTCTGCCTTTCCCTCCGCTTGACCCAGGATTCTTGGTCCCCCCTCCTTTCTTGGGAAGCACTCTTCATACCCAGTGATCATTGCAGACATCTTTTTCTCCTGTTCTACCTATGTCTGATCCACCCGACCGCTGGGGCTGAGCGTTTTCCTTCCATCTTCAAGTACCCTGGCCTCACTCTGCTGGTGTGATAACTTGTGTCCCAGTGGCATGTAGCATTCTAGCCTACAGAGGGAAGGAGCCTGCATTCCCTGACTCATCTTCTCCATGTAGGGCCGGGTACTTGGACGAAGATCAGATGGAAATGCTGTTGGAGCGTGCACAGACAGAAACCTTTTCAATAAAACAGAAGCTGGACAATGACTTAAAGCAAGAAAAGAAAAGGCTCCACCAAAAATTGATAACTAAGAGAAGGCGGGAACTTCTTCAAAAGGTATGTGAGGCACTGTGGTCTTTATCTTGGCAGAGTCCTTCCTACCCACGGGATGGGTAACAGGCATTGATATCAGCACCGGATGACCAGAGCGGGTGGCATGAGGTGCTGTCTGTGGTTGATTAGTAGTGACTTCTCAGCACAGCAGAGTTTGCGGTGGACTATTAATGTCTGCATTGGAAAAGAATTGGAGGATGGTGATCCGTGCTGACCTTTATGTTTAATCAGTATTGAGTGTTAGATAAGACAGTGTCTTTAATCCTTATGAGATGCAAAAGTGGCAGTGGGGAAGGCTTTCCAGAGCACATAGAATAGATGGGGCCTGAGGACAAATAGCCATTTGAGGCAGGCAAGAGGGATGAGCACAAAGTTGCGGGCAGCGCGACAGCACTGTGTGCCGGGTTTAAGCGCTAAGACCAGAGTGCACTGCTGAATTTAGCAAGCTCCGAGTGCAGAATGGGGCTGGAATATGTGGAGGGGTGAGGTCAAGGCTGGAGGAGAGCTGGCCAAGTCAAGGAGGTGTGGAATGCTAGCCTGAGGGCTGGACCTACAGTTCAGACCCAGAAGGTTGAAAAGCTTTTAAGACGAAAAGATGATTTAACTTGCTGGAAGACAGAACCATAGAAAGCTGGCAACTACCCAAATTGACACAGCCCCTTGAGCTTTGTGAGAAGTTAGAGCAGATTTGGAAGTCACATGCAACCTCAGGGACTCCAGGGTGACATGAGGTAGCTGTCGGTCCAGCTGGGTGGAGAGGAGAGAAGGTCCAGCCAGGAGGTTTTCAGCTAAATCATTAGAAAGTGTTTTTTTATTTTAATTCTTTGTTAATCTCATTCATGAGTACTATGCAATTTGATCTTATCCACCCCTAACTTCCCCCTCTAACCCCTCCCAGATGTGTGTATGATGATTCTGCCTGTGTGTGTGTGTGTGTGTGTGTGTGTGTGTGAGTGAGTGTGAGTGTGTGTGTGTTTGCCATATGCCTACCTACTGGTTATCCCGAGAGCCCCTGGAACTGGAATTATAGATGGTTATGAACTACCATGGTGGTGCTGGGAATCAAACCCAGGTCCTCTGGAAGAGCAGCCATCTCTGTGGCCCCTTTCTCTCTCTCTCTACCTCTCTCTCTCTAATATATATATTTTGTAATATGTAATCTATCAAGTCTAACTAGTGGTTCCCGTAGTCACATGGGAGTAAGGCAGATCACTGGAGCATGGGCAACACACCGGGGGGAGAGGTGGTCACATCTCTGAATAAGCCCGACTGTCACCTGACGCAGTTAACTGCTGTAGTTCCTTGGCCAGGAGTGGGGCATTGTGAGCCTTTCCTCGTCATGCCAGTATGTTCACTGGTTTGACTTAACGCAGGCCTTGTGCATGTCACCACAGTAGCTGAGAGTTCATCCTTGTCATGTCTGGGTACCACTCTCTTAGGGCCGGCCACTCTCTAAGTCCTCCAGCTCTTACAGTGCTCTCTGACTGTCCCATGTGCCTCTGGGGGAGGAGGTGTGATGTAGATGTCCCATCTGAGGAAGACACGACACAGTTCTTGTCCTCTGCACTTTGAGCAATTGAGAGTCCGTGTATGAACCACCGTCAGCTGCAAGTAGAAGCTTCTCTGGCCCAGGCTGAGATCAGCACTGATAAGAAAGCCTAGAGACTGCTTTTTAGTATCATGTCATGTCCAGCAGAAAGTCAAGCTTCCGACTAATAACCGAAGAACATCTCATCACGAACCGCCCCTTCCAGTTCTGAGGGACTAACATGGGAAAAACAGAGTCACACTCCCTAGACGGTCTGGCCCCATCCAAGGTTAATTCTGGAAGGAGGGCTTCCACACTCCATACAGATTTTGGCAGTGTCCCGCAAGCATTATTTCTAGCAGTCACCTTGATAAATATTCTGAGTGACACAGAGGTAATAGCTCCATGAAGGCTATATGTGATATCCACAATGCAAAGGATATGGCCGGACACAGGCAGTCAGTAACTCAAAAACTACTGAAGGACTGAAGGAATGGCTGAGTTATCACAGTGTGAATGGATGGAAGAGCAGCACCTCATGTTCTTAAATGGAATGGATGTTCTGGGCCTGCAGTTACAGGTGATGCCATCATGGGCATGCCCCTGCAGGGCAGGTCTTTTCTACTGCAGACCCTAGCTGCTCATCACTCAGGAGGTCCTTTCTCCAGGACTTGTTTGGACTCTTCAGAGGATCTTAAGAGGATCCAGTGACTTCCTTGTTACGTTGTCTCTCACAGGCATCAGCAACATTGGCCAGGCACATAGTAGGGCTAACAGCAAGTGTGCGTTGCAGCAGACTTTGCCGTAGGCATTTCCCCAAGGGCTGAGCATGTATTGAGCAACTCACGAGGGTCCCCATTGTAGTGTAGGTACTGTTATTAATTGAGTACCATTTGACAGATGGAGAATTAGAGGCAGAGGGAGAGCCAGACTTGTGGACGAGAGAGTCAGGATAGAACCCTGGTGGGCTTTACCTAGTCAATAAATAGCTTCTTGTCAAGCCTCAATGTTAAACGTGTGTGTGTGTGTGTGTGTGTGTGTGTGTGTGTGTGTGCGTGTGCACGCGCGCGCTCAGCTCTGAACTGAGGGTCTTGCACAGGCTAGGAAAGCACTCAGCCACTGAGCTACATCCCCAGCCCTGTTTTAACCTTTACTCTTTACTTTGATACAGGATTCACCATTTCCCAGGCTGGGCCCTGAATTTGCAATCCTCCTGCTTCAGTCTCCCAAACTACTTGGGGGTCTATGCCACAAGAGCCTGGGGTTTGGTTGTGCCAAGGACAGTTTTCTAAATGTGAGATTGTTGGGGACAAGGCTGTGCATACATACCTTTCATGTCCCCTTAAGTTTCTACAGAAAGCATTGTCCCTCATCACCCCTGAATCCCTGTGCTGTTGCGCCCATGGGCCCTGTCCCATCCGGTTTCCCTTTCTCCCATTTCTGCCAGCACAAGGAGCAGCAGAAGGAGCAGGTGTCCCTTGGAGAGGCCTCCAGCACTGCAGAGGATGCAGTCCAGTACCTGTGCCAGTGGAGGAGTGTGATGGCTGAGCACATTGCTGCCCTGGAGGAGCTGCAGGAGCGTCTGGACCAGTCTGCCCTGGATGACCTCCGGGTCCTGACGGTGTCACTGTCTGAGAAAGCCACGGAGGAGCTGAGGCGCCTGCAGAGCACAGCCATGACGCAGGAGCTGCTGAAACGTAGTGCGCCCTGGCTCTTCCTGCAGCAGATCTTAGAGGAGCACAGTCGGGAGTCTGCCACTCGCACTGCGCAGCTGGAGGCAGAGGAGAGAGAGCGTGGCCAGGAGCTGGTGCAGGGTGTGAGGCAGCGGCTACAGCAGGATTTGCCAGAGGCCTGCACCGAGGAGCAGGCAGAGCTGAGGCATTGGGAGCACTTGGTGTTCACGTGAGTGATGATGTGTGGGTGCTTCAGCATCCTTACCCATCACACTGGGAAGGGAGTGGTCCATGCGGGAGGGAGAGACAGGATGACTGACCATGTGACGCCATCGCCGGACAGACAGTATCTGCAGTGTTTATTAGCTATACATACTGGGCCTACAAGTCACAGGAGTACATATGACCTGCAGGGCTGTCATGGGATGGGTGCTATAGGCCAGGTGGGTACCCAGCTTCTCTGGGGGACATATATTTATGTGGGTCATCCAGTGTGTTGTCAGGGAGTAAAGTGTGCCTGATCCCTCCATAGGAAGTGTGGTATGAGTTGGGTTGGGTAGTCAGGCCTGGAATTTCAGCACTTGGGAAGTAGAGGCAGGGACATGGGCCAATACGCGGCGCCAGCCTGGGCTATGTGATGCCATGCTGCAAAAAAAAATGCTAGGGAGATAGCTCAGTTGATTAAGTGCTTGCTGCACTAACATGATGACCTGAGTCAGGATCCTGGAACCCAATAAAAGAGCTGAATGCAGAGTCTGTAATCCCAACGCTGGGGAGGCAGAGACAGGAGGGTCCATACAGTGTCACCGAATTGGCAAACTCCAGGCTCAATAAGAGACTAAGAGACTCTCTCAAAAGAATAAGGTAGGGAACGATTGAGGAAGACACCTAACACTGACCTCTGGTCTCCACATTCATGTGCATGCACGTGTACATATACCTGTACACCTGTGCATGCACACACAAACACAGATCTGTACTTGCATTCACAACATAAAGCAGCAAGTAAATGAAAACGAAATGCTACCTTGCCAAGCATGGTGGCACACTCCTGTAACCCAGGCATTCACAGGCAGGAAGAGATCATGAGCTTGAGGCTAGCCTGGGCTACATAGTGAGACCCTACCTCCCAGAACTAAACCAAAAGAGTTGTGCTGTCTGGTTCAGGGACTTGAAGAGTATTTGAGGCTTGCATGAGGTAGTTGAGGCCCTCTCAACCCACGCAGTGTCACCAGGAATCCAGGCAACACATGGTGTAGCCACAGCCTCACTGATTTTGCCTGGCATGCCTCCCACTCACTCGTGATTTTACTGTCCACACAGAATCCTGCAATGGCTACTCCTATAGGACGCAGCCATCCATGGTGACCAGGTGCTGCATATGATGTGTTAGACACAGCTGGGGGAGCAGTGGGACAGTCAGTGGCAGAATCCAGAGAGGGCTCTGTCTGACAATTGCACTTCCTGGGACACTTGCCAGTTACTTGTGCCAGCCAAGATGTGGCTTGACCCACAAAGAGGACCTTTGGAGTATAATAACGGCAGTCCACAAAGCATGGAGGGCTTGCGGGAGGGAAAGGGGAGGAGCTCCAGCCATGGCCAGTGTGGAATGAGCAGGGCTGTGTAGACAGAGAGACACCCTCTGTGTGAATGTGGGAGAGATGCTAAGCCACTCCTGGCCTTCCTTTCTTGCCTGTAAAATGAGGTGATGATACCAAATCATTTGGGGTGCTTTCTGCAGTCACGATGCTGTCTGAAGCGTGTGATGCAAGCGCCTGGGTTGCCCTTGGGATCCTGTGAGTAGACACTGAGTCACGCAGTGTCTATCTGAGCCCTGGAGGAAGTTACTCCAGTTTTGCTGGCTCTGATGGTTTAATACCTCTCCCAGAACAGTGCTCTTCCCAGGAACCAGCCTTGCTGCCAGGAGAACTGGCCAGGTGTGTTCAGAATGTGGTATTGACTTTTTATGTGTGTGTGGTATGTGTGCAGTGCTTGTGTGATATGCATATGTGGTGTGTGTGTGCGCGTGTGGTTTGTGTGATATATGAATGTGTACATGTATGTACATGTGTATGTATGCATGTGCATGAGTGGGTGGATGTACCCATGTGACATCTGAAGAAGCTGGGTGTTGTCCTCCATCGCTGTCCACCTTATTAACTTAAAACGGGGTCCCTTACTGAACTGGAAGCTTCACCATTTCTGGTGGGCTGGCTGGGTGGCAACCTCTCAGGATTTGCCCGTGACTGTTCCTCAAATCCGTGGTTACAGGTACACACAGCCATACCTGGCCTTTTATGTGAGTGCTGGGGATTTGAACTCAAGTCCTCATGACTGCACAGCAAGTGTTCTTATCCACTGAGCCACTTCCCAGTGATGTTGTCTTGCTTGCATTCAGCAGTCTCCTGGTCAGTCCCACCGCCTTTGTAAGTCTGGCTTCCCTTGTCTTCCAATGTCTGGTTAGTTGTTGCTTTCTTGCCCAGGAGTACAAGATGCTGTCTCCCTAGCACAGTAAGAACCAAATCCACTTCTTAAAACCACCATCTGTCTTTAGTCAACTCAGGCGATGCTCAGCCCAAACCTTCCCACAGTCCCATTGGTTCAGGACTCTCTGCTGTGTTTGAATTCTATCTGACATTCTCATTATCCAATGACCATTTCCTTCTGCTTCGTTTGAACACTTATTGCGGGAAATGTTTCCAAAGCCACTGTTGAGTTAGCCATTTAGAGAATAATGGGACATCTCAATTGGCCATCAGCAAGCTCTTATGATTTCTCCAGGGGTTGAGGAGGGTTAACTCCCAGGCTCACACTGCCAGCTGCTTCCACGCTTTGATGATTTGAGACCCTGAAGATTGTGACCTGCATTTCTGAGGCATTAAGTAGAAATAGTTCTTCACTATGGTTCTGAAATCCACATTTGTAAGCTGGATGGGCTACAGCAAACCCACTAAGCAAAGTGGGAAACCGATGCAGAGAAATAACAGTGTCTTTAAACCTCACCCATAGAATCCAAACCAAGTGTCTGGCTTAATGCTGAGCCCCACCAGGCAGGATCCTGTCTCCCACATACCTGCTTTCTGATGGTCAATGATAGGGCTGGGACCCGGCCATAGGGCCAGTCTATTAGAAGGCTAATGAGAGTAATGACTATTCATATCAGAAACCTTGTAGCTCGGGAGTCCTTGTTACGAGAGGGTAACAGGAAGAGGCTGTCCTGGGAAGAGGGTCCAGGAAGAGGCACCCAAAATCTGGGAGGTGTCTTAGGATGTCAGCTGAGGGGATCCTGGGCATCCCTGGAAGTCAGACTCTATTTCCATCAGAAAACATTCTAGAACTTTTCAGTCCCACATTCTACACTCAGATCTGACCATGCGGAGCCCCACCCCTAACTTCCCAGGGCAGGTATTTTGCCAATATTTCTCAGTTTCAAAGCCTTTACAGTGCTCGGTTTATGCAGCTTCTGTTGATAGAGACCTGCCAGGAAAATCAGGCAAACCTTGCTTGTGTGCTCAGAAAAATGTTCCAGGAACATAGATATATGCACACCGTCCAAAGTGGGAGCAAGGAGGTATCACTTCCAGCACCGCTCATTCCCCCAGGTTCAAGGCTGGAGGAAGGCTTCTCCGCGAGGCAGCCAGTGTCTGCTCTGGGGGCTGCCACAACCAAGCAGCACCAAGTTTTCTCCTGAAATCCAAACGAGGACCTGGGCGTGGCCGTGTCCCCTCTAGCTGCTCAGGGATGCTCTGCTCCTTGTTTTTCTTAGTTTTGGCCATCGTTGCCAATCCTTGGCTCTTGTTGACTCACAGACATACCACTTCTTTCCTCCGCCTTTAGATTCCCTAGCTGGAACTCACCCTGTGCCCATGTCTCCCATGCTGATTAAGGACACCACTTATACTCTGAGCCTTCTCTTTTCTAGTGCCATCTAATCTTAACTTCTCTTATTTGTAGCAACTCTCATCCCTAGTGTGGCGTGGGGTTGACCTTGAACAGATAATCAGGGGGACCCAGTTCAGTTCCCAGCAGTCCACCATCCAGCCTGGTGCCCAGCATGGACTGGGGTGTTAAATGAGTCATTGGTCACCATCCTTTATGCAAGACTCAGTGCTGTGCTCTGTGGTGGTGTGTCTTGCTTGTCTGGTAGTGGTGGTACACTGCATTGTACACACTAGGTACTCAAGAAATACCCAGGATGGCATGGGTAAGTATCTAAAAAGCTCTTTGCTCTAGAGATTTAGCTCATAGATGTTTCGTCTACAGCCTCCCTGCCCACCCCTTGCCATGTTGTCTCTGACCGTGTCCGTGGTCATTGTCCCCTCTCAGGAGGCTCTGCTGTGCGGCCATCTCGTTGTCTGAAGAAGACCTGCTCAGGATGAGGCAGGAGGCCCAGGGCTGCTTCACTCAGCTGGACCGGAGTTTGGCTCTCCCCAGAGTCCGGGCACGGATGCTGCAGCAGCAGGTACAGATGGCCTGGCGGGAAGCAGAGTTCCGGAAACTGGACCAGGCTCTGGCTGCGCCTGAGCTGCAGGTAGGGACCATGTCTGGAATGCCCATTGCAGAAATAACTGGGGACCCGTGGGGACTTGTTCCTCCATTGCCTCTGAGCTCATCATCTCCCTGTCCCCCATTCACTACTCTGGGCATGGTGGCCTCTCAGTTTGCCCCGATCTTAAGGTCTGCAGTAGACCGTGATGGTACCAGTCCCAGCAGGAACAGTGACCACCAGCATCCATGAGTGTCAGCCTTCTCCCAGCTCATAGCCACATTCTTGTGTTTCTCCTGAGCGTGGTATAGGGTGTCTGGGAGTCACCTAGTTAACTCCTGCCTCCAGCTCATACCACTTTCTGATTCAGGGGTCCAAAGGGCCCTTTGCATGTGGCACAGATGTCGGTGGTGGTCTTCTCAACTCGGCTGAGCCATGAAAAGGGGCTCTCACACTGTCCTAGAGGCTGACATCAGACAGCCACCTTTCGTGGCACCTCTTACGTGCATTCATCTTCAAGATCCCCGTGGACCAGTGTAGGATAGACCTGACCCAAGGCTGCAGCGCTGCTTGGCCTTTTCACATCTTGCCATGTGCCCTTGTTCCGCCTAGGCCATTCCTTAGACCTTTGCACCACCCATGCTAGGCTCAGCCTCTGATTCCGAGAGCCCAGCATAAGAGGAAGCCCTTGAACTCTCATCTTCCTCTGCCTGCTATATGCTCTGTAGTCTAGCAAGTGTCAGCCCAGGGTGGCCTCTGCAGAGGAGCCTGCCCTGAATGCCTGTCTAAACCCACTTCTCATGTAGAAGTTGTCACAAAACTGTCTCTCCACCACCATGGCCTGAGGTGGGAGCTTGCAGTTTCAGCCATGCACATACCTCCCTTAGGCTTGGGAAGAAGCCACTGCCTTCTCTGAACTGTTGTTTCCCACAGTCCAAGGCGAGAAAGCTGCGTTCCAAGGGCAGAGGCAAGGCAGATCTTCTGAAGAAGAGCCTGGAGGATAAGATCCGTCTGTTCGAGGAGCGGGCCCCTGAAGACCTGGCCGACAAGGTAGGACTGAGCTCTGACTGTCTTCAATGTGCAGAGCTTAGAGAAGAGAGGCCACCCATCGCCCCCCAAGCCTCAGGCCAGAGAGGGTCCAGTCCTCCAAAGTGCACTGAGGGAAACCCTCTTCCTCCCCCTCTCTGCCTGGAGATCCTCCATCATTCCTTAGCTTCTTCTTTCTTGGTAGCTACCATATTTGTGTGTGAAATTTTCTGTACATCTCTGGGAGGGGGGGTGCGTGCGTGCGTGTGTGCGTGTGTGTGTGTATGTGTATGTGTGTGTGTGTGTGTGTGTGTATGTGTGTGTGTGTATGTGTGTGTGTATGTGTGTGTGTGTATGTGTGTATGTATGTGTGTGTGTGTATGTGTGTGTGTATGTATGTGTGTGTGTATGTGTGTGTGTGTATGTGTGTGTGTGTGTGTGTGTGTGCACATGTCTGGAGGACTAGAAGTTAACCTAACATGCCATTCCTCAGGAGCCATCCACCTGGTTCTTTGAGAGAGCATGTCTCACTGGGACCTAGGGTTCAACAGCTAGGTTAGGCTGGTTGGACAGTGAACCCCAGGGGCTCTTTCCTTCTCCCCAGATTCTGTGTGAACCAGGATACATGGCGTTTGTCATGGGTTCTTCAGGCTGAACTCAGGACCTCATGTTTTGGGGGCAAGCACTTTACAACTGAGCCATCCTCCCTGCCCCCGCCCCACGGCATCTGCATTGCCTTTTCTTGCTTGTCCCTTATTTGCCCGGGTGCTCAGTGCGGCACAGTGTGCCCAGCCTGGGTTCCTCTTTACCAGGACAAGTAGCTTTGCCCTCTGCTCTCCCTGGGTGCTGTCTCCATCTTCACAGATCCTCCCTTCCAAGAAGCAAGCACTATGCTGCTCCCCTCACCTCTCCGCCGCCTCTTTCTTAACTTCATACCCGGCACACTGTCCATCAGCAGGGGGAGTCTGCCCGCGTGGCATGCTCTGCAGATGGGACATGAGGTTCCTGGGAGGAGCCGTGCTAGAATGAGCACTGTGTCATAACTGCTGGGGTGCTCATGTGCTCCCTGTTCCATAGAGGGAGTGTGTCCAGGGGGAATGTGGCCACACGGCAGAGATGCTGGTTTTTCATGCTCTATGCTTAGGTTTTGGTGGCTTTTAAAATTAAAATGTCAATACCTTTTGATTTTTTTTTTGAAACAAGATCTCACTACGTTGCCTAGGCTGGCCTTGAACTCATGATCCTGCTGTCTTGGTCTCCTGAAGACTAGGATTTCAGGTGTGTGCCACCACACTTGGTGTAATTTGGTGATTTTTAGCATGGGTGTTTCAGGACACATGTATGTAGCCTGGATCTGAGTTCTAGGATTTGCTCTGGGTCTGGCCAACTGCTCCTTTTGGGTATAGTCATGGGGTTAACATCTCCAGGGACCTGAGACTCATGCCCTTCTCATGTAGACATTAACTATTGTTGAAGAATGAGACAAAGACAGGGCAGAGACGATGAACCACTACCTTCTTAGTGTTACGGCCAATTCAGAAGACACAGATCAGTCCATCATGGAGACACCAAGACTTCCTGGGGGCATTTCTCAGGCACTGTCCATCTTTTGTTCTTGTGAGAAAGTGTCCCTTGGCCTGAAGCTTGCCAAGCAGGTGAGGCTGGCAGGCCAATGAGCCCCAGGGGTCTGTCTGTGTCCATCATCCCAGCCCAGGGATTTCAAATGCATGCATACCACCATGCCTGGGGGTTTGTTTGCTTGTTTTAGTTTCTTTGTTATTCTCTTTCTATTTAAAAAAAAAAAAAAAATTCATTTTACATACCAATCCCCGTTCCCACTCCCTCCCTTTCTCCCCTTCTTCCCCTCCACCTCTCTCCCTTGCCACCCCCATCCACTCCTCAGAGGGAGTAAGGCCTTCCTTGGGGAGTCAACAAAGTCTGGCACACCAAGTTGAGGCAGGGCCAAGCCCCTCCCCACTGTGTCAAGGCTGAGCAGGGTGTCCCGTCATAGACAATGGGCTCCAGAAAGTCTGTTCACACCCCTGAGGTGGGTCCCGGTGCCACTGCCAGCCCCCTCCAAAAGATCAAGTCACATAACTGGCACCCACATTCAGAGGGCCTGGTTTAGTCCCATGCAGGGTCCTCGGCTGTCAGTTCATACTCTGTGAGCTCCCACTAGCTCGGGTCAGCTGCCTCTGGGGTTTTCCCCATGATGGCCTTGACCCCGCCTTGTTTATAAGATCCCTCCTCCCTCTCTTCAGCTGAACTCCTGGAGTTCATCCCAGTGCTTGGCTGTGGGTGACTGCATTTGCCTCCATCAGTTACTGGATGTAGGTTCTGTGGGTCACTAACCTGATTAAAGAGGAAGACCGGTTCAGGAACCCTCTCCACTATTGCTAGGAGTCTTAGCTGGGTCATCTTCTAGCACCAGGATTCTCTCTAGCCCCATAATGGCTCCCTCTATCAAGATATCTCTTTTATTGTTCTCTCCCTCCATTCCTTCCCCAACTCAGTCTTCATGATCCTTCACATTCCCATCCCCCATCCCCTCCTTTTAAACCCCCTCCCAGTTTTCCCAGGAGATCTTAACTATTTTCCCTTTTTAGGGCCTTCTCTGTGTATCTCTCTTAAGGCCCCTCTTTTTACCTAGCTTCTCTGGGGCTGTGGACTGTAGCCTGGTTGTCCTTTGCTTTACATCGAATATCCACTTATGAGTGACTACATACCGTGATTGTCTTCCTGGTTCTGGGTTACCTCACTCAGGATAGCTTTTTCTAGTTCCATCCATTTTCCTGCAAATTTCAAGATGTCACATTCTTCACTGCTGAGTAATACTCCATTGTGTAAATGTCCCACATGGTCTTTATCCATTCTTCAGTTGATGGCGTGCCTGGGTTTTAACATTTGTTTTTAATGAGGATTCTAGGCCTCGAACGCTGATTTTCATGTGTGCAAGGCAATCACTTTGCCAACTCCCTACTCTACCTGTGGCCTTACGTAACAGGTTAATCTCAAAAAGATCTGTTGCACTCTGGCAGGTGCCCATAGCAAAGGCATCCTTGTGACTCAGACAGCATTGCTGCTCCTCCAGCATAGAGATAGATGTCCTCGCTCTGTGCTTGTGTGGTTTGTGTTTCTTCTGGGTAATTGTGAAGGTGATGGCAGCTCCCCCCGATAGAGATGAGGGCCACACTGAGTTTACTCTCTCACTATAGTTCTCCAGAGAACCACAGTCAATGCGATATACATACAAAGGCAGCTAGACTGGAAAAAAAAATTGCAGGTCGGGAACCCTGAGCTGGAGGAGTAATTCATGTGGTCCAAAGCCCAAGGCTGGGGATGATGCACTGAGTCTTGGCGTCTGAAGCTGGATGTGCAGTAGAACTAATGCATGCGCAGGAGAAGGGTGGTCCAGCTTGAGAGGAGAGTGACTTCCCCCTTCCTCAGCTTCTGGCTCTCTTCAGAATCTTGGGGGTGCCTGATGCTCATCCAGGTAGGTGAGGGGATATTCTATCCCGTTCAGCATTCATCTCCCCAACATGCAGAACCCTGGGTACCCCTCAGCTCAGCCAGTAAATACCTGTAGTGAACACAAGGGTCCCATTTCAGGGCTGGGATGTCCTCTCTCCTGCCACTGTATGGACCCCTGTGTTGAGGAAGCAGAGAGTATCCACGGCTCTGGTTGTTATGTGGCATGATCAGAAGTGGATGCCTGTCTTCATCATGCTCTTACTGTTGTTTGATGTATATATATGTTCATGTGTACACGTGTGTGCAGGTCAGCATGCTCCTGTGTGCACATGGCTGTCTGTGCAGTAGAGGACAGGATGATGACCTGTGCCTTCCTTATGTATTTTCTACTTTAAAAACAAGCAAACAAGCTCTCCTTCTGAACCTGGAGTTCACTAGCTGGCTAGGTCAGCCTTGGGAATCTTCCTGCTCTGCCTCTCCAACACTAGGGTTCTGGACATACACTGTCCTGCCCAGCTTTAATGTGGGTGCTGGGGATGTGGAGTCAGGTCTCTGGCTTGTATCTCAAGCACTGGGGCCACTGAGTCCTGTGCTTCCCATTATCCATCTAATACATACCTATCTGTAGATCTGTCAAGCATCTCTTTGTACATTTCCCCTTAACACTGAAACTTGGAAGGCCCCCATGCCAAAACATGGAAATCATCATTGCCTTTCACCCCAGTATAATGTCTCACCACATGTGGGAGTGTTAAACCCATTTAACCCCCTCAATAATTGGACACATAGGTTCTGAACTTGATGTTTCAAGCACTGTGGATTCTCCGCATGAACTGCTCACCTGCTGTACTGGGTACACAGCAGCTGCCACTGTGCACCTCACATTGAGAAGATGGGGGGGGGGCGAATGATCTCCCAGCTCCTGTCACAGAGCTGGGAGCAGCAGAGCAGAACATGAAATGTTGTACTGTGCATCCTTGCTCATTAGTGGGTCCATTTGATGGACACCTCAGCTCACCCTTGGCATGCTTCTGCTGCTGCTTTTGATCAGCAGACATGAGAATACTCATAAATATTCCTCAGGAGCATGTAAAGCTCAATGAAGACGGCATGACCACGGTTCCCTTCTCCCATTGTTTCTCAGTTTGTTTTAATGACACACACCTCCCCCATCCTCACTCCCCCATTCATTATTCATTGACTGTCTCCAGTTTTCATGATGTGCCACACACATACCTTTCCTCAGGAGTGTCACAGCTGGGGAGTAACTTCATCCCTGCCCCTCAGCAGCATGTCCCATTGTACATCTGCAGCTGCCCGGCCTTTGTGCCAAGGTGGCTGGTGTTTGCTCGAACACCTCCTCGAGGTCCTCTTGACTTCGCAGGCTGTTACTGTTCAAGTGAGAGTGTTGTGCTCATCTTTGGGTGGCCTGACTAGAGAGAGTGGATGGCATGGGTCCTTACAAATGTCTGTCTTAGGGAGGGCAGAAATGCTCACATGGCCACAAAGCCCAGGAAGACTCCAGCTAGTTCTTTTGTCTGTCCTTAAGCCTA